ATAGAAAGGCGTTGGCGACATCGATTTGTCGGAGTGGGCGGCGGCGTGAGGCGGCGATGGCGAGAAGTATGCGCAGGGAAGTATGTCGACTGACTGGTGCGAAGGTTTCAGTGAAATCGCGACCATACTCTTGGTCGAATCCGCGGACGACCCATCGAGCTTTAAACCGTTCGATGGTTCCGTCGGAGTTGGTTTTGATCCGGAATACCCATTTTCCGGAGAGAATGGGTTTGTCTTGTGCGAGTGATGCAGGGACGATCTTCCAGGTGTTGCGGTCTGAGAGCGCTTTTAACTCCTTTTCCATGGCTTCGCGCCATTTTTCTTTGTGTTCCCCCCCCAGAGCCTGCTTGACAGAGCGAGGCTCTTCAGGTGGCGACGAAGGCCCGTGCACTGCAGCGACGAGTCCCAGGACTTGGAGTCCGCTGGGGGTGTGACGATTCAGCAAAGGGTCCTCGGGATAGACTGCTTCGTCTCCCGCTTCAGGATCAGGTGCGAATCCGGGGCCGTATCTCTCAGAGATGTCGGTGTTGACGGGTTGGGGTGTTACGTAACCATTGTCGGCGAAATGGTAGTAGGCGTCGGCATTGTTACTGTCGCGAGGGTTTTCCTCGTCCATGGGGATTGGGACGGAGCAGTAAGGAAGGGGTCCAGCAGCTTCGGAAGCGCCGTCGACGTTCTCTTCTTCCCAGTCAGCAGCATCAGAGGGTGAAGCGAAGGCTCGGGAACCAGAAAATCCGCCGGTGGGGTCGACGTGGCGTGCGATGTTGTCCAGGTAATGGTTGAGGGTGAGTCGCTCGTAGAAGATAACGTCACGTGCTGCTACTGTTTCCTTTGTGTGGACGTCGAAGATTCGCCATGCTTCGTAATATTTTGCCAGCCCGAGGTGTAGACCCCACTGTGCACGTTGCGAGAATCTCTCTGCGCGTGCAGTGTGTGGGCGGTACTGTACCATACACCCAAAAACTCGTAACATTTTTGTGTTGCCCAGCTTCCCAGTCCACAACAGGTGCGGAGATGCGTTGTTGGGCAGTGATGACGAGGACAGCAAGTTGTGCATGAGGACAGCGTGGTCCATCGCTGCTGGCCATTCTGAGTTGGGCAGTCGAGTTCCACGTAGCAGCTTTCGCATGGTTGTCTGCAGGGTCCTGTTCATCCTTTCTGCCACACCCTGCTGTTGGTGAGCGTAAGGAAGAGAGATGAGGCGTTTGATGCCTCTTTCTGCCAAGAACTGTGTGAAGCTGTTTGACTGGTACTCCTTTGCGCCATCTGACTGAAAACTCTTCAGTTTCGCTCCTGACTCTCGTTCAGCAACAGGTAGCCAGGCTGTGAAGGCTTCTAGAGCCATGTCTCGTGACGGTAAGTTGACGTGCCAGACATATCGCGTTGCGGCGTCGATGAAGGTGATGACGTAGTTCAGATCTTCACGTCCTTCCGTTCGAGGTATGTATAGTATGTCGCTGTAGACTTTCTCGAGTGGTTGATAAGCGGGGGCGCTCGGATTGTGGTGTGACGGGAACGGTTGGTGAGGCAGATCTGCTTCCGGGCAGATGAAGCAGGTGCCGCGTGGTCGTTCGAGTTCTCGTCCGTTGGGAAGAAGTAGGGCGTTCTTATCTAACACTCCGGCTCGTATTGTATTGTAGAGTGTTGTGTTTCCAGGATGTCCAAGACGTTGATGCCATATGTCTTCGGAGGCGCTGTGACCTACGGAGCGTCGATAGAAGTCTGCGTTAGCGAAGAAGGCGGCGTGAGTTGCTGCACTTCGATGGACGGCGCGTGGTGCTGGCGTTAACTGTTGGGCGGCTGTCGGTGGCGTGTCGATGATGAGAGGTGGAGGTGCGACGGAGGGACCGAGCTGTAGAGTTTCGGAAGGTTGTTCCGCGACGACGGTTGGTTCTTCAATTGCAGGTTCGGAGGTTGTTGGTGTTGTGACGGGTGCAGTTGTTGTTTCGATGACGGGTGCTGACTCAGGTGTTGTGGCTTGTTTTTGCAGGACGGCAAGCGCGTTGGTGCGTTCAGCTTCGGGAATGGTTCGAGAGTACCAGAAGCCTTCAGGACTGAAGTTCGGGTCGAGGTCTGGCGGATGCGTCCAAGGTGCGAGAGCGACTATGCCGTCGCTGTCTGCGGTGCCTTTGTCGGGGACGAAGTCGAGGACGAACACGTCATCTTGTTGGATTGCACGGCCGATGAAGACCCCCCCTTTTCCGTGGTAAAGACGGATTTCCAGGGCGTCGGAGTCGCACTCCAGGTGAACGCCTTTCGACATGAGTTGGCTGACGCTCAGTAAGTTAAAGCCGAGGTTGTCGACGACGAGTACTTTGTTTAATTGAAGAATAACGTTTGTTTCGTTTGACTGAAGCTCCACGACTCCTTGTTTGTTGGTGCGCAGGTTTTCGTTGTTGGCGATGGTGATGATGACGTCTCGCGGAAGACGTCGTTCGCGCTGAAGAAATCGTGATGAAGAGCACATGTGATGACCGCAACAACTGTCGAGGAACCATGTGTCTGATCCGGTGGGTGCACGGTTCGCGATGGCGGCGTACGTTGGATTCACGTTAAGGGACGACGGTGGTGGTGATGGTTGCTCATCAGGACTGTAAGTTGGTGGAGAGCCGGTAATGCACGAGTCGATGTTTGACTCTGTTGTTCGTGCCATGGCGACGATTCTTGGTGTCTGTGCAGGTCCCGAAGTGGAGGTTGACGGTCGTGTTGAAGTAGTCGTTGAGGCGGGTAGCGGGTCGCTGTTGAGTTGACGCGATGTGGGGAGGCACTGGTCGCAGAGGACGAGAGAATGGTGCTGGTTGTCGTTGTTGCTGAGGGCAGTTGAAGCGTGTGTGTCCTGAAGTCCGACAAAGATGACAATAGGGAGGTACGTGTCCTCGATTTTGGTAGCGTGGCTGTCGTCGATTGGTGTAAAGAACGATTGGTTGATGATGCCTTTTGTTGTTGCGTTCTTCGAACAGGTCCATTTCCTGCTGCTCGGCGTGAAGTTCGGCGCAGAGATGCATTTCGGAGAGTCGACCGTGAGCGCGAAGAAGTGAGCGGGTGGTGCGCCACTGAGGTCCAAGGCCGGCAAGAACGACGGTTACGAAAGCTTCTTCAGATAAGTTTCCTCCGCAGCGAATGAGTCTGTCGCGTAGTCCTTGACAGCGATTGATGTAAGGCATGGCCTTTTCTCCAGGTTGCATTTGAACTGTTGTTGGTTGTGCCATGAGTCGGCTTTGCGTAACGCTGTCGGATGCTTGATGAATACTTCGCAGATGTTGATAAGCGAGTTCCGCGGAGTTTGCGTAGTTCCGGTAGGCGCGGATGCTTTGTTGTTCATTCGGCGACAGGTTTCGGAGAAGAACGGTGTAAGCCATGAGGAAGTGATACGTATAATTTTCTTTGTCCTTGTCTTCACCGTTGTGTGGATATGGCCAGGTACCGTTGAAGAAGCCAAGAAGATTCGCGCCTTCCATCAGGAGTTCAAATTCGAAGCTCCAAGAGTAGAAGTCCTTCCCGTTGAATGGTGTGGATGTGTGCAATCGTAGGATGTTGTTGAACTGTGCTTGTACTTGCAGGACTTCTTCGGTGTCTCGTTTGATGGCGGGAAGAGGAGTCGCTGGATGGCGGGGCGGCATGAACGTGAAGGAACCAGGTGAGACCGAATTTGGTGTTTGTTGATTGTGTCGTCCGAACGATGAGTTGTCAATACTCATTGGTGCCGTTCCGTTGTTTACGCTGTTGCTGTTTGCAGGTTGTGAGGACTGCTGCTGCGACATGAAGTTGAAGAACTCCTCCATTGGGCTTGGGTTGAAGATTGGCGGCGCCACTGGTGCTTGAGTGGAGCGTTCCGTCGCTTCCGGTGTTAATCCGGGCGTTGTTCCTCCTTCGGTCTGCAACTCGGAGACCGGGGGTAGAGTAGATCCCGTAGATGATCTTCTTTCTTTGCCACTTGCCATGTCTTGCCTTTCTTGAGTGAAGGTTGAACTTCTTGGTCGTTTGCAGATTGGTAGCCTGAAAGAGGCTTAATGACGAGAGCCTTTGTTCTCTGACTGCTCTCATACCATGTTGGGCTGAGAATTTCAGCCTTAGGATCTTTGCAGAGAATAGGCTAGTAAGTGCTAGAGTAGCACAGCGGAAGTCTTGAGTGAATGTACTTGTGCTGGTATGTGAGAACAAGTAATTGATTAAAGTAAAGGGCATACAGGAATATATAGAAAAGATAGATTACAAGGAACGGTTATGTTTATCGAGACGCGTAGCGCTTCGACTATCGAGGTGGTTACTGTTCACTGAAGCGTCGCTTGCTGTTACGTAACCTCCAAGCGGTTACAGCTCGCAACCTCTAGTTGCGGTTTGATGTGGTATGCGCCTTTTCGACTTCGTACTCCTTTTGTTGTGCTTCAGTATCGGGTGAGGTTCGATACTACAGAAACGCACTAAGTCATGCGTTTATTTTCCCAACAGCGGCAAATACATAACAGTCAGTCACTTAGCTAGTACCGTTCACTAGATTTTTTCCATCCTTTATTTTTTGAAGTATGGAGGATTGAAAAAAAATTGTACATAACGATCGTAATAGGTTGCTTCGCAACCCAAAAATTACGGAGTCCGTAATGACATTTTTTTAAAAGCATTATTCTGCCCACTCTTTTAGTAGAACTTTAACAGGTTGCTTGTTGTGAAACAACTTTTCTGGGTAAAGACAAAAGCAGCCTGAACCAGGATCTGACCTGAAGTCACTCCTCTGTCCGGAGGTTCTGGTTTTAACTCCTCCACGCTGCATTTTGAGCCCGACACGCGAAGAGCCCGACACGTTCACCCTCGCGTGGATCGCGAAGTCACCATTGGCGCGCCTCGCTCTCTCCGATATCTTCGCTCGCCCCGCTCGCAGTGCGCGCAGGGCACGCGAGGTTCCGCGCCGATTGCGGAGACCATCTACGCGAGGGACAAAGGGGCGCAGACGAGGAATTGCGCGAGGGGGCAAGGCACGAGGGGGCAAGGCGCGAGGGGTGGCGATGGAGGCGGTGGTGGAGGGGAAGGACTTTAGCTTCCCGCGCGAGGAGGAGAAGGTGCTGCAGCTGTGGGAGCGCCTCGACGCCTTTCACGAGCAGCTGCGCCGCACCGAGGGGCTGCCGGAATACGTCTTCTACGATGGCCCGCCCTTCGCCACTGGTAACCCTTCGCCACAGGTCCCGCCCTTCGCCACAGGTCCCGCCCTTCGCCACAGGTGCCGCCCTTTGCCACAGGTAACCTCTTCGCCACAGGTGCCCTTCGCCACAGGTGCCGCCCTCCGCCACGTGCGAAGCGCGACATTCACTGCATTCGCGACCGTATTCGTCAACCCCCACTTGCGCGCAGTCGCGCCTCCCTCCGCGGCCTCATCGCCACTCCGCAATCAACCGCTCACCCACCGCGTCCCCCTTCGCCTCGCCCCAAACGCCTCCACTCTCTCCCCCCTCCCCACCCCCCCCAAGGCCTGCCGCACTACGGGCACATTCTGGCCGGCACGATCAAGGACGTGGTGACGCGCTACCAGACGGCGACGGGCCACCACGTCACGCGGCGGTTCGGGTGGGACTGCCACGGGCTGCCCGTCGAATACGAGATCGACCAGAAGCTCAACGTTAAGAGCCGCGACGATGTACGTGCGGTGGGGGGGGGGTTGTCTGGGAGGGGCCGGGGGAGGGGGAGTGGGGAGGGGGCGGGGAGCGGGATGGCTGTTGAGACATCTCAAAGGGCTGCCCGTGGAGTACGAGATCGACCAGAAGCTCAACGTCAAGAGCCGCGATGATGTACGTGCGGTGGGGGTGGGGGGGGGGGGGAGGGAAGGGAAGGCGAGCGAGTGAGTGAGGGGAGTGAGAGAGAGGGCGGGGCGGCGAGGGCGGCCCTGGCCGTGGAGTATGCGATCCCTTAGCCGCTCCTCGTCAAGATCCGCGATGATGTGCGTTGAAGGGGGGGGGGGGGGGGAGGGAAGGGAAGGGAAGGGAAGGGAAGGGAAGGGAAGGGAAGGGAAGGGAAGGGAAGGGAAGGGAAGGGAAGGGAAGGGAAGGGAAGGGAAGGGAAGGGAAGGGAAGGGAAGAGAAGGGAAGAGAAGGGAAGGGAAGGGAAGGGAAGAGAAGGGAAGGGAAGGGAAGGGAAGGGAAGGGAAGGGAAGGGAAGGGAAGAGAAGGGAAGGGAAGGGAAGAGAAGGGAAGGGAAGGGAAGGGAAGGGAAGAGAAGGGAAGGGAAGGGAAGGGAAGGGAAGAGAAGGGAAGAGAAGGGAAGAGAAGGGAAGAGAAGGGAAGGGAAGGCTAGCGAGTGAGAGGTGAGAGAGTGTGGCGAGGTGACGGCGGAATGTGGGAGGGAGGAGGAGCACTAGAGGGGGCCAGCAGGCTTCAAGTCTTCCCATCGCGCTGCGCTGCGCCCTCGTTTTGCCGCGTTCTGTGGGTGGGCACTCGCATGGCCTGACCAGAGCACTCGCATGGCCTGACCAGAGCACGGCGAATGCTGCCCTCGTCCTCTCAGAAGCTGTTTGCTGTGTGGGGCAAGCGACGAGGCAGCCCCAGTGCCGATCAGGGCGCTGCAAGCGCCGGGGCGAGGGGTGGGGCGAGGAATGGGAAGCAGCCTTGAGAGCAACCAGAGAGTTCCAGCAAGTGACAAGACATTGCGATGACAGGGGAAGGAAGGGCCTAGGAGAATGGGCAGCGAGACGAGACGGGTGTTTGACAGCTTGATTCCCCCATGACATCTTGTGAAATGCCGGGATCTGTGTCAAAGTAGCCTGGATATGTTTAGAGCTGGCCGTGAGCAATACCTTCGGATTTCAGTCAAGACAGACAGAGAGATTACTGTTCTAACATATGGCCCGCCCCTGCTGTTCTAACATATGGCCCGCCCCTGCTGTTCTAACATATGGCCCGCCCCTGCTTTGCTTTGCTCACCCATTCCGTTCGTTGCGGTTGGTGTGTGGTGGGGGTGTGGTGGGGGTGTGTGGGGGGATGCTGGGGGGATGCTGGGGGAATGGTTGGTGTGAACACCTGTTCCACGTGTCCTGGTTGGTGTGTGCTGTGGTATGCTGTGTGGCAAGGCAGGTGATGAGGATGGGAATCGATGTGTACAACGAGGAGTGTCGCAGCATCGTCATGCGCTACTCGTCCGAGTGGCGCGACATCATCACGCGCGTGGGCCGTTGGATCGACTTTGACAACGACTACAAGACGTTGGATGCGGGGTACATGGAGTCGTGCTGGTGGGTGTTCTCGCAGCTGTACGCCAAGGGGCTGGTGTACCGGGGCTTTAAGGTCATGCCCTTCTCCACCGCCTGCAACACGCCGCTCTCCAACTTTGAAGCCGGCCTCAACTACAAGGTGGGTGGGTGGGTGGGCGCCATTGATGCTCGCTCAACATGCATTCAGCGTGTTAAAGGCCATTGGCAGAGGGGAGGGTTTGGGCGGTGATTCACTCTGTAGCTGGCAGCAGCACTGAGAGGCCGTGTGGGGCGTTGAGTGCAAGTGGAGATGGAGGGAGGGATGGCACCGTGGCACGCCTCTCACGCTCTCCCACCACGGCGCACACATGCTCTTGCACACTGCTGCCGCATGTCTCACCTCGCTGCTGTGTGTTCAGTCCCTACTACTCTCATGTTTCCTCCCTCATCATACTGCATCCCCTCTCTCATATCCCACTCACCCGCTCTCTCTCCCGCTCACCACCCGGGGAGCACAGGACGTGTCGGACCCAGCGGTGGTGGTGACGTTCCCGCTGCACGGGGACTTGGACGGGGCAGCGCTGGTGGCGTGGACCACCACGCCCTGGACGCTCCCCTCCAACCTCGCGCTCTGCGTCAACCCCTCCTTCTCCTACTGCAAGGTGCCACCCCTGCCTCTGCCCCATCACACATGCACCGCCTCGTGAACCTCGCCATACCTTACCGTATCACACCATACCGTACGGTTGCTATCTGTGCATACTGGCACTGCCACATCTTGCTATACCACTCTATGTGTCACCATTCGGTCTGTACAATAATCTACCATATCCCACCTTGCTATTCCATACTCTATGATACCGCGCTGCATAATCCCATAACCCACAATAGCATTTTATACCATACTATGTTATGCCATGGTGTATGTATGCCGCTTCAAAGTAAACAATACCATGGTGCACCAATCAAGCAACCCCATGTGGCGGGCGGTGTGCGCTGCGCCCCCCACTCCCCTCTTCTCAGGTGCGCAACCGTGACACAGGTGCCGTGCTCATGCTCGCCCAGTCCCGCCTCTGCGCCCTGCCCGGCCGCAAGAAGGCCAAGGGGGAGGCAAAGGTGGAGGCAAAGGTGGAGGAGAAGGCAGCAAGGGAGGAGAAGGGAGGCAAGGCAGGTGGCGGAGACAAGGGGAAGGGCGGCAAGGGAGGGGGGAAGAAGGGCGGAGGCAGCAAGGAGCAGAGCGGGGGGGCGGCAGCAGGGGGGGGCGGGGCAGTGGAGGGGTTGGATGAGTCGCTGTATGAGGTCATCGCCACCGTCACTGGCGCCGACCTCGTGGGGCTCACGTGAGTGCCGCCTCTCTCCTGCCCTGCCCTGCTCTGCATGCACGCCCACCCACACTTTGCTGTCCACATGTGTGCATCGATTTGGGTGCCCACCCACCCTCATTTTCTCCCGAGCTTTCCCCTTTTTCCCATCCCTTCCCCTCTTTCTTTCCCCCCTTCCCCTCACCCCCTCCCATGCTTGCAGCTACGAGCCCATGTTTCCGTACTACAAGGAGGCCATGCCCTCTGCGTTCCGCGTGGTGGCGGATGGCTTTGTGACGGACGACAGCGGCACGGGTGTGGTGCACTGCGCGCCTGCCTTTGGGGAGGACGACTACCGTGTCTGCCTCGCCTCTGGGATTATCGGCAAGGTGCTCTGCTCTGCTCTGCTCTGCTGTGCCGCGCCGTGCCCGTGTGGAGTGGTGTGGTTTGGTGGTAGAACAGGTGGTGCAAAGCGGATGACTGCTGGTCTGTTCCACCCCGTGCAGCGACCTCAGCGCCACCACTCTGCCATTGCGCGTCCATTTATTTGTCTGTGCCCGTATGGGTGCATGTGTGCGCGGGTGCATGGGTGCATGTGTGCGTGGGCGCATGGGGTGCATGTGCGCATGGGTGCACGCCTGTACGCATCATACATGTGTGCACCTCAACACACCACACCACGGCAGGGCGAGGCGATACCGAATCCAGTGGATGACGATGGGCGGTTCACGGACAAGGTGGCGGACTTCAAGGGGCAATACGTCAAGGATGCTGACAAGCCCATTCTTGCCATGCTCAAGGTCAGGCGCTCTTGCCATGCTCAAGGTCAGGCGCTCTTGCGGCTCCTTCCTCTACTCTTTCTCCCTCGCTCGCCTCCTCAACCCCATGTAACTGTGCTTGCTGTACTTGTGCTCATAAACACCCGCTCCGCTCCGCTCATCTCCCTTCCCCTCCACCCCACACACCCCTTGCACGCGGCGAGCAGGAGGCGGGGAGGGTGGTGAGTGTGGGGAGCATAATGCACTCCTACCCCTTCTGCTGGCGCTCCGACACGCCCCTCATCTACCGCGCCGTGCCCAGCTGGTACGCCCCGCCGCTCCCCCTCCCTCCCTCACTCTGCCCACCCGCGACACGCGCCACCCCCTTTTCCCCTCAATGTGCCTGCCTGCTACGCGCTCCCCTCCTGCTCTCTCCCTCCCTTCACTCTCCCCAACTGGTACGCGAGGCCAGCCACCCTCTCCTTCCCCTTCCCATTCACCTTTCCCCTTTTCTCCTTTCCTTGTATCTTCCCTCCTTTCGTCTCGTTTGTCCCGCGGCGGTCATTTCCCAATCTTATCATTTCCCACCCAATCTTATCATTTCCTCTCCCTCTCACAGCCCATGCAAGCCCATCCGCGTATATTCCCAACTCCCCTCTTTCCTTCCCCCTGCTGCCTCTCCCATGTGATCCGCCTCTTGCCATTGCATCTCTCCTCTCGTATCCCATCTTCCCTCCTCGCTCCCCTCTACCCCCTCTCCATTATACCCAGTCCGCTCTCAACCCACCACCCATTCCCCTCTCCCATATTCCCTCTCCCTTCTCACCCCTTCCCTCTCTCCTCTCATCTCCCAACTGTCCCCACCTCTCCTTTCCACCCCGTGTTCTTTCTCCCATCTTTCCCCTTTTCCCTATTTCCTCCCTCGTTTCCCTTGTGTGCGCTCCATCTCCTGCTGTCCCCTCTCCCTGCTCCCCCGCTTGCCACCCCTGCTCTCTCCCCTCAACATAGCGGTTGAGCAGAAAGCCAGCGCTGCTGGAGAGCAACGTGGGCACACAGTGGGTGCCGGAGTACGTGAAGCCACCCTCCCCTCCCCCTTCCCTTGTGTGCGCTCCATCTGCCCCCCTCCCTCTCCCCCCTCCCACTCCCCCCTCCCACTCCCCCCTCTCCCCCATCCCTCTCCCCTTACCCTCTTCCCCCTCCCACTTCGCCCGCACCCCATCTCCCCCAACACCCACCCCCTCTTCAGGTTCATAGCGGTGGAGGCGATAAAGCCGGCACTACTGGAGAGCAACGCGGGCACGCAGTGGGTGCCCGACTACGTGAAGGAGAAGCGCTTCCACAACTGGCTCGAGAACGCGCGCGACTGGGCCGTCAGCCGCTCGCGCTTCTGGGGCACGCCGCTGCCCATCTGGGCCAGCGAGGACTTCAGCGAGATCCGGGTGGTGGGCAGCATTGCAGAGCTGGAGGCGCTGGGCGGTGAGCAAGTGACGGACCTGCACCGGCACAAGATCGACCACATCACCATTCCCAGCAGCAAGGGGGCGGACCACCCAAGGCTCAAACGCATTGAGGATGTGCGTGCTGCTGCCGGGAGGGAAGGGGGAGGAAGGGGGAGCGGGGCTGTGGGTGAGGCGTGGGGTTGTGGGTGAGGCGTGGGGTTGTGGGTGAGGCGTGGGGTTGTGGGTGAGGCGTGGGGTTGTGGGTGAGGCGTGGGGTTGTGGGTGAGCCTGGTCCGTTGCTTTCGGGGTTCACTCATGTGCTGTTCAGACAACGTGAGCTGGGGGGAAGTGAGGAGGAGGGGTTGTGTGCGTGACAGCAACGCCTCTTGCGCCTGGACCTTGCATTTTCTCCACACCGAACCGAACCCCCTCCGCCTCTCTTGTTCCACATCCTCCCGCGCTCCCCTCCCCCTGCCTGCCTCTGGCAGGTGTTTGACTGCTGGTTTGAGAGCGGCAGCATGCCGTACGCGTACATCCACTACCCCTTTGAGAACAAGGACCTCTTTGAAAAGAACTTCCCCGGCCACTTCATCGCCGAGGGGCTCGACCAGACCCGCGGCTGGTGAGGCGTGGCGTGGCGTGTGGGATGGTGAGGAGGCATGGCATGGCATGCGGGATAGTGAGGAGGCATGGCGTGGCATGCGGGATAGTGAGGAGGCATGGCGTGGCATGCGGGATAGTGAGGAGGCGTGGCGTGGCATGCGGGATAGTGAGGAGGCATGGCGTGGCATGCGGGATAGTGAGGAGGCGTGGCATGGCATGCGGGATAGTGAGGAGGCATGGCGTGGCATGCGGGATAGTGAGGAGGCATGGCATGGCATGCGGGATAGTGAGGAGGCATGGCGTGGCATGCGGGATAGTGAGGAGGCATGGCATGGCATGCGGGATAGTGAGGAGGCATGGCGTGGCATGCGGGATAGTGAGGAGGCATGGCATGGCATGCGGGATAGTGAGGAGGCATGGCGTGGCATGCGGGATAGTGAGGAGGCGTGGCGTGGCATGCGGGATAGTGAGGAGGCATGGCGTGGCATGCGGGATAGTGAGGAGGCATGGCATGGCATGCGGGATAGTGAGGAGGCATGGCGTGGCATGCGGGATAGTGAGGACGCATGGCATGGCATGCGGGATAGTGAGGAGGCATGGCATGGCATGCGGGATAGTGAGGAGGCATGGCATGGCATGCGGGATAGTGAGGAGGCATGGCATGGCATGCGGGATAGTGAGGAGGCATGGCGTGGCATGCGGGATAGTGAGGAGGCATGGCATGGCATGCGGGATAGTGAGGAGGCATGGCGTGGCATGCGGGATAGTGAGGAGGCATGGCGTGGCATGCGGGATAGTGAGGAGGCGTGGCGTGGCATGCGGGATAGTGAGGAGGCATGGCGTGGCATGCGGGAGAGTGAGGAGGCATGGCATGGCATGCGGGATAGTGAGGAGGCATGGCGTGGCATGCGGGATAGTGAGGAGGCGTGGCATGGCATGCGGGATAGTCAGGAGGCATGGTATGGCATGCGGGATAGTGAGGAGGCATGGCATGGCATGCGGGATAGTGAGGAGGCATGGCGTGGCATGCGGGATAGTGAGGAGGCATGGCATGGCATGCGGGATAGTGAGGAGGCATGGCGTGGCATGCGGGATAGTGAGGAGGCATGGCATGGCATGCGGGATAGTGAGGAGGCATGGCGTGGCATGCGGGATAGTGAGGAGGCATGGCATGGCATGCGGGATAGTGAGGAGGCATGGCGTGGCATGCGGGATAGTGAGGAGGCATGGCATGGCATGCGGGATTGTGAGGAGGCATGGCGTGGCATGCGGGATAGTGAGGAGGCGTGGCGTGGCATGCGGGATAGTGAGGAGGCATGGCGTGGCATGCGGGATAGTGAGGAGGCATGGCATGGCATGCGGGATAGTGAGGAGGCATGGCGTGGCATGCGGGATAGTGAGGAGGCATGGCATGGCATGCGGGATAGTGAGGAGGCATGGCGTGGCATGCGGGATAGTGAGGAGGCGTGGCGTGGCATGCGGGATAGTGAGGAGGCATGGCATGGCATGCGGGATAGTGAGGAGGCATGGCGTGGCATGCGGGATAGTGAGGAGGCATGGCATGGCATGCGGGATAGTGAGGAGGCATGGCGTGGCATGCGGGATAGTGAGGAGGCATGGCATGGCATGCGGGATAGTGAGGAGGCATGGCGTGGCATGCGGGATAGTGAGGAGGCGTGGCGTGGCATGCGGGATAGTGAGGATGCATGGCATGGCATGCGGGATAGTGAGGAGGCATGGCATGGCATGCGGGATAGTGAGGAGGCATGGCATGGCATGCGGGATAGTGAGGAGGCATGGCGTGGCATGCGGGATAGTGAGGAGGCATGGCATGGCATGCGGGATTGTGAGGAGGCATGGCGTGGCATGCGGGATAGTGAGGAGGCGTGGCGTGGCATGCGGGATAGTGAGGAGGCATGGCGTGGCATGCGGGATAGTGAGGAGGCATGGCATGGCATGCGGGATAGTGAGGAGGCATGGCGTGGCATGCGGGATAGTGAGGAGGCATGGCATGGCAAGCGGGATAGTGAGGAGGCATGGCATGGCATGCGGGATAGTGAGGAGGCATGGCGTGGCATGCGGGATAGTGAGGGCGTGGCATGCGGGATAGTGAGGAGGCGTGGCGTGGCATGCGGGATAGTGAGGAGGCATGGCATGGCATGCGGGATAGTGAGGAGGCATGGCATGGCATGCGGGATAGTGAGGAGGCATGGCATGGCATGCGGGATAGTGAGGAGGCATGGCATGGCATGCGGGATAGTGAGGAGGCATGGCATGGCATGCGGGATAGTGAGGAGGCATGGCGTGGCATGCGGGATAGTGAGGAGGCATGGCGTGGCATGCGGGATAGTGAGGAGGCGTGGCATGGCATGCGGGATAGTGAGGAGGCATGGCGTGGCATGCGGGATAGTGAGGAGGCATGGCGTGGCATGCGGGATAGTGAGGATGCATGGCATGGCATGCGGGATAGTGAGGAGGCATGGCATGGCATGCGGGATAGTGAGGAGGCATGGCATGGCATGCGGGATAGTGAGGAGGCATGGCGTGGCATGCGGGATAGTGAGGAGGCATGGCGTGGCATGCGGGATAGTGAGGAGGCATGGCATGGCATGCGGGATAGTGAGGAGGCATGGCGTGGCATGCGGGATAGTGAGGAGGCATGGCATGGCATGCGGGATAGTGAGGAGGCATGGCTTGGCATGCGGGATAGTGAGGAGGCATGGCGTGGCATGCGGGATAGTGAGGAGGCGTGGCGTGGCATGCGGGATAGTGAGGAGGCATGGCGTGGCATGCGGGATAGTGAGGAGGCATGGCATGGCATGCGGGATAGTGAGGAGGCATGGCGTGGCATGCGGGATAGTGAGGAGGCGTGGCGTGGCATGCGGGATAGTGAGGAGGCATGGCGTGGCATGCGGGATAGTGAGGAGGCGTGGCGTGGCATGCGGGATAGTGAGGAGGCATGGCGTGGCATGCGGGATAGTGAGGAGGCATGGCATGGCATGCGGGATAGTGAGGAGGCATGGCGTGGCATGCGGGATAGTGAGGAGGCGTGGCATGGCATGCGGGATAGTGAGGAGGCGTGGCGTGGCATGCGGGATAGTGAGGAGGCATGGCATGGCATGCGGGATAGTGAGGAGGCATGGCATGGCATGCGGGATAGTGAGGAGGCATGGCATGGCATGCGGGATAGTGAGGAGGCATGGCATGGCATGCGGGATAGTGAGGAGGCATGGCGTGGCATGCGGGATAGTGAGGAGGCATGGCGTGGCATGCGGGATAGTGAGGAGGCGTGGCATGGCATGCGGGATAGTGAGGAGGCATGGCGTGGCATGCGGGATAGTGAGGAGGCATGGCGTGGCATGCGGGATAGTGAGGAGGCATGGCATGGCATGCGGGATAGTGAGGAGGCATGGCGTGGCATGCGGGATAGTGAGGAGGCGTGGCGTGGCATGCGGGATAGTGAGGAGGCGTGGCGTGGCATGCGGGATAGTGAGGAGGCATGGCATGGCATGCGGGATAGTGAGGAGGCATGGCATGGCATGCGGGATAATGAGGAGGCATGGCATGGCATGCGGGATAGTGAGGAGGCATGGCGTGGCATGCGGGATAGTGAGGAGGCATGGCGTGGCATGCGGGATAGTGAGGAGGCATGGCATGGCATGCGGGATAGTGAGGAGGCATGGCGTGGCATGCGGGATAGTGAGGAGGCGTGGCGTGGCATGCGGGATAGTGAGGAGGCGTGGCGTGGCATGCGGGATAGTGAGGAGGCATGGCATGGCATGCGGGATAGTGAGGAGGCATGGCATGGCAAGCGGGATAGTGAGGAGGCATGGCATGGCATGCGGGATAGTGAGGAGGCATGGCGTGGCATGCGGGATAGTGAGGGCGTGGCATGCGGGATAGTGAGGAGGCGTGGCGTGGCATGCGGGATAGTGAGGAGGCATGGCATGGCATGCGGGATAGTGAGGAGGCATGGCATGGCATGCGGGATAGTGAGGAGGCATGGCATGGCATGCGGGATACTGAGGAGGCATGGCGTGGCATGCGGGATAGTGAGGAGGCATGGCGTGGCATGCGGGATAGTGAGGAGGCATGGCGTGGCATGCGGGATAGTGAGGATGCATGGCATGGCATGCGGGATAGTGAGGAGGCATGGCATGGCATGCGGGATAGTGAGGAGGCATGGCATGGCATGCGGGATAGTGAGGAGGCATGGCATGGCATGCGGGATAGTGAGGAGGCATGGCATGGCATGCGGGATAGTGAGGAGGCATGGCATGGCATGCGGGATAGTGAGGAGGCATGGCATGGCATGCGGGAGAGTGAGGAGGCATGGCATGGCATGCGGGATAGTGAGGAGGCATGGCGTGGCTTGCGGGATAGTGAGGAGGCGTGGGTGGCATGCGGGATAGTGAGGAGGCGTGGCATGGCATGCGGGATAGTGAGGAGGCATGGCATGGCATGCGGGATAGTGAGGAGGCATGGCATGGCATGCGGGATAGTGAGGAGGCATGGCATGGCATGCGGGATAGTGAGGAGGCATGGCATGGCATGCGGGATAGTGAGGAGGCATGGCGTGGCATGCGGGATAGTGAGGAGGCATGGCGTGGCATGCGGGATAGTGAGGAGGCATGGCATGGCATGCGGGATAGTGAGGAGGCATGGCGCGGCATGCGGGATAGTGAGGAGGCGTGGCGTGGCATGCGGGATAGTGAGGAGGCGTGGCGTGGCATGCGGGATAGTGAGGAGGCATGGCATGGCATGCGGGATAGTGAGGAGGCATGGCATGGCATGCGGGATAGTGAGGAGGCATGGCATGGCATGCGGGATAGTGAGGAGGCATGGCGTGGCATGCGGGATAGTGAGGAGGCATGGCGTGGCATGCGGGATAGTGAGGAGGCATGGCATGGCATGCGGGATAGTGAGGAGGCATGGCGTGGCATGCGGGATAGTGAGGAGGCGTGGCGTGGCATGCGGGATAGTGAGGAGGCGTGGCGTGGCATGCGGGATAGTGAGGAGGCATGGCATGGCATGCGGGATAGTGAGGAGGCATGGCATGGCAAGCGGGATAGTGAGGAGGCATGGCATGGCATGCGGGATAGTGAGGAGGCATGGCGTGGCATGCGGGATAGTGAGGGCGTGGCATGCGGGATAGTGAGGAGGCGTGGCGTGGCATGCGGGATAGTGAGGAGGCATGGCATGGCATGCGGGATAGTGAGGAGGCATGGCATGGCATGCGGGATAGTGAGGAGGCATGGCATGGCATGCGGGATACTGAGGAGGCATGGCGTGGCATGCGGGATAGTGAGGAGGCATGGCGTGGCATGCGGGATAGTGAGGAGGCATGGCGTGGCATGCGGGATAGTGAGGATGCATGGCGTGGCATGCGGGATAGTGAGGATGCATGGCATGGCATGCGGGATAGTGAGGAGGCATGGCATGGCATGCGGGATAGTGAGGAGGCATGGCATGGCATGCGGGATAGTGAGGAGGCATGGCATGGCATGCGGGATAGTGAGGAGGCATGGCATGGCATGCGGGATAGTGAGGAGGCATGGCATGGCATGCGGGATAGTGAGGAGGCATGGCATGGCATGCGGGAGAGTGAGGAGGCATGGCATGGCATGCGGGATAGTGAGGAGGCATGGCGTGGCTTGCGGGATAGTGAGGAGGCGTGGGTGGCATGCGGGATAGTGAGGAGGCGTGGCATGGCATGCGGGATAGTGAGGAGGCATGGCATGGCATGCGGGATAGTGAGGAGGCATGGCATGGCATGCGGGATAGTGAGGAGGCATGGCATGGCATGCGGGATAGTGAGGAGGCATGGCATGGCATGCGGGATAGTGAGGAGGCATGGCATGGCATGCGGGATGGTGCAGGGCGGCGTGGCGATTACGAGGGTGGGGGATCCACTTGAGAGGGGTCCACTTGAGAGGGGGTCCACTTGAGGGAGGGGACTTAGCTCACAGCAGCTGATGCTGTGGGTGGCGAAGCCAACGTGACACACAGCTGTGCTCATGAGCGAACGTGACACACAGCTGTGCTCATGAGCAACGAGGCCAGCCGCACCTTGCCTTGTCGGCCGGTCGACGGCCAGGCGATCCGTCTCTCCATTCATGCCTTTCCTCGCTTTCACTTTCTCACCTTTTTGTGCCCTCTTGCCTGTTTTGCCCGCATGGCCCCCGCACAGCATGGCCCCTGTACAGCATGGCCCCCGTACCGCATGGCCGCGCAACAGCACTGTTCAACAGGCCCACTGACGGCAGTCTCATCTTCTCTCCACTGACCGCAGTCTCATCTTCTCTCCACTGACCGCAGTCTCATCTTCTCTCAACTTTGTGCCCTCACCTCTCCCCGGCGCTCCTCGTCCCCACCTTTCCCGTCCTCCCCCCTCACTCGCAGGTTCTACACGCTGATGGTGCTGTCCACCGCGCTCTTCAACAAGCCAGCCTTCCGCAACCTCATCTGCAACGGGCTCGTGCTGGCGGAGGACGGCAAGAAGATGAGCAAGCGCCTGCGCAACTACCCGCCGCCCATGGACGTGGTGGGGTCGTACGGAGCGGACGCGCTGCGCCTCTACCTCATCAACTCGCCCGTCGTGCGCGCCGAGCCCCTGCGCTTCAAGAAGGAAGGCGTCTTCGCCGTGGTGAGGAGGGGTGGGACGTGGTGACGAGTGGTGAAGAGTGGTGGGGAGTGGTGTGAAGTGGTAACGGGTGGTGAATGGTGGTAACACTTATGTCCCCAATTCCATGTCGCCATGCTCCTCGGCCTTCTCACAGAGGAGGGGCATGTGCATGCCCTGGAATCTCTAAGTAATTTTTTGCCCTCTTTCCGGTTGGTCTACCTGTTTCCAGTGCCCTTCCCTCTCCTTCCCGACTAAATCGCCCACCACTAATGGTCTGCCTGCATCGCTTCCCTTCTCCCCCCCTTTCGCCCCCCTCCCCATCAGGTGCGCGACGTGTTCCTCCCATGGTACAACGCGTACCGCTTCCTCGTGCAGAACACGCTGCGCCTCACCGCCGAGGGGCTGCCGCCCTTCCAGCCAATGACGGCGCGCCAGCTGGCGGAGAGCAGCAACGTGCTGGACGTGTGGATCCACTCAGCCAGCCAGAGCCTGGCGGCATTCGTGCGCGCTGAGATGGATGCGTACCGCCTCTACACCGTGAGTAGATGGATGCGTACCGCCTCTACACCGTGAGTGCCCCCAACAGCGGCTCCACTCTGGGAGTGCGCTGCGCTCCAAGGGACATCATCTGTATGTGGTGCTGTGACACGCTGCCATGGGCAGTCGCTGGCCTGTAGCCTGCTCTCACGCATTCTCAGCTTCCCTGGTTCGCAGCTCCTCGTTGCTTAACTTAGCTCAGAGTAGGTCGCAGGGATGCGGTCGATGACTCTATGCGATGAGGGTCACAACCAAAGGGCACATCCCACAAAGTCACGGCCTCACTCCCCTCCCACCCGTCCTCCCTCCCACCACCCCTGGCACACACGACACACCACACACGGCGGCAGGTGGTGCCATACCTGGTGCGGTTCATCGACAGCCTGACCAACGTGTACGTCTTCCTCCCACAGAGCCACATCCTCATTCTTCTCCCGCCCGTCCCCTCTCCCCATGATCCCTGGCACATTGTCGACAGGTGGTGCCATACCTGGTGCGGTTCATCGACAGCCTGACCAACGTGTACGTGCGCTTCAACCGCAAGCGCCTCAAGGGCCGCACCTCCGACCACGACTGCCGCTTCGCGCTCTCCTCTCTCTTCCATGTCAGTCCCTCTCCTCGCTCTTCCATGTCAGTCCCTCTCCTCGCTCTTCCATGTCAGTCCCTCTCCTCCCTCTTCCATGTCAGTCCCTCTCCTCGCTCTTCCATGTCAGTCCCTCTCCTCTCTCTTCCATGTCAGTCCCTCTCCTCGCTCTTCCATGTCAGTCCCTCTCCTCTCTCTTCAATGTCAGTCCCTCTCCTCTCTCTTCCATGTCAGTCCCTCTCCTCTCTCTTCCATGTCAGTCCCTCTCCTCGCTCTTCCATGTCAGTCCCTCTCCTCTCTCTTCCATGTCAGTCCCTCTCCTCTCTCTTCCATGTCAGTCCCTCTCCTCGCTCTTCCATGTCAGTCCCTCTCCTCGCTCTTCCATGTCAGTCCCTCTCCTCGCTCTTCCATGTCAGTCCCTCTCCTCTCTCTTCCATGTCAGTCCCTCTCCTCTCTCTTCCATGTCAGTCCCTCTCCTCGCTCTTCCATGTCAGTCCCTCTCCTCGCTCTTCCATGTCAGTCCCTCTCCTCTCTCTTCCATGTCACTCCCTCTCCTCGCTCTTCCATGTCAGTCCCTCTCCTCTCTCTTCCATGTCAGTCCCTCTCCTCTCTCTTCCATGTCAGTCCCTCTCCTCTCTCTTCCATGTCAGTCCCTCTCCTCGCTCTTCCATGTCAGTCCCTCTCCTCGCTCTTCCATGTCACTCCCTCTCCTCGCTCTTCCATGTCAGTCCCTCTCCTCTCTCTTCCATGTCAGTCCCTCTCCTCTCTCTTCCATGTCAGTCCCTCTCCTCGCTCTTCCATGTCAGTCCCTCTCCTCGCTCTTCCATGTCAGTCCCTTTCCTCGCTCTTCCATGTCACTCCCTCTCCTCGCTCTTCCATGTCAGTCCCTCTCCTCTCTCTTCCATGTCAGTCCCTCTCCTCTCTCTTCCATGTCAGTCCCTCTCCTCTCTCTTCCATGTCAGTCCCTCTCCTCGCTCTTCCATGTCAGTCCCTCTCCTCGCTCTTCCATGTCACTCCCTCTCCTCGCTCTTCCATGTCAGTCCCTCTCCTCTCTCTTCCATGTCAGTCCCTCTCCTCTCTCTTCCATGTCAGTCCCTCTCCTCGCTCTTCCATGTCAGTCCCTCTCCTCGCTCTTCCATGTCAGTCCCTTTCCTCGCTCTTCCATGTCACTCCCTCTCCTCGCTCTTCCATGTCAGTCCCTCTCCTCTCTCTTCCATGTCAGTCCCTCTCCTCTCTCTTCCATGTCAGTCCCTCTCTTGCTCTTCCATGTCAGTCCCTCTCCTCGCTCTTCCATGTCAGTCCCTTTCCTCGCTCTTCCATGTCACTCCCTCTCCTCCCTCTTCAATGTCAGTCCCTCTCCTCTCTCTTCCATGTCAGTCCCTCTCCTCTCTCTTCCATGTCAGTCCCTCTCCTCGCTCTTCCATGTCACTCCCTCTCCTCCCTCTTCCATGTCACTCCCTCTCCTCGCTCTTCCATGTCAGTCCCTCTCCTCGCTCTTCCATGTCAGTCCCTCTCCTCGCTCTTCCATGTCAGTCCCTTTCCTCCCTCTTCCATGTCAGTCCCTCTCCTCGCTCTTCCATGTCAGTCCCTCTCCTCTCTCTTCCATGTCAGTCCCTCTCCTCTCTCTTCCATGTCAGTCCCTCTCCTCGCTCTTCCATGTCAGTCCCTCTCCTCGCTCTTCCATGTCAGTCCCTCTCCTCGCTCTTCCATGTCAGTCCCTCTCCTCTCTCTTCCATGTCACTCCCTCTCCTCGCTCTTCCATGTCAGTCCCTCTCCTCGCTCTTCCATGTCAGTCCCTCTCCTCGCTCTTCCATGTCACTCCCTCTCCTCGCTCTTCCATGTCACTCCCTCTCCTCGCTCTTCCATGTCAGTCCCTCTCCTCGCTCTTCCATGTCAGTCCCTCTCCTCTCTCTTCCATGTCACTCCCTCTCCTCCCTCTTCCATGTCAGTCCCTCTCCTCGCTCTTCCATGTCAGTCCCTCTCCTCTCTCTTCCATGTCAGTCCCTCTCCTCTCTCTTCCATGTCACTCCCTCTCCTCGCTCTTCCATGTCACTCCCTCTCCTCGCTCTTCCATGTCAGTCCCTCTCCTCTCTCTTCCATGTCAGTCCCTCTCCTCTCTCTTCCATGTCACTCCCTCTCCCTCGCTCTTCCATGTCAGTCCCTCTCCTCGCTCTTCCATGTCAGTCCCTCTCCTCGCTCTTCCATGTCAGTCCCTCTCCTCTCTCTTCCATGTCAGTCCCTCTCCTCGCTCTTCCATGTCAGTCCCTCTCCTCGCTCTTCCATGTCACTCCCTCTCCTCGCTCTTCCATGTCAGTCCCTCTCCTCTCTCTTCCATGTCAGTCCCTCTCCTCGCTCTTCCATGTCACTCCCTCTCCTCGCTCTTCCATGTCACTCCCTCTCCTCGCTCTTCCATGTCAGTCCCTCTCCTCTCTCTTCCATGTCAGTCCCTCTCCTCTCTCTTCCATGTCACTCCCTCTCCCTCGCTCTTCCATGTCAGTCCCTCTCCTCGCTCTTCCATGTCAGTCCCTCTCCTCGCTCTTCCATGTCAGTCCCTCTCCTCTCTCTTCCATGTCAGTCCCTCTCCTCGCTCTTCCATGTCACTCCCTCTCCTCCCTCTTCCATGTCAGTCCCTCTCCTCGCTCTTCCATGTCAGTCCCTCTCCTCTCTCTTCCATGTCAGTCCCTCTCCTCTCTCTTCCATGTCAGTCCCTCTCCTCTCTCTTCCATGTCAGTCCCTCTCCTCGCTCTTCCATGTCAGTCCCTCTCCTCTCTCTTCCATGTCAGTCCCTCTCCTCTCTCTTCCATGTCAGTCGCTCTCCTCTCTCTTCCATGTCAGTCCCTCTCCTCCCTCTTCCATGTCACTCCCTCTCCTCGCTCTTCCATGTCACTCCCTCTCCTCGCTCTTCCATGTCACTCCCTCTCCTCCCTCTTCCATGTCAGTCCCTCTCCTCGCTCTTCCATGTCACTCCCTCTCCTCCCTCTTCCATGTCAGTCCCTCTCCTCGCTCTTCCATGTCAGTCCCTCTCCTCGCTCTTCCATGTCAGTCCCTCTCCTCGCTCTTCCATGTCACTCCCTCTCCTCGCTCTTCCATGTCACTCCCTCTCCTCGCTCTTCCATGTCACTCCCTCTCCTCCCTCTTCCATGTCAGTCCCTCTCCTCGCTCTTCCATGTCACTCCCTCTCCTCCCTCTTCCATGTCAGTCCCTCTCCTCACTCTTCCATGTCACTCCCTCTCCTCGCTCTTCCATGTCAGTCCCTCTCCTCGCTCTTCCATGTCAGTCCCTTTCCTCCCTCTTCCATGTCAGTCCCTCTCCTCGCTCTTCCATGTCAGTCCCTCTCCTCTCTCTTCCATGTCAGTCCCTCTCCTCTCTCTTCCATGTCAGTCCCTCTCCTCGCTCTTCCATGTCAGTCCCTCTCCTCGCTCTTCCATGTCAGTCCCTTTCCTCGCTCTTCCATGTCACTCCCTCTCCTCGCTCTTCCATGTCAGTCCCTCTCCTCGCTCTTCCATGTCACTCCCTCTCCTCGCTCTTCCATGTCAGTCCCTCTCCTCGCTCTTCCATGTCAGTCCCTCTCCTCGCTCTTCCATGTCACTCCCTCTCCTCGCTCTTCCATGTCACTCCCTCTCCTCGCTCTTCCATGTCAGTCCCTCTCCTCTCTCTTCCATGTCAGTCCCTCTCCTCGCTCTTCCATGTCAGTCCCTCTCCTCGCTCTTCCATGTCACTCCCTCTCCTCGCTCTTCCATGTCACTCCCTCTCCTCGCTCTTCCATGTCAGTCCCTCTCCTCTCTCTTCCATGTCAGTCCCTCTCCTCGCTCTTCCATGTCAGTCCCTCTCCTCGCTCTTCCATGTCAGTCCCTCTCCTCGCTCTTCCATGTCAGTCCCTCTCCTCGCTCTTCCATGTCACTCCCTCTCCTCCCTCTTCAATGTCAGTCCCTCTCCTCTCTCTTCCATGTCAGTCCCTCTCCTCGCTCTTCCATGTCAGTCCCTCTCCTCTCTCTTCCATGTCAGTCCCTCTCCTCGCTCTTCCATGTCAGTCCCTCTCCTCGCTCTTCCATGTCAGTCCCTCTCCTCGCTCTTCCATGTCACTCCCTCTCCTCGCTCTTCCATGTCACTCCCTCTCCTCGCTCTTCCATGTCAGTCCCTCTCCTCGCTCTTCCATGTCAGTCCCTCTCCTCGCTCTTCCATGTCAGTCCCTCTCCTCGCTCTTCCATGTCACTCCCTCTCCTCGCTCTTCCATGTCACTCCCTCTCCCTCGCTCTTCCATGTCAGTCCCTCTCCTCGCTCTTCCATGTCAGTCCCTCTCCTCGCTCTTCCATGTCAGTCCCTCTCCTCGCTCTTCCATGTCAGTCCCTCTCCTCTCTCTTCCATGTCAGTCCCTCTCCTCTCTCTTCCATGTCAGTCCCTCTCCTCTCTCTTCCATGTCACTCCCTCTCCTCCCTCTTCCATGTCACTCCCTCTCCCTCGCTCTTCCATGTCAGTCCCTCTCCTCGCTCTTCCATGTCAGTCCCTCTCCTCGCTCTTCCATGTCAGTCCCTCTCCTCGCTCTTCCATGTCAGTCCCTCTCCTCGCTCTTCCATGTCAGTCCCTCTCCTCGCTCTTCCATGTCACTCCCTCTCCTCGCTCTTCCATGTCACTCCCTCTCCCTCGCTCTTCCATGTCAGTCCCTCTCCTCGCTCTTCCATGTCAGTCCCTCTCCTCGCTCTTCCATGTCAGTCCCTCTCCTCGCTCTTCCATGTCAGTCCCTCTCCTCTCTCTTCCATGTCAGTCCCTCTCCTCGCTCTTCCATGTCACTCCCTCTCCTCGCTCTTCCATGTCAGTCCCTCTCCTTGCTCTTCCATGTCAGTCCCTCTCCTCGCTCTTCCATGTCACTCCCTCTCCTCGCTCTTCCATGTCACTCCCTCTCCTCGCTCTTCCATGTCAGTCCCTCTCCTCGCTCTTCCATGTCACTCCCTCTCCTCCCTCTTCCATGTCACTCCCTCTCCTCGCTCTTCCATGTCACTCCCTCTCCTCGCTCTTCCATGTCAGTCCCTCTCCTCGCTCTTCCATGTCAGTCCCTCTCCTCTCTCTTCCATGTCAGTCCCTCTCCTCTCTCTTCCATGTCAGTCCCTCTCCTCTCTCTTCCATGTCAGTCCCTCTCCTCGCTCTTCCATGTCAGTCCCTCTCCTCTCTCTTCCATGTCAGTCCCTCTCCTCTCTCTTCCATGTCAGTCGCTCTCCTCGCTCTTCCATGTCAGTCCCTCTCCTCGCTCTTCCATGTCACTCCCTCTCCTCGCTCTTCCATGTCACTCCCTCTCCTCGCTCTTCCATGTCAGTCCCTCTCCTCTCTCTTCCATGTCAGTCCCTCTCCTCTCTCTTCCATGTCAGTCGCTCTCCTCCCTCTTCCATGTCACTCCCTCTCCTCCCTCTTCCATGTCAGTCCCTCTCCTCGCTCTTCCATGTCAGTCCCTCTCCTCGCTCTTCCATGTCAGTCCCTCTCCTCGCTCTTCCATGTCAGTCCCTCTCCTCGCTCTTCCATGTCAGTCCCTCTCCTCGCTCTTCCATGTCACTCCCTCTCCTCCCTCTTCCATGTCAGTCCCTCTCCTCGCTCTTCCATGTCAGTCCCTCTCCTCGCTCTTCCATGTCAGTCCCTCTCCTCGCTCTTCCATGTCAGTCCCTCTCCTCGCTCTTCCATGTCAGTCCCTCTCCTCGCTCTTCCATGTCAGTCGCTCTCCTCCCTCTTCCATGTCACTCCCTCTCCTCCCTCTTCCATGTCAGTCCCTCTCCTCGCTTTTCCATGTCAGTCCCTCTCCTCTCTCTTCCATGTCAGTCCCTCTCCTCCCTCTTCCATGTCAGTCCCTCTCCTCGCTCTTCCATGTCAGTCCCTCTCCTCGCTCTTCCATGTCACTCCCTCTCCTCGCTCTTCCATGTCAGTCCCTCTCCTCTCTCTTCCATGTCAGTCCCTCTCCTCGCTCTTCCATGTCAGTCCCTCTCCTCGCTCTTCCATGTCAGTCCCTCTCCTCGCTCTTCCATGTCACTCCCTCTCCTCCCTCTTCCATGTCAGTCCCTCTCCTCGCTCTTCCATGTCAGTCCCTCTCCTCGCTCTTCCATGTCAGTCCCTCTCCTCGCTCTTCCATGTCAGTCCCTCTCCTCGCTCTTCCATGTCAGTCCCTCTCCTCGCTCTTCCATGTCAGTCCCTCTCCTCGCTCTTCCATGTCACTCCCTCTCCTCGCTCTTCCATGTCAGTCCCTCTCCTCGCTCTTCCATGTCAGTCCCTCTCCTCGCTCTTCCATGTCAGTCCCTCTCCTCGCTCTTCCATGTCACTCCCTCTCCTCGCTCTTCCATGTCAGTCCCTTTCCTCGCTCTTCCATGTCAGTCCCTCTCCTCGCTCTTCCATGTCAGTCCCTCTCCTCGCTCTTCCATGTCAGTCCCTCTCCTCACTCTTCCATGTCACTCCCTCTCCTCGCTCTTCCATGTCAGTCCCTCTCCTCGCTCTTCCATGTCAGTCCCTCTCCTCGCTCTTCCATGTCACTCCCTCTCCTCGCTCTTCCATGTCACTCCCTCTCCCTCGCTCTTCCATGTCAGTCCCTCTCCTCGCTCTTCCATGTCACTCCCTCTCCTCGCTCTTCCATGTCAGTCCCTTTCCTCCCTCTTCCATGTCAGTCCCTCTCCTCACTCTTCCATGTCACTCCCTCTCCTCGCTCTTCCATGTCAGTCCCTCTCCTCGCTCTTCCATGTCAGTCCCTCTCCTCGCTCTTCCATGTCAGTCCCTCTCCTCGCTCTTCCATGTCAGTCCCTCTCCTCGCTCTTCCATGTCACTCCCTCTCCTCGCTCTTCCATGTCACTCCCTCTCCCTCGCTCTTCCATGTCAGTCCCTCTCCTCGCTCTTCCATGTCAGTCGCTCTTCCATGTCTTGTTGTTGATGCCATTACCTCCCGGGTATGGTTACCTCACTTGACGCACATGAATGCACCGAACGCCCTCTATTCCACGTGAAAACTTTTCGTAGCACCACATCCTTCCCCTTTATACTCCTTGATGCCTCCCTCAACTTGCGCCCTTGTTGTTTTGACCGCTGTCCTCCCCCTCTCCACACCCCCCACCCCACATCCCCAATTGCAGGTGCTGCTGAGGGTGTGCAAGGCCATGGCGCCCTTCACGCCATTCTTCACCGAGGCCATGTACCAGAACCTCCGCAACGCCTTGCCGCCACGACCCCCCGCTGCGGACGGCGAGGCGGGGAAGGCTGCAGGGCTGGGGGGGGTGGCGGAGGACGAGGAGCATGTGGAGTGGGCGGAGGAGTCGGTGCACTTCTGCTGCTTCCCCTCCTCCGACCAGCACGTGAGCCGCGTGATGAGCTTGCGGGGTTAGGGCGGATGGTGATAAGCATGTGAGCGATTAGTGGTAAGCATGTGAGCGATTAGTGATAAGCATGTGAGCTATTGGTGATAAGCATGTGAGCTATCGGTCATAAGCATGCTAGGTCATGTTGGATAAGCAGCAGCTGCAGGACGACTCTGCAGCAGCTCATGTGCTTCCACTGTTCCACACAAGGCACTCATTAAGTCTTCCAGTGCAACACAACTAAGTTGGAAAAGTCGCGCCCAGCGCATTATACGCAAGCGTATATACGCTTGCGTATAGTGCGTTATGCGCTTCGTGAGTGACTTTGAAAGTCGCAGAAAGTACGCTGCCCGGGCAGCAAAAGGTTTTTACCGGGCAGACGAAAAAAACCGCCGAAGGAGGGGGGGGGGAGTGGTGGTTTTACCGAATTTCATATATGTCAAAAACCTTACATTCTCAACTACTCTAAGCAAGCAACATGCATCTCTCCTACCCCACCCCCTACTCCCACCCTCTACTCCCCCCGTCCCTTCCTTCCTCCTCTACTTGTACTCATCCTCCAGCTCATCCTCCTCCCCCTCCTCCTCATCCTCCTCCAGAACCTCGTTGTACCCTTCCGGCAGGGAGGCCTCAGGGATGTTCCCCGGGAGAACCGTCACCCCCTCAGCCCCCTTGTGCCAGTTGCGCACAATGTTCCAATTGTGCGCAACATACACGAGGTCCCGACACTTCTCGGACCCCAACCTGTTGCGCTTGGCAGTGTGGATCGATTCCCACACTGCCCAGTTCCTCTCACACGCCGATGCGGACACTGGCTGAGAGAGAACGCGGCAAGCGAGCGTTGTTAGCTCGGGGTGCTCCGTCCCGTGCCACGTCCACCACTGGACAGCCGTCTTCTTACCGGCCTTCACGAGCTCACGGTCAGAGATGGCGTCGGGTAGGCCAAAGCTCCCCTGAAGGGTGTTGAATGCCGTCAGGCCGTCCTGGATGACGTGGGATGCGCGCAGCTCCTCGCCCTCCTTGCGCGTGACGGTCCGCCCTGCGTAGTGACGAGCGACAAACGCTTTGAAGATGCGAGTACACTCCAGGTCGGTGCGGAAGATGCCTTCCTCTTGGTTGACCGGGTTGAGGATCCGGCCAACCACGTGCATGGCACACGCCATGCTATGGTCCCAGCGCTTTTGGACGATGTTGGTCACCTCCGTGCGTTCGCTGCTGGACAGCACCAATCCCGCCTCCTCCTCCTCTAGCTTCGCATTGATGTCTTCCGTGAGCTGCAGAATCAGATCGTACATCCTGCCCATCATGCCCTTGGCCGTCGAGTCAGTCTTGCGCATGACGGCAAAGGGGATCTTCAGGAGGGCGACGAAGAACTCCGCCCCTTTCCACCACACGGCATCCATGATCATGGTTGCGAAGGGCTCGACCGGCGGCTTCCTCCCCTTCGCCCAAGCCTGCCACTCCGGGCTCAGCACCATCTGCGTCAATGCACTCCGCACCTCGCAAAGCCGCTGCACCGCGATGAATTGCGTGCCAAATCTGGTGCCCGCCGGCTTCAGCACCTGCTTCCCCTTCCCTCCCTTGACCTGCGGGCTTCGCATGTAACCTTTGGTGAAATGGTGTGCACGCACAAAGGTAATAATCACCCCCGCCTTAGCCACAATGTCCTTCGCCCAATCCATTTTCCCAATGTCCTCCATGAGCAGATCCATGACGTGAGTAGCGCACGGCACATGCTCAATGTGAGGATACTCAAGCATGAGTTCCCTACATGCAGCCGCATAATTGCTGCCCCCATCCATGCATAACGCAACTATGTTGGCGGGCCCCACCTTCTCAATGATCGGGCGCAAAACGGATGCAATGTAACCTCCCGTCTTCATCTCCAACTTACAGTCGATGCTTTCGGTGAACACTGCACCGGAATCGTTGATGAGCAGGATGTTGGCTTGGGGACGGCCACTTTTGTCCGTCATCATGTCCGAGCCTATCGTCACGCCATCCCGCTTCCAGCTCGCAGTGATGGGAGCGAGCCCCCTCTCGATCTTTTCGCGGCAGCGCGCAAGGCCGGCGCCACCAACATACCGCCGCTTCGGGGGAACGTAGCCATGGCCCGCGTCCGTGATGCAGCGCACAGCGTTGCACCAGAGAGGGTGATCGGCGAGATGCTCCGGGAGGTGAAGTGCCGCCCACATGAGGCAGATGGCATCGTCTGCCGATTCCTTCGCACACGACGCCCCTTCCCCGTAGAAGTCTTCGATGCACTGCTTCTTTGCTCCACCCGCACACGCCTCGATCGCCATCTCCTCCGCCTTCTTCTTCCCTTCCCTGCGGGCGTGTTTGCCTTCGTACAATTCGCGGACGGCGCCGCGGTCAGCAGAAGGGATAGGCGCCTTGCAAAGACGGACGTCCTTCCGTTTCAGCCCTTTCCAGCGCGTGATGTGTTGCGCGCAACGGAAGGCGCCCCCTACGAACTTAAGCTTGCAGTGCCGGCATATGCGGAGAGTACGCTCAGGACCATTCGAGGTACCTTCGGTAGAGGTAAGGAAATGCTTAAAAATAACATGGGTGTTCACAGGAACATCCTCGTCGTCCGCCATGGTCGCGTCATTCGAAACACTAGGAGCCTCACTAGTGGCACTTGCGGGAGTACCAGAAGGAGTCGACATCAAGTGCAGGTGAGCGGGAGTGTTAAGAGAGAATGAACGAGGAGAGAGATAATACAGATGACGGGAATGAGAGCTTACCTTATAGTCCAGGATGTGGTTGAGTTGAACCACCTACGCTGGTTGACGACATTCGTGTTTGTGTGTTGGAGTCGCGCGATAGCATAGGGTGCAGTGCGGTTCAAATTTTCCCACGTCCCCACATTTTGACAGGTGTGGGTGACAATGTGGTTGGATTGGGACGTGCGTACAAATTGGGGTGGGACGTGCGCACATTTTGAGTCGCGTCGCACATTCGCAATTCGTGCGCGACTTTTGAAATCTGGTTTTTTTTCGGGTCAGCCCGAACTTTCGCCAACGAATATACGTACGACTTGCGTACACCGTATATTCGTAAACGACTATTCGGAGTGCGCTTATGGTTTTTGGCGACTTTTCCAACATAGCAACACAACACCCTCGCTTCAAAGATGGCCTCATCCTTGCTTGCCGTCTCCCACCTATTACTGCACCTTCCTCTCTCCCTCACTTCTCCCTGCATGCGTGCAGCACAGCAGATTTGTTGTAATTTCATATTTTATAAAACATACATAGGCTTGAATTAAATGTGTAGCACTCTTATAAATTGGGGGGTTGTTTAGGGCATATCCATGTTCGGGTCATGAGCACTGTTCATGCTACTGTTTGGGTCATGCGTAAATTGCGCAAGACCCGAAGTGGGCTGCCGAGCCGTGCGCGGCCCCAGCTTTGGGTCAATGTGCAGGTGTTGGGCGACTGACGTGCACGACTCATCCCCAACCAATCACCTGGTTGCACGATTCTGGTTTTACGGCCATCTTTTATGCGGCAGTCAGGTGTCACAAGTGGGCAATGTCCCACATTCTACACCTCTGCACCCAACCACTCGGCAAATTGACCCCAGTGACCCTCGATGTGTCTATAATTTCCTGCGTTGCGCTCCCAACATTTGGGGATTCACGCCGGGAATTTTGACGAATGTGTTTTTCCGATGGGTGTCGCGTGGTTTTGCGTGGGTGTGGCTCGTGACCTTGCGAACTGTTCTGGCATCCCTCCATTGGATGAGACTGTTGTGGGGAGGGAGATTTTGGCGCGAAAACCCTCCCGCCAGTTTGGGGGTCGCATGGAGTCCGAGGACCCCAAGTGGTGTTTTATGTTGTTTGGGGCATCCGCAAATCGTGCATGCCCGGAAGTGGCTTTATGACCCCAACATGGATACGCCCTTAGTGTACCCTCCAACCACATTTTGTGGTTGGTGGGGATTGGTCCTTAGCTCAACCAATCCCAACTAACACACATTTGTGGTTGCTTGGGCCACAATCAAGCTCACCCATTGGCCAACTTATTGGCCAATAGGGTAAGCTTCCTTCACATCTCTCTCTTGCTCATTGTTTGTAGTAAAGGGCCTCCTGGCTCATTATTCAATGTATCAATTCTCTCTTCTAACAAGATTGACTGCTGCTGATTCGATCCCCATTCTCGTGTCTCTGCTCGCTTTCCCCTTTTCCCTCTCCTCCCTCCTTCCCCCACCCCCATCCCCTCGCTCTCGTGCATGGCAGGTGGACGAGCGCACGGAGCGCAGTGTGGAGAGGATGATGAAGGTCATCGACCTCGCTCGGAACATCCGCGAGCGGAACAACCGCCCGCTCAAGACGCCCCTCAGGTGAGCAACAGCAATGAAATGCCGGTCTTGTGAAATGGCTGTTGGGCCAGTGTGGCACTCAGGCATATTTACTGGCATTAGTGGCGGCACCTATTTAACCACCTTCCGTTAGGCCCAAGCCCAGCAACTGCTTGGCTAAACCTATTAGTGGGATGCCAACTCTGTTTTTCCTTCACCTCGTCCCACCAAGTACTTTTTTTCCTGGCCTTGGACGTGCACTGCATTATGCCCTGCCGCATTGCTGAACTCCTCCCTGTCGTGTCGTGCGTGCGTGTGTGCCGTGTGGGCGGGCAGGGAGATGGTGGTGGTGCACCCGGACGCCCAGTTCCTTGAAGACATCACGGGCAAGCTGTGTGAGGTGAGGAGGGGCGAGATATGTGACGCGAGGCAGGGAAAGCTGCGTGTTCATGGAATTGTGTGCAGCACATACGCTAAGCTGTATCGAATTCGCAAAGAACATTGTTACTTGATTCACCCTCATTCACACTGTCTCCTTTCCCTCTCCACTTTCACCTTTCCCGTCACCGGGCCCTCTCCCCAGCAAACCAACTCATCCCGTCACCGGGCCCTCTCCCCAGCAAACCAACTCATCCTTGACAAGAAAAGCCGCGCTTAGAGTGCCAGTCGACAAAGCATTCCTTTCTCCCCCCACCCCCTCCTCCCCTCCCTCCTCACCCCCACTCCTCCCCTCCTCCCCCCCCTCCCCTCGCCCCGGTAGTACGTGCGGGAGGAGCTGAACGTGCGCTCCGTGCTGCCCTGCGCTGACACCAGCAAGTACACCTCTGTGCGCGCCGAACCTGACTTCAGGTATGGTCCGAACCACACGAATAGGCAGACAAATGCCGTACCTGGCTGCAGCAGCTGTGGTCGAAGCGAGCAACTGGTGTACGTGGATGCACTGTAGAGCAGCATGAACGGCATTGCTTGCAACAGCTGTGCTTCGCATGGTGTCGTGCGGTGTCGTGTGGTGTGGTGTGGTGGGTGCATGGAGACTGTCACCAGTGGGTTGTGGGGTACTACAATAGAGCTGTGCGTGCTGCCAGACACACAACCGAGTGCCTTGCCTTGCCTCCCACATGAGATGGCAGCACGGCAAGGCAAGGCTGCACTGTGCCTGCACAGTCTGCTCGCGGTGCATGCGCCGAAGCAGCCCACCATTCGCTCCGTACTCCTCCTCCCTCGCTGCATCTGCTCCCTCCTCCCTCCTCTCACATCCCAACCACTTACCTTTTCTAACATCTTATCCACCCACCACCCACCACGGGCACGTGGCATGGCAGTGTGTTGGGGAGGCGCGTGGGGAGGGCGATGGGTGCGGTGGCGAAGGCGGTGAAGGAGATGGACGCGGCGGCCATCGCTGCCATGCAGCTGGCGGGGGAGGTCACCGTCGCCGGCCACACGCTCTCCGCCTCCGACATCAAGGTGCGCACAGGGGGGTGGAGATTAGGGGCAGGGGGGGACGGAGATGAGGGGCACGGGGGGCAGAGACAAGGGTCGTGGGAGGCGGTTTCTGGGTGTGACGGTAGGACGTAGAGCAAGCAAAGAAGGGGGTTGAGTGGAAGATGGGGGGTGAGTCGTTGGTGTGGATTAGAGAGAAAGTTGGATGTGGAGGGTGTTGGAGGAGAGTGGGTGGTGAAGATCCCTCCTAGGCGTAGTTTTCACTCTCTTGCTTTCATCGTTTTTCCTTCCCCTTCTCCTTTACCAACCTCTTCTCATCTCTCATTCTCCTCCAAACCTTCACCACCTCTCTCCACCCCCCTGTCACACACTCCACACCTTCCACTCCGCCGTCCATTGCCCACACGCCTGCCATCGTGTGGCTACCAGGTGGTGCGCGACTTCAAGGCGCCCGAGGGCAGTGTGGCGGGGGACATGGACGCGGCGGGCGATGGCGAGGTGCTCGTGGTGCTGGACCTGCGCGCCGACACCGACCTGCTGGATGCCGGCACTGCGCGCGAGGTGAGGCAAGAGCGGTGGCAGGGAGGTGAGGCAAGAGCGGTGGCAGGGAGGTGAGGCAAGAGCGGTGGCAGGGAGGTGAGGCAAGAGCGGTGGCAGGGAGGTGAGGGAAGAGCGGTGGCAGGGAGGTGAGGGAAGAGCGGTGGCAGGGAGGTGAGGCAAGAGCGGTGGCAGGGAGGTGAGGGAAGAGCGGTGGCAGGGAGGTGGGGCAAGAGCGGTGGCAGGGAGGTGAGGGAAGAGCGGTGGCAGGGAGGTGAGGGAAGAGCGGTGGCAGGGAGGTGAGGGAAGAGCGGTGGCAGGGAGGTGAGGGAAGAGCGGTGGCAGGGAGGTGAGGGAAGAGCGGTGGCAGGGAGGTGAGGGAAGCGCGAGGTGAGGCATGCGAGTATGAAGGGGGGGGGTGACTGTTGAGTTGACACAAGGGGGCGTGCTTGTTGTTCTCGTGCTGCTCGTTGTTCTCGTGCTGCTCGTTGTTCTCGTGGTGCTCGTCGTTCTCGTGCTGCTCGTTGTTCTTGTGGTGCTATTCGTTCTCGTGCTGCTCATTGTTCTCGTGGTGCTCGTTGTTCTCGTGCTGCTCGATGTTCTCGTGCTGCTCGTTGTTCTCGTGCTGCTCGTTGTTCTCGGGGTGCTCGTCGTTCTCGTGCTGCTCGTTGTTCTTGTGGTGCTCGTCGTTCTCGTGCTGCTCGTTGTTCTCGTGGTGCTCGTTGTTCTTGTGCTGCTCGTTGTTCTCGTGCTGCTCGTTGTTCTCGTGCTGCTCATTGTTCTCGGGGTGCTCGTTGTTCTCGTGCTGCTCGTCGTTCTCGTGCTGCTCGTCGTTCTCGTGCTGCTCGTCGTTCTCGTGCTGCTCGTCGTTCTCGTGCTGCTCGTCGTTCTCGTGCTGCTCGTCGTTCTCGTGCTGCTCGTCGTTCTCGTCCTGCTCGTCGTTCTCGTCCTGCTCGTCGTTCTCGTGCTGCTCGTCGTTCTCGTGCTGCTCGTCGTTCTCGTGCTGCTCGTCGTTCTCGTGCTGCTCGTCGTTCTCGTCCTGCTCGTCGTTCTCGTGCTGCTCGTCGTTCTCGTCCTGCTCGTCGTTCTCGTCCTGCTCGTCGTTCTCGTCCTGCTCGTCGTTCTCGTGCTGCTCGTCGTTCTCGTCCTGCTCGTCGGTCTCGTCCTGCTCGTCGGTCTCGTCCTGCTCGTTGTTCTCGTGCTGCTCGTCGTTCTCGTCCTGCTCGTCGTTCTCGTGCTGCTCGTCGTTCTCGTGCTGCTCGTCGTTCTCGTGCTGCTCGTCGTTCTCGTCCTGCTCGTCGTTCTCGTGCTGCTCGTCGTTCTCGTGCTGCTCGTTGTTCTCGTGCTGCTCGTTGTTCTCGTGCTGCTCGTTGTTCTCGTGCTGCTCGTTGTTCTCGTGCTGCTCGTCGTTCTCGTGCTGCTCGTCGTTCTCGTGCTGCTCGTCGTTCTCGTGCTGCTCGTCGCTCTCGTGCTGCTCGTCGTTCTCGTCCTGCTCGTCGTTCTCGTGCTGCTCGTCGTTCTCGTGCTGCTCGTCGTTCTCGTGCTGCCCGTCGTTCTCGTGCTGCCCGTCGTTCTCGTGCTGCTCGTCGTTCTCGTGCTGCCCGTCGTTCTCGTGCTGCTCGTCGTTCTCGTGCTGTTCGTCGTTCTCGTGCTGCTCGTCGTTCTCGTGCTGCTCGTCGTTCTCGTGCTGCTCGTCGTTCTCGTGCTGCTCGTCGTTCTCGTGCTGCTCCTCGTTCTCGTGCTGCTCGTCGTTCTCGTGCTGCTCGTCGTTCTCGTGCGTTCTCGTGCTGCTCGTCGTTCTCGTGCTGCTCGTCGTTCTCGTGCTGCTCGTCGTTCTCGTGCTGCTCGTCGTTCTCGTGCTGCTCGTCGTTCGCGTGCTGCTCGTCGTTCTCGTGCTGCTCGTCGTTCTCGTGCTGCTCGTCGTTCTCGTGCTACTCGTCGTTCTCGTGCTGCTCGTCGTTCTCGTGCTGCTCGTCGTTCTCGTGCTGCTCGTCGTTCTCGTCCTGCTCGCCGTTCTCGTCCTGCTCGTCGTTCTCGTCCTGCTCGTCGTTCTCGTCCTGCTCGTCGTTCTCGTCCTGCTCGTCGTTCTCGTGCTGCTCGTCGTTCTCGTCCTGCTCGTCGGTCTCGTCCTGCTCGTCGGTCTCGTCCTGCTCGTTGTTCTCGTGCTGCTCGTCGTTCTCGTCCTGCTCGTCGTTCTCGTGCTGCTCGTCGTTCTCGTGCTGCTCGTCGTTCTCGTGCTGCTCGTCGTTCTCGTCCTGCTCGTCGTTCTCGTGCTGCTCGTCGTTCTCGTGCTGCTCGTTGTTCTCGTGCTGCTCGTTGTTCTCGTGCTGCTCGTTGTTCTCGTGCTGCTCGTTGTTCTCGTGCTGCTCGTCGTTCTCGTGCTGCTCGTCGTTCTCGTGCTGCTCGTCGTTCTCGTGCTGCTCGTCGCTCTCGTGCTGCTCGTCGTTCTCGTCCTGCTCATCGTTCTCGTGCTGCTCGTCGTTCTCGTGCTGCTCGTCGTTCTCGTGCTGCCCGTCGTTCTCGTGCTGCCCGTCGTTCTCGTGCTGCTCGTCGTTCTCGTGCTGCCCGTCGTTCTCGTGCTGCTCGTCGTTCTCGTGCTGTTCGTCGTTCTCGTGCTGCTCGTCGTTCTCGTGCTGCTCGTCGTTCTCGTGCTGCTCGTTGTTCTCGTGCTGCTCGTCGTTCTCGTGCTGCTCCTCGTTCTCGTGCTGCTCGTCGTTCTCGTGCTGCTCGTCGTTCTCGTGCTGCTCGTCGTTCTCGTGCTGCTCGTCGCTCTCGTGCTGCTCGTCGTTCTCGTCCTGCTCGTCGTTCTCGTGCTGCTCGTCGTTCTCGTGCTGCTCGTCGTTCTCGTGCTGCCCGTCGTTCTCGTGCTGCCCGTCGTTCTCGTGCTGCTCGTCGTTCTCGTGCTGCCCGTCGTTCTCGTGCTGCTCGTCGTTCTCGTGCTGTTCGTCGTTCTCGTGCTGCTCGTCGTTCTCGTGCTGCTCGTCGTTCTCGTGCTGCTCGTCGTTCTCGTGCTGCTCGTCGTTCTCGTGCTGCTCCTCGTTCTCGTGCTGCTCGTCGTTCTCGTGCTGCTCGTCGTTCTCGTGCTGCTCGTCGTTCTCGTGCTGCTCGTCGTTCTCGTGCTGCTCGTCGTTCTCGTGCTGCTCGTCGTTCTCGTGCTGCTCGTCGTTCTCGTGCTGCTCGTCGTTCTCGTGCTGCTCGTCGTTCGCGTGCTGCTCGTCGTTCTCGTGCTGCTCGTCGTTCTCGTGCTGCTCGTCGTTCTCGTGCTACTCGTCGTTCTCGTGCTGCTCGTCGTTCTCGTGCTGCTCGTCGTTCTCGTGCTGCTCGTCGTTCTCGTCCTGCTCGCCGTTCTCGTCCTGCTCGTCGTTCTCGTCCTGCTCGTCGTTCTCGTCCTGCTCGTCGTTCTCGTCCTGCTCGTCGTTCTCGTGCTGCTCGTCGTTCTCGTCCTGCTCGTCGGTCTCGTCCTGCTCGTCGGTCTCGTCCTGCTCGTTGTTCTCGTGCTGCTCGTCGTTCTCGTCCTGCTCGTCGTTCTCGTGCTGCTCGTCGTTCTCGTGCTGCTCGTCGTTCTCGTGCTGCTCGTCGTTCTCGTCCTGCTCGTCGTTCTCGTGCTGCTCGTCGTTCTCGTGCTGCTCGTTGTTCTCGTGCTGCTCGTTGTTCTCGTGCTGCTCGTTGTTCTCGTGCTGCTCGTTGTTCTCGTGCTGCTCGTCGTTCTCGTGCTGCTCGTCGTTCTCGTGCTGCTCGTCGTTCTCGTGCTGCTCGTCGCTCTCGTGCTGCTCGTCGTTCTCGTCCTGCTCATCGTTCTCGTGCTGCTCGTCGTTCTCGTGCTGCTCGTCGTTCTCGTGCTGCCCGTCGTTCTCGTGCTGCCCGTCGTTCTCGTGCTGCTCGTCGTTCTCGTGCTGCCCGTCGTTCTCGTGCTGCTCGTCGTTCTCGTGCTGTTCGTCGTTCTCGTGCTGCTCGTCGTTCTCGTGCTGCTCGTCGTTCTCGTGCTGCTCGTTGTTCTCGTGCTGCTCGTCGTTCTCGTGCTGCTCCTCGTTCTCGTGCTGCTCGTCGTTCTCGTGCTGCTCGTCGTTCTCGTGCTGCTCGTCGTTCTCGTGCTGCTCGTCGTTCTCGTGCTGCTCGTCGTTCTCGTGCTGCTCGTCGTTCTCGTGCTGCTCGTCGTTCTCGTGCTGCTCGTCGTTCGCGTGCTGCTCGTCGTTCTCGTGCTGCTCGTCGTTCTCGTGCTGCTCGTCGTTCTCGTGCTGCTCGTCGTTCTCGTGCTGCTCGTCGTTCTCGTGCTGCTCGTCGTTCTCGGTGCTGCTCGTTGTTCTCGTGCTGCTCGTTGTTCTCGTGCTGCTCGTTGTTCTCGTGCTGCTCGTCGTTCTCGTGCTGCTCGTCGTTCTCGTGCTGCTCGTCGTTCTCGTGCTGCTCGTCGTTCTCGACCTGCTCGTCATTCTCGTCCTGCTCGTCGTTCTCGTCCTGCTCGTCGTTCTCGTCCTGCTCGTCGTTCTCGTCATGCTCGTCGTTCTCGTCATGCTCGTTGTTCTCGTCCTGCTCGTCGTTCTCGTGCCGCTCGTCGTTCTCGTGCTGCTCGTCGTTCTCGTGCTGCTCGTCGTTCTCGTGCTGCTCGTTGTTCTCGTGCTGCTCGTTGTTCTCGTGCTGCTCGTTGTTCTCGTGCTGCTCGTTGTTCTCGTGCTGCTCGTTGTTCTCGTGCTGCTCGTCGTTCTCGTGCTGCTCGTCGTTCTCGTCCTGCTCGTCTTTCTCGTCCTGCTCGTCGTTCTCGTCCTGCTCGTCGTTCTCGTGCTGCTCGTTGTTCTTGTGGTGCTCGTTGTTCTCGTGCTGCTCGTTGTTCTCGTGCTGCTCGTCGTTCTCGTGGTGCTCGTCGTTCTCGTGGTGCTCGTCGTTCTCGTGCTGCTCGTTGTTCTCGTGCTGCTCGTTGTTCTCGTGGTGCTCGTTGTTCTCGTGCTGCTCGTTGTTCTCGTGCTGCTCGTTGTTCTCGTGCTGCTCTTTGTTCTCGTGCTGCTCGTTGTTCTCGTGCTGCTCGTTGTTCTCGTGCTGCTCGTTGCTCTCGTCCTGCTCGTCGCTCTCGTGCTGCTCGTCGCTCTCGTGCTGCTCGTCGTTCTCGTGCTGCTCGTCGTTCTCGTGCTGCTCGTTGTTCTCGTGCAGCTCGTCGTTCTCGTGCTGCTCGTCGTTCTCGTGCTGCTCGTCGTTCTCGTGCTGCTCGTCGTTCTCGTGCTGCTCGTCGTTCTCGTGCTGCTCGTCGTTCTCGTGCTGCTCGTCGTTCTCGTGCTGCTCGTTGTTCTCGTGCTGCTCGTTGTTCTCGTGCTGCTCGTCGTTCTCGTGCTGCTCGTTGTTCTCGTGCTGCTCGTTGTTCTCGTGCTGCTCGTTGTTCTCGTGCTGCTCGTTGTTCTCGTGCTGCTCGGTGTTCTCGTGCTGCTCGTCGTTCTCGTGCTGCTCGTCGTTCTCGTGCTGCTCGTCGTTCTCGTGCTGCTCGTCGTTCTCGTGCTGCTCGTCGTTCTCGTGCTGCTCGTCGTTCTCGTGCTGCTCGTCGTTCTCGTGCTGCTCGTCGTTCTCGTCCTGCTCGTCGTTCTCGTCCTGCTCGTCGTTCTCGTGCTGCTCGTCGTTCTCGTCCTGCTCGTCGTTCTCGTCCTGCTCGTCGTTCTCGTCCTGCTCATCGTTCTCGTCCTGCTCGTCGTTCTCGTCCTGCTCGTCGTTCTCGTCCTGCTCGTCGTTCTCGTGCTGCTCGTCGGTCTCGTCCTGCTCGTCGGTCTCGTCCTGCTCGTCGGTCTCGTCCTGCTCGTCGGTCTCGTGCTGCTCGTCGTTCTCGTGCTGCTCGTCGTTCTCGTGCTGCTCGTCGTTCTCGTGCTGCTCGTCGTTCTCGTGCTGCTCGTCGTTCTCGTCCTGCTCGTCGTTCTCGTGCTGCTCGTCGTTCTCGTGCTGCTCGTCGTTCTCGTGCTGCTCGTTGTTCTCGTGCTGCTCGTTGTTCTCGTGCTGCTCGTCGTTCTCGTGCTGCTCGTCGTTCTCGTGCTGCTCGTCGTTCTCGTGCTGCCCGTCGTTCTCGTGCTGCCCGTCGTTCTCGTGCTGCTCGTCGTTCTCGTGCTGCCCGTCGTTCTCGTGCTGTTCGTCGGTCTCGTGCTGTTCGTCGGTCTCGTGCTGCTCGTCGTTCTCGTGCTGCTCGTCGTTCTCGTGCTGCTCGTTGTTCTCGTGCTGCTCGTCGTTCTCGTGCTGCTCGTCGTTCTCGTGCTGCTCGTCGTTCTCGTGCTGCTCGTCGTTCTCGTGCTGCTCGTCGTTCCGTTGCTCGCGTTCTCGTGCTGCTCGTCGTTCTCGTGCTGCTCGTCGTTCTCGTGCTGCTCGTCGTTCTCGTGCTGCTCGTCGTTCTCGTGCTGCTCGTCGTTCTCGTGCTGCTCGTCGTTCTCGTGCTGCTCGTCGTTCTCGTGCTGCTCGTCGTTCTCGTGCTGCTCGTCGTTCTCGTGCTGCTCGTCGTTCTCGTGCTGCTCGTCGTTCTCGTGCTGCTCGTCGTTCTCGTGCTGCTCGTCGTTCTCGTGCTGCTCGTCGTTCTCGTGCTGCTCGTCGTTCTCGTGCTGCTCGTCGTTCTCGTGCTGCTCGTCGTTCTCGTGCTGCTCGTCGTTCTCGTGCTGCTCGTTGTTCTCGTGCTGCTCGTTGTTCTCGTGCTGCTCGTCGTTCTCGTGCTGCTCGTCGTTCTCGTGCTGCTCGTCGTTCTCGTGCTGCCCGTCGTTCTCGTGCTGCCCGTCGTTCTCGTGCTGCTCGTCGTTCTCGTGCTGCTCGTCGTTCTCGTGCTGTTCGTCGGTCTCGTGCTGTTCGTCGGTCTCGTGCTGCTCGTCGTTCTCGTGCTGCTCGTCGTTCTCGTGCTGCTCGTCGTTCTCGTGCTGCTCGTCGTTCTCGTGCTGCTCGTCGTTCTCGTGCTGCTCGTCGTTCTCGTGCTGCTCGTCGTTCTCGTGCTGCTCGTCGTTCTCGTGCTGCTCGTCGTTCTCGTGCTGCTCGTCGTTCTCGTGCTGCTCGTCGTTCTCGTGCTGCTCGTCGTTCTCGTGCTGCTCGTCGTTCTCGTGCTGCTCGTCGTTCTCGTGCTGCTCGTCGTTCTCGTCCTGCTCGTCGTTCTCGTGCTGCTCGTCGTTCTCGTGCTGCTCGTCGTTCTCGTGCTGCTCGTCGTTCTCGTGCTGCTCGTCGTTCTCGTGCTGCTCGTCGTTCTCGTGCTGCTCGTCGTTCTCGTGCTGCTCGTCGTTCTCGTGCTGCTCGTCGTTCTCGTCCTGCTCGTCGTTCTCGTGCTGCTCGTCGTTCTCGTCCTGCTCGTCGTTCTCGTCCTGCTCGTCGTTCTCGTGCTGCTCGTCGTTCTCGTGCTGCTCGTCGTTCTCGTCCTGCTCGTCGTTCTCGTCCTGCTCGTCGTTCTCGTCCTGCTCGTCGTTCTCGTCCTGCTCGTCGTTCTCGTCCTGCTCGTCGTTCTCGTGCTGCTCGTCGTTCTCGTCCTGCTCGTCGGTCTCGTCCTGCTCGTCGGTCTCGTCCTGCTCGTCGTTCTCGTGCTGCTCGTCGTTCTCGTGCTGCTCGTCGTTCTCGTGCTGCTCGTCGTTCTCGTGCTGCTCGTCGTTCTCGTGCTGCTCGTCGTTCTCGTCCTGCTCGTCGTTCTCGTGCTGCTCGTCGTTCTCGTGCTGCTCGTCGTTCTCGTGCTGCTCGTTGTTCTCGTGCTGCTCGTTGTTCTCGTGCTGCTCGTCGTTCTCGTGCTGCTCGTCGTTCTCGTGCTGCTCGTCGTTCTCGTGCTGCCCGTCGTTCTCGTGCTGCCCGTCGTTCTCGTGCTGCTCGTCGTTCTCGTGCTGCCCGTCGTTCTCGTGCTGTTCGTCGGTCTCGTGCTGTTCGTCGGTCTCGTGCTGCTCGTCGTTCTCGTGCTGCTCGTCGTTCTCGTGCTGCTCGTCGTTCTCGTGCTGCTCGTCGTTCTCGTGCTGCTCGTCGTTCTCGTGCTGCTCGTCGTTCTCGTGCTGCTCGTCGTTCTCGTGCTGCTCGTCGTTCTCGTGCTGCTCGTCGTTCTCGTGCTGCTCGTCGTTCTCGTGCTGCTCGTCGTTCTCGTGCTGCTCGTCGTTCTCGTGCTGCTCGTCGTTCTCGTGCTGCTCGTCGTTCTCGTGCTGCTCGTCGTTCTCGTGCTGCTCGTCGTTCTCGTGCTGCTCGTCGTTCTCGTGCTGCTCGTCGTTCTCGTGCTGCTCGTCGTTCTCGTGCTGCTCGTCGTTCTCGTGCTGCTCGTCGTTCTCGTGCTGCTCGTCGTTCTCGTGCTGCTCGTCGTTCTCGTGCTGCTCGTTGTTCTCGTGCTGCTCGTTGTTCTCGTGCTGCTCGTCGTTCTCGTGCTGCTCGTCGTTCTCGTGCTGCTCGTCGTTCTCGTGCTGCCCGTCGTTCTCGTGCTGCCCGTCGTTCTCGTGCTGCTCGTCGTTCTCGTGCTGCCCGTCGTTCTCGTGCTGTTCGTCGGTCTCGTGCTGTTCGTCGGTCTCGTGCTGCTCGTCGTTCTCGGTGCTGCTCGTCGTTCTCGTGCTGCTCGTTGTTCTCGTGCTGCTCGTCGTTCTCGTGCTGCTCGTCGTTCTCGTGCTGCTCGTCGTTCTCGTGCTGCTCGTCGTTCTCGTGCTGCTCGTCGTTCTCGTGCTGCTCGTCGTTCTCGTGCTGCTCGTCGTTCTCGTGCTGCTCGTCGTTCTCGTGCTGCTCGTCGTTCTCGTGCTGCTCGTCGTTCTCGTGCTGCTCGTCGTTCTCGTGCTGCTCGTCGTTCTCGTGCTGCTCGTCGTTCTCGTGCTGCTCGTCGTTCTCGTGCTGCTCGTCGTTCTCGTGCTGCTCGTCGTTCTCGTGCTGCTCGTCGTTCTCGTGCTGCTCGTTGTTCTCGTGCTGCTCGTCGTTCTCGTGCTGCTCGTTGTTCTCGTGCTGCTCGTCGTTCTCGTGCTGCTCGTCGTTCTCGTGCTGCTCGTCTTTCTCGTCCTGCTCGTCGTTCTCGTGCTGCTCGTCGTTCTCGTCCTGCTCGTCGTTCTCGTCCTGCTCGTCGTTCTCGTGCTGCTCGTCGTTCTCGTGCTGCTCGTCGTTCTCGTGCTGCTCGTCGTTCTCGACCTGCTCGTCATTCTCGTCCTGCTCGTCGTTCTCGTCCTGCTCGTCGTTCTCGTCCTGCTCGTCGTTCTCGTCCTGCTCGTCGTTCTCGTCATGCTCGTCGTTCTCGTCATGCTCGTTGTTCTCGTCCTGCTCGTCGTTCTCGTGCCGCTCGTCGTTCTCGTGCTGCTCGTCGTTCTCGTGCTGCTCGTCGTTCTCGTGCTGCTCGTTGTTCTCGTGCTGCTCGTTGTTCTCGTGCTGCTCGTTGTTCTCGTGCTGCTCGTTGTTCTCGTGCTGCTCGTTGTTCTCGTGCTGCTCGTCGTTCTCGTGCTGCTCGTCGTTCTCGTGCTGCTCGTCTTTCTCGTCCTGCTCGTCGTTCTCGTCCTGCTCGTCGTTCTCGTGCTGCTCGTTGTTCTTGTGGTGCTCGTTGTTCTCGTGCTGCTCGTTGTTCTCGTGCTGCTCGTCGTTCTCGTGGTGCTCGTCGTTCTCGTGGTGCTCGTCGTTCTCGTGCTGCTCGTTGTTCTCGTGCTGCTCGTTGTTCTCGTGGTGCTCGTTGTTCTCGTGCTGCTCGTTGTTCTCGTGCTGCTCGTTGTTCTCGTGCTGCTCTTTGTTCTCGTGCTGCTCGTTGTTCTCGTGCTGCTCGTTGTTCTCGTGCTGCTCGTTGCTCTCGTCCTGCTCGTCGCTCTCGTGCTGCTCGTCGCTCTCGTGCTGCTCGTCGTTCTCGTGCTGCTCGTCGTTCTCGTGCTGCTCGTTGTTCTCGTGCTGCTCGTCGTTCTCGTGCTGCTCGTCGTTCTCGTGCTGCTCGTCGTTCTCGTGCTGCTCGTCGTTCTCGTGCTGCTCGTCGTTCTCGTGCTGCTCGTCGTTCTCGTGCTGCTCGTCGTTCTCGTGCTGCTCGTTGTTCTCGTGCTGCTCGTTGTTCTCGTGCTGCTCGTCGTTCTCGTGCTGCTCGTTGTTCTCGTGCTGCTCGTTGTTCTCGTGCTGCTCGTTGTTCTCGTGCTGCTCGTTGTTCTCGTGCTGCTCGGTGTTCTCGTGCTGCTCGTCGTTCTCGTGCTGCTCGTCGTTCTCGTGCTGCTCGTCGTTCTCGTGCTGCTCGTCGTTCTCGTGCTGCTCGTCGTTCTCGTGCTGCTCGTCGTTCTCGTGCTGCTCGTCGTTCTCGTGCTGCTCGTCGTTCTCGTGCTGCTCGTCGTTCTCGTCCTGCTCGTCGTTCTCGTCCTGCTCGTCGTTCTCGTGCTGCTCGTCGTTCTCGTGCTGCTCGTCGTTCTCGTCCTGCTCGTCGTTCTCGTCCTGCTCGTCGTTCTCGTCCTGCTCGTCGTTCTCGTCCTGCTCGTCGTTCTCGTCCTGCTCGTCGTTCTCGTGCTGCTCGTCGTTCTCGTCCTGCTCGTCGGTCTCGTCCTGCTCGTCGGTCTCGTCCTGCTCGTCGGTCTCGTGCTGCTCGTCGTTCTCGTGCTGCTCGTCGTTCTCGTGCTGCTCGTCGTTCTCGTGCTGCTCGTCGTTCTCGTCCTGCTCGTCGTTCTCGTCCTGCTCGTCGTTCTCGTGCTGCTCGTCGTTCTCGTGCTGCTCGTCGTTCTCGTGCTGCTCGTTGTTCTCGTGCTGCTCGTTGTTCTCGTGCTGCTCGTCGTTCTCGTGCTGCTCGTCGTTCTCAGTGCTGCTCGTCGTTCTCGTGCTGCCCGTCGTTCTCGTGCTGCCCGTCGTTCTCGTGCTGCTCGTCGTTCTCGTGCTGCCCGTCGTTCTCGTGCTGTTCGTCGGTCTCGTGCTGTTCGTCGGTCTCGTGCTGCTCGTCGTTCTCGTGCTGCTCGTCGTTCTCGTGCTGCTCGTTGTTCTCGTGCTGCTCGTCGTTCTCGTGCTGCTCGTCGTTCTCGTGCTGCTCGTCGTTCTCGTGCTGCTCGTCGTTCTCGTGCTGCTCGTCGTTCTCGTGCTGCTCGTCGTTCTCGTGCTGCTCGTCGTTCTCGTGCTGCTCGTCGTTCTCGTGCTGCTCGTCGTTCTCGTGCTGCTCGTCGTTCTCGTGCTGCTCGTCGTTCTCGTGCTGCTCGTCGTTCTCGTGCTGCTCGTCGTTCTCGTGCTGCTCGTCGTTCTCGTGCTGCTCGTCGTTCTCGTGCTGCTCGTCGTTCTCGTGCTGCTCGTCGTTCTCGTGCTGCTCGTCGTTCTCGTGCTGCTCGTCGTTCTCGTGCTGCTCGTCGTTCTCGTGCTGCTCGTTGTTCTCGTGCTGCTCGTTCGTTCTCGGTGCTGCTCGTCGTTCTCGTGCTGCTCGTCGTTCTCGTGCTGCTCGTCGTTCTCGTGCTGCCCGTCGTTCTCGTGCTGCCCGTCGTTCTCGTGCTGCTCGTCGTTCTCGTGCTGCCCGTCGTTCTCGTGCTGTTCGTCGGTCTCGTGCTGTTCGTCGGTCTCGTGCTGCTCGTCGTTCTCGTGCTGCTCGTCGTTCTCGGTGCTGCTCGTTGTTCTCGTGCTGCTCGTCGTTCTCGTGCTGCTCGTCGTTCTCGTGCTGCTCGTCGTTCTCGGTGCTGCTCGTCGTTCTCGTGCTGCTCGTCGTTCTCGTGCTGCTCGTCGTTCTCCGTGCTGCTCGTCGTTCTCGTGCTGCTCGTCGTTCTCGTGCTGCCTCGTTGTTCTCGTGCTGCTCGTTGTTCTCCGTGCTGCTCGTCGTTCTCGTGCTGCTCGTTGTTCTCGTGCTGCTCGTTGTTCTCGGTGCTGCTCGTTGTTCTCGTGCTGCTCGGTGTTCTCGTGCTGCTCGTCGTTCTCGTGCTGCTCGTCGTTCTCGTGCTGCTCGTCGTTCTCGTGCTGCTCGTCGTTCTCGTGCTGCTCGTCGTTCTCGTGCTGCTCGTCGTTCTCGTGCTGCTCGTCGTTCTCGTGCTGCTCGTCGTTCTCGTGCTGCTCGTCGTTCTCGTGCTGCTCGTCGTTCTCGTGCTGCTCGTCGTTCTCGTCCTGCTCGTCGTTCTCGTGCTGCTCGTTGTTCTCGTGCTGCTCGTTGCTCTCGTGCTGCTCGTTGTTCTCGTGCTGCTCGTCGTTCTCGTGCTGCTCGTCGTTCTCGTGCTGCTCGTCTTTCTCGTCCTGCTCGTCGTTCTCGTGCTGCTCGTCGTTCTCGTCCTGCTCGTCATTCTCGTCCTGCTCGTCGTTCTCGTCCTGCTCGTCGTTCTCGTGCTGCTCGTTGTTCTCGTGCTGCTCGTCGTTCTCGTGCTGCTCGTTGTTCTCGTGCTGCTCGTTGTTCTCGTCCTGCTCGTTGTTCTCGTCCTGCTCGTCGTTCTCGTCCTGCTCGTCGTTCTCGTGCTGCTCGTCGTTCTCGTGCTGCTCGTCGTTCTCGTGCTGCTCGTCGCTCGTTGTTCTCGTGCTGCTCGTTGTTCTCGTGCTGCTCGTTGTTCTCGTGCTGCTCGTTGTTCTCGTGCTGCTCGTTGTTCTCGTGCTGCTCGTTGTTCTCGTGCTCTCGTCGTTCTCGTGCTCTCGTCGTTCTCGTGCTGCTCGTCGTTCTCGTGCTGCTCGTCGTTCTCGTGCTGCTCGTCGTTCTCGTGCTGCTCGTCGTTCTCGTGCTCCTCGTTGTTCTCGTGCTGCTCGTTGTTCTCGTGCTGCTCGTTGTTCTCGTGCTGCTCGTTGTTCTCGTGCTGCTCGTCGTTCTCGTGCTGCTCGTCGTTCTCGTGCTGCTCGTTGTTCTCGTGCTGCTCGTTGTTCTCGTGCTGCTCGTTGCTCTCGTGCTGCTCGTTGCTCTCGTGCTGCTCGTTGCTCTCGTGCTGCTCGTTGCTCGTTCTCGTGCTGCTCGTTGTTCTCGTGCTGCTCGTTGTTCTCGTGCTGCTCGTTGTTCTCGTGCTGCTCGTTGTTCTCGTGCTGCTCGTTGTTCTCGTGCTGCTCGTTGTTCTCGTGCTGCTCGTTGATCTCGTGCTGCTCGTTGTTCTCGTGCTGCTCGTTGTTCTCGTGCTGCTCGTTGCTCTCGTGCTGCTCGTTGCTCTCGTGCTGCTCGTTGCTCTCGTGCTGCTCGTTGCTCTCGTGCTGCTCGTTGTTCTCGTGCTGCTCGTTGTTCTCGTGCTGCTCGTTGTTCTCGTGCTGCTCGTTGTTCTCGTGCTGCTCGTTGTTCTCGTGCTGCTCGTTGTTCTCGTCTGCTCGTCGTTCTCGTGCTGCTCGTCGTTCTCGTGCTGCTCGTCGTTCTCGTGCTGCTCGTCGTTCTCGTGCTGCTCGTTCGTTCTCGTGCTGCTCGTTGTTCTCGTGCTGCTCGTTGTTCTCGTGCTGCTCGTTGTTTCTCGTGCTGCTCGTTGTTCTCGTGCTGCTCGTTGTTCTCGTGCTGCTCGTTGTTCTCGTGCTCTCGTTCGTTCTCGTGCTGCTCGTCGTTCTCGTGCTGCTCGTCGTTCTCGTGCTGCTCGTCGTTCTCGTGCTGCTCGTCGTTCTCGTGCTCCTCGTTGTTCTCGTGCTGCTCGTTGTTCTCGTGCTGCTCGTTGTTCTCGTGCTGCTCGTTGTTCTCGTGCTGCTCGTCGTTCTCGTGCTGCTCGTCGTTCTCGTGCTGCTCGTTGTTCTCGTGCTGCTCGTTGTTCTCGTGCTGCTCGTTGCTCTCGTGCTGCTCGTTGCTCTCGTGCTGCTCGTTGCTCTCGTGCTGCTCGTTGTTCTCGTGCTGCTCGTTGTTCTCGTGCTGCTCGTTGTTCTCGTGCTGCTCGTTGTTCTCGTGCTGCTCGTTGTTCTCGTGCTGCTCGTTGTTCTCGTGCTGCTCGTTGTTCTCGTGCTGCTCGTTGTTCTCGTGCTGCTCGTTGATCTCGTGCTGCTCGTTGTTCTCGTGCTGCTCGTTGTTCTCGTGCTGCTCGTTGCTCTCGTGCTGCTCGTTGCTCTCGTGCTGCTCGTTGCTCTCGTGCTGCTCGTTGCTCTCGTGCTGCTCGTTGTTCTCGTGCTGCTCGTTGTTCTCGTGCTGCTCGTTGTTCTCGTGCTGCTCGTTGTTCTCGTGCTGCTCGTTGTTCTCGTGCTGCTCGTTGTTCTCGTGCTGCTCGTCGTTCTCGTGCTGCTCGTTGTTCTCGTGCTGCTCGTTGTTCTCGTGCTGCTCGTTGTTCTCGTGCTGCTCGTTGCTCTCGTGCTGCTCGTTGCTCTCGTGCTGCTCGTTGCTCTCGTGCTGCTCGTTGTTCTCGTGCTGCTCGTTGTTCTCGTGCTGCTCGTTGTTCTCGTGCTGCTCGTTGTTCTCGTGCTGCTCGTTGCTCTCGTGCTGCTCGTTGTTCTCGTGCTGCTCGTTGTTCTCGTGCTGCTCGTTGTTCTCGTGCTGCTCGTTGCTCTCGTGCTGCTCGTTGCTCTCGTGCTGCTCGTTGTTCTCGTGCTGCTCGTTGTTCTCGTGCTGCTCGTTGCTCTCGTGCTGCTCGTTGTTCTCGTGCTGCTCGTCGTTCTCGTGCTGCTCGTTGTTCTCGTGGTGCTCGTTGTTCTCGTGGTGCTCGTTGTTCTCGTGCTGCTCGTTGTTCTTGTGCTGCTCGTTGTTCTTGTGCTGCTCGTTGTTCTCGTGCTGCTCGTTGTTCTCGTGCTGCTCGTTGTTCTCGTGCTGCTCGTTGTTCTCGTGCTGCTCGTTGCTCTCGTGCTGCTCGTTGTTCTCGTGCTGCTCGTTGTTCTCGTGCTGCTCGTTGTTCTCGTGCTGCTCGTTGCTCTCGTGCTGCTCGTTGCTCTCGTCCTGCTCGTCGTTCTCGTGCTGCTCGTCGCTCTCGTGCTGCTCGTCGTTCTCGTGCTGCTCGTCGTTCTCGTGCTGCTCGTCGTTCTCGTGCTGCTCGTCGTTCTCGTGCTGCTCGTCGTTCTCGTGCTGCTCGTCGTTCTCGTGCTGCTCGTCGTTCTCGTGCTGCTCGTCGTTCTCGTGTGCTGCTCGTCGTTCTCGTGCTGCTCGTCGTTCTCGTGCTGCTCGTTGTTCTCGTGCTGCTCGTCGTTCTCGTGCTGCTCGTCGTTCTCGTGCTGCTCGTTGTTCTCGTGCTGCTCGTTGTTCTCGTGCTGCTCGTTGTTCTCGTGCTGCTCGTTGTTCTCGTGCTGCTCGTTGTTCTCGTGCTGCTCGTTGTTCTCGTGCTGCTCGTTGTTCTCGTGCTGCTCGTTGTTCTCGTGCTGCTCGTTGTTCTCGTGCTGCTCGTCGTTCTCGTGCTGCTCGTCGTTCTCGTGCTGCTCGTCGTTCTCGTGCTGCTCGTTGTTCTCGTGCTGCTCGTCGTTCTCGTGCTGCTCGTCGTTCTCGTCCTGCTCGTCGTTCTCGTCCTGCTCGTCGTTCTCGTCCTGCTCGTCGTTCTCGTCCTGCTCGTCGTTCTCGTCCTGCTCGTCGTTCTCGTGCTGCTCGTCGTTCTCGTGCTGCTCGTCGTTCTCGTCCTGCTCGTCGTTTCTCGTCCTGCTCGTCGTTCTCGTCCTGCTCGTCGTTCTCGTCCTGCTCGTCGTTCTCGTCCTGCTCGTCGTTCTCGTGCTGCTCGTCGTTCTCGTCGTGCTCGTCGGTCTCGTTCTGCTCGTCGGTCTCGTCTTGCTCGTCGGTCTCGTGCTGCTCGTCGTTCTCGTGCTGCTCGTCGTTCTCGTGCTGCTCGTCGTTCTCGTGCTGCTCGTCGTTCTCGTGCTGCTCGTCGTTCTCGTCCTGCTCGTCGTTCTCGTCCTGCTCGTCGTTCTCGTGCTGCTCGTCGTTCTCGTGCTGCTCGTTGTTCTCGTGCTGCTCGTTGTTCTCGTGCTGCTCGTTGTTCTCGTGCTGCTCGTTGTTCTCGTGCTGCTCGTCGTTCTCGTGCTGCTCGTCGTTCTCGTGCTGCTCGTCGTTCTCGTGCTGCTCGTCGTTCTCGTGCTGCTCATCGCTCTCGTGCTGCTCGTCGCTCTCGTCCTGCTCGTCGTTCTCGTGCTGCTCGTCGTTCTCGTGCTGCTCGTCGTTCTCGTGCTGCCCGTCGTTCTCGTGCTGCCCGTCGTTCTCGTGCTGCTCGTCGTTCTCGTGCTGCCCGTCGTTCTTGTGCTGCTCGTCGTTCTCGTGCTGTTCGTCGGTCTCGTGCTGCTCGTCGTTCTCGTGCTGCTCGTTGTTCTCGTGCTGCTCGTTGTTCTCGTGCTGCTCGTCGTTCTCGTGCTGCTCGTCGTTCTCGTGCTGCTCGTCGTTCTCGTGCTGCTCGTCGTTCTCGTGCTGCTCGTCGTTCTCGTGCTGCTCGTCGTTCTCGTGCTGCTCGTCGTTCTCGTGCTGCTCGTCGTTCTCGTGCTGCTCGTCGTTCTCGTGCTGCTCGTTGTTCTTGTGCTGCTCGTCGTTCTCGGTGCTGCTCGTCGTTCTCGTGCTGCTCGTCGTTCTCGTGCTGCTCGTCGTTCTCGTGCTGCTCGTCGTTCTCGTGCTGCTCGTCGTTCTCTCGTCCGTTCTCGTCCTGCTCGTCGTTCTCGTCATGCTCGTCGTTCTCGTCCTGCTCGTCGTTCTCGTCCTGCTCGTCGTTCTCGTGCCGCTCGTCGTTCTCGTGCTGCTCGTCGTTCTCGTGCTGCTCGTCGTTCTCGTGCTGCTCGTCGTTCTCGTGCTGCTCGTTGTTCTCGTGCTGCTCGTTGTTCTCGTGCTGCTCGTTGTTCTCGTGCTGCTCGTTGTTCTCGTGCTGCTCGTTGTTCTCGTGCTGCTCGTTGTTCTCGTGCTGCTCGTTGTTCTCGTGCTGCTCGTTGTTCTCGTGCTGCTCGTTGTTCTCGTGCTGCTCGTTGTTCTCGTGCTGCTCGTTGTTCTCGTGCTGCTCGTTGTTCTCGTGCTGCTCGTTGATCTCGTGCTGCTCGTTGATTCTCGTGCTGCTCGTTGTTCTCGTGCTGCTCGTTGCTTCTCGTGCTGCTCGTTGCTCTCGTGCTGCTCGTTGCTCTCGTGCTGCTCGTTTAGTGCTGCTCGTTGCTTCTCGTGCTGCTCGTTGTTCTCGTGCTGCTCGTTGTTCTCGTGCTGCTCGTTGTTCTCGTGCTGCTCGTTGTTCTCGTGCTGCTCGTTGTTCTCGTGCTGCTCGTTGTTCTCGTGCTGCTCGTTGTTCTCGTGCTGCTCGTTGTTCTCGTGCTGCTCGTTGTTCTCGTGCTGCTCGTTGTTCTCGTGCTGCTCGTTGTTCTCGTGCTGCTCGTTGTTCTCGTGCTGCTCGTTGTTCTCGTGCTGCTCGTTGTTCTCGTGCTGCTCGTCGTTCTCGTGCCTGCTCGTCGTTCTCGTGCTGCTCGTCGTTCTCGTCCTGCTCGTCGTTCTCGTCCTGCTCGTCGTTCTCGTCCTGCTCGTCGTTCTCGTCCTGCTCGTCGTTCTCGTCCTGCTCGTCGTTCTCGTGCCTGCTCGCGTTCTCGTGCTGCTCGTTGTTCTCGTGCTGCTCGACGTTCTCGTGCTGCTCGTTGTTCTCGTGCTGCTCGTTGTTCTCGTGCTGCTCGTTGTTCTCGTGCTGCTCGTTGTTCTCGTGCTGCTCGTTGTTCTCGTGCTGCTCGTTGTTCTCGTGCTGCTCGTTGTTCTCGTGCTGCTCGTTGTTCTCGTGCTGCTCGTTGTTCTCGTGCTGCTCGTTGTTCTCGTGCTGCTCGTTGTTCTCGTGCTGCTCGTTGTTCTCGTGCTGCTCGTTGTTCTCGTGCTGCTCGTTGTTCTCGTGCTGCTCGTTGTTCTCGTGCTGCTCGTTGTTCTCGTGCTGCTCGTTGTTCTCGTGCTGCTCGTTGCTCCTCGTCCTGCTCGTCGTTCTCGTCCTGCTCGTCGTTCTCGTCCTGCTCGTCGTTCTCGTCCTGCTCGTCGTTCTCGTCCTGCTCGTCGTTCTCGTGCTGCTCGTCGTTCTCGTGCTGCTCGTCGTTCTCGTGCTGCTCGTCGTTCTCGTGCTGCTCGTCGTTCTCGTGCTGCTCGTTCGTTCTCTCGTTGCTGCTCGTTGTTCTCGTGCTGCTCGTTGTTCTCGTGCTGCTCGTTGTTCTCGTGCTGCTCGTTGTTCTCGTGCTGCTCGTTGTTCTCGTGCTGCTCGTTGTTTCTCGTGCTGCTCGTTGTTCTCGTGCTGCTCGTTGCTCTCGTGCTGCTCGTTGCTCTCGTGCTGCTCGTTGCTCTCGTGCTGCTCGTTGTTCTCGTGCTGCTCGTTGTTCTCGTGCTGCTCGTTGTTCTCGTGCTGCTCGTTGTTCTCGTGCTGCTCGTTGTTCTCGTGCTGCTCGTTGTTCTCGTGCTGCTCGTTGTTCTCGTGCTGCTCGTTGTTCTCGTGCTGCTCGTTGTTCTCGTGCTGCTCGTTGTTCTCGTGCTGCTCGTTGTTCTCGTGCTGCTCGTTGTTCTCGTGCTGCTCGTTGTTCTCGTGCTGCTCGTTGTTCTCGTGCTGCTCGTTGTTCTCGTGCTGCTCGTTGTTCTCGTGCTGCTCGTTGTTCTCGTGCTGCTCGTCGTTCTCGTGCTGCTCGTTGTTCTCGTGCTGCTCGTCGTTCTCGTGCTGCTCGTTGTTCTCGTGCTGCTCGTTGTTCTCGTGCTGCTCGTTGTTCTCGTGCTGCTCGTGTTCTCGTGCTGCTCGTTGTTCTCGTGCTGCTCGTTGTTCTCGTGCTGCTCGTTGTTCTCGTGCTGCTCGTTGTTCTCGTGCTGCTCGTTGTTCTCGTGCTGCTCGTTGTCTCTCGTGCTGCTCGTTGCTCTCGTGCTGCTCGTTGCTCTCGTGCTGCTCGTTGCTCTCGTGCTGCTCGTTGCTCTCGTGCTGCTCGTTGTTCTCGTGCTGCTCGTTGTTCTCGTGCTGCTCGTTGTTCTCGTGCTGCTCGTTGTTCTCGTGCTGCTCGTTGTTCTCGTGCTGCTCGTTGTTCTCGCGTGCTGCTCGTTCGTTCTCGTGCTGCTCGTCGTTCTCGTGCTGCTCGTCGTTCTCGTGCTGCTCGTGGTTCTCGTGCTGCTCGTTGTTCTCGTGCTGCTCGTTGTTCTCGTGTCTCGTGCTGCTCGTTGTTCTCGTGCTGCTCGTTGTTCTCGTGCTGCTCGTTGTTCTCGTGCTGCTCGTTGCTCTCGTGCTGCTCGTTGCTCTCGTGCTGCTCGTTGTTCTCGTGCTGCTCGTTGTTCTCGTGCTGCTCGTTGTTCTCGTGCTGCTCGTTGTTCTCGTGCTGCTCGTTGTTCTCGTGCTGCTCGTTGTTCTCGTGCTGCTCGTTGTTCTCGTGCTGCTCGTTGTTCTCGTCCTGCTCGTCGTTCTCGTGCTGCTCGTCGTTCTCGTGCTGCTCGTCGTTCTCGTGCTGCTCGTTGTTCTCGTGCTGCTCGTTGTTCTCGTGCTGCTCGTTGTTCTCGTGCTGCTCGTTGTTCTCGTGCTGCTCGTTGTTCTCGTGCTGCTCGTCGTTCTCGTGCTGCTCGTCGTTCTCGTGCTGCTCGTCGTTCTCGTGCTGCTCGTCTTTCTCGTCCTGCTCGTCGTTCTCGTGCTGCTCGTCGTTCTCGTCCTGCTCGTCGTTCTCGTCCTGCTCGTCGTTCTCAGTGCTGCTCCTCGTTCTCGTGCTGCTCGTTGTTCTCGTGCTGCTCGACGTTCTCGTGCTGCTCGACGTTCTCGTGCTGCTCGTTGTTCTCGTGCTGCTCGTTGTTTCTCGTGCTGCTCGTTGTTCTCGTGCTGCTCGTTGTTCTCGTGCTGCTCGTTGTTCTCGTGCTGCTCGTTGTTCTCGTGCTGCTCGTTGTTCTCGTGCTGCTCGTTGTTCTCGTGCTGCTCGTTGTTCTCGTGCTGCTCGTTGTTCTCGTGCTGCTCGTTGTTCTCGTGCTGCTCGTTGTTCTCGTGCTGCTCGTTGTTCTCGTGCTGCTCGTTGTTCTCGTGCTGCTCGTTGTTCTCGTGCTGCTCGTTGTTCTCGTGCTGCTCGTTGTTCTCGTGCTGCTCGTTGTTCTCGTGCTGCTCGTTGTTCTCGTGCTGCTCGTCGTTCTCGTGCTGCTCGTCGTTCTCGTGCTGCTCGTCGTTCTCGTCCTGCTCGTCGTTCTCGTCCTGCTCGTCGTTCTCGTCCTGCTCGTCGTTCTCGTCCTGCTCGTCGTTCTCGTGCTGCTCGTCGTTCTCGTGCTGCTCGTCGTTCTCGTGCTGCTCGTCGTTCTCGTGCTGCTCGTCGTTCTCGTGCTGCTCGTTGTTCTCGTGCTGCTCGTTGTTCTCGTGCTGCTCGTTGTTCTCGTGCTGCTCGTTGTTCTCGTGCTGCTCGTTGTTCTCGTGCTGCTCGTTGTTCTCGTGCTGCTCGTTGTTCTCGTGCTGCTCGTTGTTCTCGTGCTGCTCGTTGTTCTCGTGCTGCTCGTTGTTCTCGTGCTGCTCGTTGCTCTCGTGCTGCTCGTTGCTCTCGTGCTGCTCGTTGTTTTCGTGCTGCTCGTTGTTCTCGTGCTGCTCGTTGTTCTCGTGCTGCTCGTTGTTCTCGTGCTGCTCGTTGTTCTCGTGCTGCTCGTTGTTCTCGTGCTGCTCGTTGTTCTCGTGCTGCTCGTTGTTCTCGTGCTGCTCGTTGTTCTCGTGCTGCTCGTTGTTCTCGTGCTGCTCGTTGTTCTCGTGCTGCTCGTTGTTCTCGGTGCTGCTCGTTGTTCTCGTGCTGCTCGTCGTTCTCGTGCTGCTCGTCGTTCTCGTGCTGCTCGTCGTTCTCGTGCTGCTCGTCGTTCTCGTGCTGCTCGTCGTTCTCGTGCTGCTCGTTGTTCTCGTGCTGCTCGTTGTTCTCGTGCTGCTCGTTGTTCTCGTGCTGCTCGTTGTTCTCGTGCTGCTCGTTGTTCTCGTGCTGCTCGTTGTTCTCGTGCTGCTCGTTGTTCTCGTGCTGCTCGTTGTTCTCGGTGCTGCTCGTTGCTCTCGTGCTGCTCGTTGCTCTCGTGCTGCTCGTTGCTCTCGTGCTGCTCGTTGTTCTCGTGCTGCTCGTTGTTCTCGTGCTGCTCGTTGTTCTCGTGCTGCTCGTTGTTCTCGTGCTGCTCGTTGTTCTCGTGCTGCTCGTTGTTCTCGTGCTGCTCGTTGTTCTCGTGCTGCTCGTCGTTCTCGTGCTGCTCGTCGTTCTCGTGCTGCTCGTGGTTCTCGTGCTGCTCGTTGTTCTCGTGCTGCTCGTTGTTCTCGTGCTGCTCGTTGTTCTCGTGCTGCTCGTTGTTCTCGTGCTGCTCGTTGTTCTCGTGCTGCTCGTTGTTCTCGTGCTGCTCGTTGCTCTCGTGCTGCTCGTTGCTCTCGTGCTGCTCGTTGTTCTCGTGCTGCTCGTTGTTCTCGTGCTGCTCGTTGTTCTCGTGCTGCTCGTTGTTCTCGTGCTGCTCGTTGTTTCTCGTGCTGCTCGTTGTTCTCGTGCTGCTCGTTGTTCTCGTGCTGCTCGTTGTTCTCGTGCTGCTCGTTGTTCTCGTCCTGCTCGTCGTTCTCGTCCTGCTCGTCGTTCTCGTGCTGCTCGTCGTTCTCGTGCTGCTCGTCGTTCTCGTGCTGCTCGTCGTTCTCGTGCTGCTCGTCGTTCTCGTGCTGCTCGTTGTTCTCGTGCTGTTCTCGTGCTGCTCGTTGTTCTCGTGCTGCTCGTTGTTCTCGTGCTGCTCGTTGTTCTCGTGCTGCTCGTTGTTCTCGTGCTACTCGTTGCTCTCGTGCTGCTCGTTGCTCTCGTGCTGCTCGTTGTTCTCGTGCTGCTCGTTGTTCTCGTGCTGCTCGTTGTTCTCGTGCTGCTCGTTGTTCTCGTGCTGCTCGTTGTTCTCGTGCTGCTCGTTGTTCTCGTGCTGCTCGTTGTTCTCGTGCTGCTCGTTGTTCTCGTGCTTCTCGTTGCTCTCGTGCTTCTCGTTGCTCTCGTGCTGCTCGTTGTTCTCGTGCTGCTCGTTGTTCTCGTGCTGCTCGTTGTTCTCGTGCTGCTCGTTGTTCTCGTGCTGCTCGTTGTTCTCGTGCTGCTCGTTGTTCTCGTGCTGCTCGTTGTTCTCGTGCTGCTCGTTGTTCTCGTGCTGCTCGTTGCTCTCGTGCTGCTCGTTGCTCTCGTGCTGCTCGTTGCTCTCGTGCTGCTCGTTGTAGGGATGAGCAAAGGGCGAACACGAACATGTTCGTCTTCGCCCCTTGTCGAACACCCTGTTTTGCCGAACCGAACAGTGTTCGGTTCGGCGAACAGTTTAGGAAAAAACAGGTGTTCGCTGTTCGCCTGTGGAGGCATGTTCGGGCGAACCTCGAACACTGTTCGTGTTCGTCGTGGGCAAATTTCAGCAGCGGCCCGAACACGAACGTGTTCAGGCGAACATCGAACACTGTTCGGCGAACGATTTGAGCTAAAAAACAAAACCTGTTCGGTTCGCCTCGAACGTGTTCGAGGCGAACCGAACAGGTGTTCGCCACCTTGCTCATCCCTAGCTCGTTGTTCTCGTGCTGCTCGTTGTTCTCGTGCTGCTCGTTGTTCTCGTGCTGCTCGTTCTCGTGCTGCTCGTTGTTCTCGTGCTGCTCGTTGTTCTCGTGCTGCTCGTTGTTCTCGTGCTGCTCGTTGTTCTCGTGCTGCTCGTTGTTCTCGTGCTGCTCGTTGTTCTCGTGCTGCTCGTTGTTCTCGTGCTGCTCGTCGTTCTCGTGCTGCTCGTCGTTCTCGTGCTGCTCGTCTTTCTCGTCCTGCTCGTCGTTCTCGTGCTGCTCGTCGTTCTCGTCCTGCTCGTCGTTCTCGTCCTGCTCGTCGTTCTCGTGCTGCTCCTCGTTCTCGTGCTGCTCGTTGTTCTCGTGCTGCTCGACGTTCTCGTGCTGCTCGACGTTCTCGTGCTGCTCGTTGTTCTCGTGCTGCTCGTTGTTCTCGTGCTGCTCGTTGTTCTCGTGCTGCTCGTTGTTCTCGTGCTGCTCGTTGTTCTCGTGCTGCTCGTTGTTCTCGTGCTGCTCGTTGTTCTCGTGCTGCTCGTTGTTCTCGTGCTGCTCGTTGTTCTCGTGCTGCTCGTTGTTCTCGTGCTGCTCGTTGTTCTCGTGCTGCTCGTTGTTCTCGTGCTGCTCGTCGTTCTCGTGCTGCTCGTCGTTCTCGTCCTGCTCGTCTTTCTCGTCCTGCTCGTCGTTCTCGTGCTGCTCGTCGTTCTCGTCCTGCTCGTCGTTCTCGTCCTGCTCGTCGTTCTCGTGCTGCTCGTTGTTCTCGTGCTGCTCGACGTTCTCGTGCTGCTCGACGTTCTCGTGCTGCTCGTTGTTCTCGTGCTGCTCGTTGTTCTCGTGCTGCTCGTTGTTCTCGTGCTGCTCGTTGTTCTCGTGCTGCTCGTTGTTCTCGTGCTGCTCGTTGTTCTCGTGCTGCTCGTTGTTCTCGTGCTGCTCGTCGTTCTCGTGCTGCTCGTTGTTCTCGTGCTGCTCGTCGTTCTCGTGCTGCTCGTTGTTCTCGTGCTGCTCGTTGTTCTCGTGCTGCTCGTTGTTCTCGTGCTGCTCGTTGTTCTCGTGCTGCTCGTTGTTCTCGTGCTGCTCGTTGTTCTCGTGCTGCTCGTTGTTCTCGTGCTGCTCGTTGTTCTCGTGCTGCTCGTTGTTCTCGTGCTGCTCGTTGTCTCGTCGTTGCTCTCGTGCTGCTCGTTGCTCTCGTGCTGCTCGTTGCTCTCGTGCTGCTCGTTGCTCTCGTGCTGCTCGTTGTTCTCGTGCTGCTCGTTGTTCTCGTGCTGCTCGTTGTTCTCGTGCTGCTCGTTGTTCTCGTGCTGCTCGTTGTTCTCGTGCTGCTCGTTGTTCTCGTGCTGCTCGTTGTTCTCGCGCTGCTCGTCGTTCTCGTGCTGCTCGTCGTTCTCGTGCTGCTCGTCGTTCTCGTGCTGCTCGTGGTTCTCGTGCTGCTCGTTGTTCTCGTGCTGCTCGTTGTTCTCGTGCTGCTCGTTGTTCTCGTGCTGCTCGTTGTTCTCGTGCTGCTCGTTGTTCTCGTGCTGCTCGTTGTTCTCGTGCTGCTCGTTGCTCTCGTGCTGCTCGTTGCTCTCGTGCTGCTCGTTGTTCTCGTGCTGCTCGTTGTTCTCGTGCTGCTCGTTGTTCTCGTGCTGCTCGTTGTTCTCGTGCTGCTCGTTGTTCTCGTGCTGCTCGTTGTTCTCGTGCTGCTCGTTGTCTCGTGCTGCTCGTTGTTCTCGTCCTGCTCGTCGTTCTCGTGCTGCTCGTCGTTCTCGTGCTGCTCGTCGTTCTCGTGCTGCTCGTTGTTCTCGTGCTGCTCGTTGTTCTCGTGCTGCTCGTTGTTCTCGTGCTGCTCGTTGTTCTCGTGCTGCTCGTTGTTCTCGTGCTGCTCGTTGTTCTCGTGCTGCTCGTCGTTCTCGTGCTGCTCGTCGTTCTCGTGCTGCTCGTACTGTTCTCGGTCCTGCTCGTCGTTCTCAGTGCTGCTCGTCGTTCTCGTCCTGCTCGTCGTTCTCGTCCTGCTCGTCGTTCTCGTGCTGCTCCTCGTTCTCGTGCTGCTCGTTGTTCTCGTGCTGCTCGACGTTCTCGTGCTGCTCGACGTCTCAAGTGCTGCTCGTTGTTCTCGTGCTGCTCGTTGTTCTCGTGCTGCTCGTTGTTCTCGTGCTGCTCGTTGTTCTCGTGCTGCTCGTTGTTCTCGTGCTGCTCGTTGTTCTCGTGCTGCTCGTTGTTCTCGTGCTGCTCGTTGTTCTCGTGCTGCTCGTTGTTCTCGTGCTGCTCGTTGTTCTCGTGCTGCTCGTTGTTCTCGTGCTGCTCGTTGTTCTCGTGCTGCTCGTTGTTCTCGTGCTGCTCGTTGTTCTCGTGCTGCTCGTTGTTCTCGTGCTGCTCGTTGTTCTCGTGCTGCTCGTTGTTCTCGTGCTGCTCGTTGTTCTCGTGCTGCTCGTCGTTCTCGTGCTGCTCGTCGTTCTCGTGCTGCTCGTCGTTCTCGTCCTGCTCGTCGTTCTCGTCCTGCTCGTCGTTCTCGTCCTGCTCGTCGTTCTCGTCCTGCTCGTCGTTCTCGTGCTGCTCGTCGTTCTCGTGCTGCTCGTCGTTCTCGTGCTGCTCGTCGTTCTCGTGCTGCTCGTTGTTCTCGTGCTGCTCGTTGTTCTCGTGCTGCTCGTTGTTCTCGTGCTGCTCGTTGTTCTCGTGCTGCTCGTTGTTCTCGTGCTGCTCGTTGTTCTCGTGCTGCTCGTTGTTCTCGTGCTGCTCGTTGTTCTCGTGCTGCTCGTTGCTCTCGTGCTGCTCGTTGCTCTCGTGCTGCTCGTTGCTCTCGTGCTGCTCGTTGCTCTCGTGCTGCTCGTTGTTCTCGTGCTGCTCGTTGTTCTCGTGCTGCTCGTTGTTCTCGTGCTGCTCGTTGTTCTCGTGCTGCTCGTTGTTCTCGTGCTGCTCGTTGTTCTCGTGCTGCTCGTTGTTCTCGCGCTGCTCGTCGTTCTCGTGCTGCTCGTCGTTCTCGTGCTGCTCGTCGTTCTCGTGCTGCTCGTGGTTCTCGTGCTGCTCGTTGTTCTCGTGCTGCTCGCTGTTCTCGTGCTGCTCGTTGTTCTCGTGCTGCTCGTTGTTCTCGTGCTGCTCGTTGTTCTCGTGCTGCTCGTTGTTCTCGTGCTGCTCGTTGCTCTCGTGCTGCTCGTTGTTCTCGTGCTGCTCGTTGTTCTCGTGCTGCTCGTTGTTCTCGTGCTGCTCGTTGTTCTCGTGCTGCTCGTTGTTCTCGTGCTGCTCGTTGTTCTCGTGCTGCTCGTTGTTCTCGTGCTGCTCGTTGTTCTCGCGCTGCTCGTCGTTCTCGTGCTGCTCGTCGTTCTCGTGCTGCTCGTCGTTCTCGTGCTGCTCGTGGTTCTCGTGCTGCTCGTTGTTCTCGTGCTGCTCGTTGTTCTCGTGCTGCTCGTTGTTCTCGTGCTGCTCGTTGTTCTCGTGCTGCTCGTTGTTCTCGTGCTGCTCGTTGTTCTCGTGCTGCTCGTTGCTCTCGTGCTGCTCGTTGCTCTCGTGCTGCTCGTTGTTCTCGTGCTGCTCGTTGTTCTCGTGCTGCTCGTTGTTCTCGTGCTGCTCGTTGTTCTCGTGCTGCTCGTTGTTCTCGTGCTGCTCGTTGTTCTCGTGCTGCTCGTTGTTCTCGTGCTGCTCGTTGTTCTCGTCCTGCTCGTCGTTCTCGTGCTGCTCGTCGTTCTCGTGCTGCTCGTCGTTCTCGTGCTGCTCGTTGTTCTCGTGCTGCTCGTTGTTCTCGTGCTGCTCGTTGTTCTCGTGCTGCTCGTTGTTCTCGTGCTGCTCGTTGTTCTCGTGCTGCTCGTTGTTCTCGTGCTGCTCGTCGTTCTCGTGCTGCTCGTCGTTCTCGTGCTGCTCGTCTTTCTCGTCCTGCTCGTCGTTCTCGTGCTGCTCGTCGTTCTCGTCCTGCTCGTCGTTCTCGTCCTGCTCGTCGTTCTCGTGCTGCTCCTCGTTCTCGTGCTGCTCGTTGTTCTCGTGCTGCTCGACGTTCTCGTGCTGCTCGACGTTCTCGTGCTGCTCGTTGTTCTCGTGCTGCTCGTTGTTCTCGTGCTGCTCGTTGTTCTCGTGCTGCTCGTTGTTCTCGTGCTGCTCGTTGTTCTCGTGCTGCTCGTTGTTTCTCGTGCTGCTCGTTGTTCTCGTGCTGCTCGTTGTTCTCGTGCTGCTCGTTGTTCTCGTGCTGCTCGTGTTCTCGTGCTGCTCGTTGTTCTCGTGCTGCTCGTTGTTCTCGTGCTGCTCGTTGTTCTCGTGCTGCTCGTTGTTCTCCGTGCTGCTCGTTGTTCTCGTGCTGCTCGTTGTTTCTCGTGCTGCTGCGTTGTTCTCGTGCTGCTCGTTGTTCTCGTGCTGCTCGTTGTTCTCGTGCTGCTCGTCGTTCTCGTGCTGCTCGTTCGTTCTCGTGCTGCTCGTCGTTCTCGTGCCTGCTCGTCGTTCTCGTCCTGCTCGTCGTTCTCGTCCTGCTCGTCGTTCTCGTCCTGCTCGTCGTTCTCGTGCTGCTCGTCGTTCTCGTGCTGCTCGTCGTTCTCGTGCTGCTCGTCGTTCTCGTGCTGCTCGTTGTTTCTCGTGCTGCTCGTTGTTCTCGTGCTGCTCGTTGTTCTCGTGCTGCTCGTTGTTCTCGTGCTGCTCGTTGTTCTCGTGCTGCTCGTTGTTCTCGTGCTGCTCGTTGTTCTCGTGCTGCTCGTTGTTCTCGTGCTGCTCGTTGTTCTCGTGCTGCTCGTTGTTCTCGTGCTGCTCGTTGTTCTCGTGCTGCTCGTTGCTCTCGTGCTGCTCGTTGCTCTCGTGCTGCTCGTTGTTTTCGTGCTGCTCGTTGTTCTCGTGCTGCTCGTTGTTCTCGTGCTGCTCGTTGTTCTCGTGCTGCTCGTTGTTCTCGTGCTGCTCGTTATTCTCGTGCTGCTCGTTGTTCTCGTGCTGCTCGTTGTTCTCGTGCTGCTCGTTGTTCTCGTGCTGCTCGTTGTTCTCGTGCTGCTCGTTGTTCTCGTGCTGCTCGTTGTTCTCGTGCTGCTCGTTGTTCTCGTGCTGCTCGTTGTTCTCGTGCTGCTCGTCGTTCTCGTGCTGCTCGTCGTTCTCGTGCTGCTCGTCGTTCTCGTGCTGCTCGTCGTTCTCGTGCTGCTCGTTGTTCTCGTGCTGCTCGTTGTTCTCGTGCTGCTCGTTGTTCTCGTGCTGCTCGTTGTTCTCGTGCTGCTCGTTGTTCTCGTGCTGCTCGTTGTTCTCGTGCTGCTCGTTGTTCTCGTGCTGCTCGTTGTTCTCGTGCTGCTCGTTGTTCTCGTGCTGCTCGTTGCTCTCGTGCTGCTCGTTGCTCTCGTGCTGCTCGTTGCTCTCGTGCTGCTCGTTGTTCTCGTGCTGCTCGTTGTTCTCGTGCTGCTCGTTGTTCTCGTGCTGCTCGTTGTTCTCGTGCTGCTCGTTGTTCTCGTGCTGCTCGTTGTTCTCGTGCTGCTCGTTGTTCTCGTGCTGCTCGTCGTTCTCGTGCTGCTCGTCGTTCTCGTGCTGCTCGTCGTTCTCGTGCTGCTCGTGGTTCTCGTGCTGCTCGTTGTTCTCGTGCTGCTCGTTGTTCTCGTGCTGCTCGTTGTTCTCGTGCTGCTCGTTGTTCTCGTGCTGCTCGTTGTTCTCGTGCTGCTCGTTGTCTCTCGTGCTGCTCGTTGCTCTCGTGCTGCTCGTTGTCTCTCGTGCTGCTCGTTGTTCTCGTGCTGCTCGTTGTTCTCGTGCTGCTCGTTGTTCTCGTGCTGCTCGTTGTTCTCGTGCTGCTCGTTGTTCTCGTGCTGCTCGTTGTTCTCGTGCTGCTCGTTGTTCTCGTCCTGCTCGTCGTTCTCGTCCTGCTCGTCGTTCTCGTGCTGCTCGTCGTTCTCGTGCTGCTCGTCGTTCTCGTGCTGCTCGTCGTTCTCGTGCTGCTCGTCGTTCTCGTGCTGCTCGTTGTTCTCGTGCTGCTCGTTGTTCTCGTGCTGCTCGTTGTTCTCGTGCTGCTCGTTGTTCTCGTGCTGCTCGTTGTTCTCGTGCTGCTCGTTGTTCTCGTGCTACTCGTTGCTCTCGTGCTGCTCGTTGCTCTCGTGCTGCTCGTTGTTCTCGTGCTGCTCGTTGTTCTCGTGCTGCTCGTTGTTCTCGTGCTGCTCGTTGTTCTCGTGCTGCTCGTTGTTCTCGTGCTGCTCGTTGTTCTCGTGCTGCTCGTTGTTCTCGTGCTGCTCGTTGTTCTCGTGCTTCTCGTTGCTCTCGTGCTTCTCGTTGCTCTCGTGCTGCTCGTTGTTCTCGTGCTGCTCGTTGTTCTCGTGCTGCTCGTTGTTCTCGTGCTGCTCGTTGTTCTCGTGCTGCTCGTTGTTCTCGTGCTGCTCGTTGTTCTCGTGCTGCTCGTTGTTCTCGTGCTGCTCGTTGTTCTCGTGCTGCTCGTTGCTCTCGTGCTGCTCGTTGCTCTCGTGCTGCTCGTTGCTCTCGTGCTGCTCGTTGTAGGGATGAGCAAAGGGCGAACACGAACATGTTCGTCTTCGCCCCTTGTCGAACACCCTGTTTTGCCGAACCGAACAGTGTTCGGTTCGGCGAACAGTTTAGGAAAAAACAGGTGTTCGCTGTTCGCCTGTGGAGGCATGTTCGGGCGAACCTCGAACACTGTTCGTGTTCGTCGTGGGCAAATTTCAGCAGCGGCCCGAACACGAACGTGTTCGGGCGAACATCGAACACTGTTCGGCGAATGATTTGAGCTAAAAAACAAAACCTGTTCGGTTCGCCTCGAACGTGTTCGAGGCGAACCGAACAGGTGTTCGCCACCTTGCTCATCCCTAGCTCGTTGTTCTCGTGCTGCTCGTTGTTCTCGTGCTGCTCGTTGTTCTCGTGCTGCTCGTTCTCGTGCTGCTCGTTGTTCTCGTGCTGCTCGTTGTTCTCGTGCTGCTCGTTGTTCTCGTGCTGCTCGTTGTTCTCGTGCTGCTCGTTGTTCTCGTGCTGCTCGTTGTTCTCGTGCTGCTCGTTGTTCTCGTGCTGCTCGTCGTTCTCGTGCTGCTCGTCGTTCTCGTGCTGCTCGTCTTTCTCGTCCTGCTCGTCGTTCTCGTGCTGCTCGTCGTTCTCGTCCTGCTCGTCGTTCTCGTCCTGCTCGTCGTTCTCGTGCTGCTCCTCGTTCTCGTGCTGCTCGTTGTTCTCGTGCTGCTCGACGTTCTCGTGCTGCTCGACGTTGCTGCTCGTCGTGCTGCTCGTTGTTCTCGTGCTGCTCGTTGTTCTCGTGCTGCTCGTTGTTCTCGTGCTGCTCGTTGTTCTCGTGCTGCTCGTTGTTCTCGTGCTGCTCGTTGTTCTCGGTGCTGCTCGTTGTTCTCGTGCTGCTCGTTGTTCTCGTGCTGCTCGTTGTTCTCGTGCTGCTCGTTGTTCTCGTGCTGCTCGTTGTTCTCGTGCTGCTCGTTGTTCTCGTGCTGCTCGTTGTTCTCGTGCTGCTCGTTGTTCTCGTGCTGCTCGTTGTTCTCGTGCTGCTCGTTGTTCTCGTGCTGCTCGTTGTTCTCGTGCTGCTCGTCGTTCTCGTGCTGCTCGTCGTTCTCGTGCTGCTCGTCGTTCTCGTCCTGCTCGTCGTTCTCGTCCTGCTCGTCGTTCTCGTCCTGCTCGTCGTTCTCGTCCTGCTCGTCGTTCTCGTGCTGCTCGTCGTTCTCGTGCTGCTCGTCGTTCTCGTGCTGCTCGTCGTTCTCGTTGCTGCTCGTTGCGTGCTGCTCGTTTCTCGTGCTGCTCGTTGTTCTCGTGCTGCTCGTTGTTCTCGTGCTGCTCGTTGTTCTCGTGCTGCTCGTTGTTCTCGTGCTGCTCGTTGTTCTCGTGCTGCTCGTTGTTCTCGTGCTGCTCGTTGTTCTCGTGCTGCTCGTTGTTCTCGTGCTGCTCGTTGTTCTCGTGCTTCTCGTTGCTCTCGTGCTTCTCGTTGCTCTCGTGCTGCTCGTTGTTCTCGTGCTGCTCGTTGTTCTCGTGCTGCTCGTTGTTCTCGTGCTGCTCGTTGTTCTCGTGCTGCTCGTTGTTCTCGTGCTGCTCGTCGTTCTCGTGCTGCTCGTCGTTCTCGTGCTGCTCGTCGTTCTCGTGCTGCTCGTCGTTCTCGTGCTGCTCGTTGTTCTCGTGCTGCTCGTTGTTCTCGTGCTGCTCGTTGTTCTCGTGCTGCTCGTTGTTCTCGTGCTGCTCGTTGTTCTCGTGCTGCTCGTTGTTCTCGTGCTGCTCGTTGTTCTCGTGCTGCTCGTTGTTCTCGTGCTGCTCGTTGCTCTCGTGCTGCTCGTTGCTCTCGTGCTGCTCGTTGCTCTCGTGCTGCTCGTTGTTCTCGTGCTGCTCGTTGTTCTCGTGCTGCTCGTTGTTCTCGTGCTGCTCGTTGTTCTCGTGCTGCTCGTTGTTCTCGTGCTGCTCGTTGTTCTCGTGCTGCTCGTTGTTCTCGTGCTGCTCGTCGTTCTCGTGCTGCTCGTCGTTCTCGTGCTGCTCGTGGTTCTCGTGCTGCTCGTTGTTCTCGTGCTGCTCGTTGTTCTCGTGCTGCTCGTTGTTCTCGTGCTGCTCGTTGTTCTCGTGCTGCTCGTTGTTCTCGTGCTGCTCGTTGTTCTCGTGCTGCTCGTTGCTCTCGTGCTGCTCGTTGCTCTCGTGCTGCTCGTTGTTCTCGTGCTGCTCGTTGTTCTCGTGCTGCTCGTTGTTCTCGTGCTGCTCGTTGTTCTCGTGCTGCTCGTTGTTCTCGTGCTGCTCGTTGTTCTCGTGCTGCTCGTTGTTCTCGTGCTGCTCGTTGTTCTCGTGCTGCTCGTTGTTCTCGTCCTGCTCGTCGTTCTCGTCCTGCTCGTCGTTCTCGTGCTGCTCGTCGTTCTCGTGCTGCTCGTCGTTCTCGTGCTGCTCGTCGTTCTCGTGCTGCTCGTCGTTCTCGTGCTGCTCGTTGTTCTCGTGCTGCTCGTTGTTCTCGTGCTGCTCGTTGTTCTCGTGCTGCTCGTTGTTCTCGTGCTGCTCGTTGTTCTCGTGCTGCTCGTTGTTCTCGTGCTACTCGTTGCTCTCGTGCTGCTCGTTGCTCTCGTGCTGCTCGTTGTTCTCGTGCTGCTCGTTGTTCTCGTGCTGCTCGTTGTTCTCGTGCTGCTCGTTGTTCTCGTGCTGCTCGTTGTTCTCGTGCTGCTCGTTGTTCTCGTGCTGCTCGTTGTTCTCGTGCTGCTCGTTGTTCTCGTGCTTCTCGTTGCTCTCGTGCTTCTCGTGCTGCTCGTTGTTCTCGTGCTGCTCGTTGTTCTCGTGCTGCTCGTTGTTCTCGTGCTGCTCGTTGTTCTCGTGCTGCTCGTTGTTCTCGTGCTGCTCGTTGTTCTCGTGCTGCTCGTTGTTCTCGTGCTGCTCGTTGTTCTCGTGCTGCTCGTTGCTCTCGTGCTGCTCGTTGCTCTCGTGCTGCTCGTTGCTCTCGTGCTGCTCGTTGTAGGGATGAGCAAAGGGCGAACACGAACATGTTCGTCTTCGCCCCTTGTCGAACACCCTGTTTTGCCGAACCGAACAGTGTTCGGTTCGGCGAACAGTTTAGGAAAAAACAGGTGTTCGCTGTTCGCCTGTGGAGGCATGTTCGGGCGAACCTCGAACACTGTTCGTGTTCGTCGTGGGCAAATTTCAGCAGCGGCCCGAACACGAACGTGTTCGGGCGAACATCGAACACTGTTCGGCGAACGATTTGAGCTAAAAAACAAAACCTGTTCGGTTCGCCTCGAACGTGTTCGAGGCGAACCGAACAGGTGTTCGCCACCTTGCTCATCCCTAGCTCGTTGTTCTCGTGCTGCTCGTTGTTCTCGTGCTGCTCGTTGTTCTCGTGCTGCTCGTTCTCGTGCTGCTCGTTGTTCTCGTGCTGCTCGTTGTTCTCGTGCTGCTCGTTGTTCTCGTGCTGCTCGTTGTTCTCGTGCTGCTCGTTGTTCTCGTGCTGCTCGTTGTTCTCGTGCTGCTCGTTGTTCTCGTGCTGCTCGTCGTTCTCGTGCTGCTCGTCGTTCTCGTGCTGCTCGTCTTTCTCGTCCTGCTCGTCGTTCTCGTGCTGCTCGTCGTTCTCGTCCTGCTCGTCGTTCTCGTCCTGCTCGTCGTTCTCGTGCTGCTCCTCGTTCTCGTGCTGCTCGTTGTTCTCGTGCTGCTCGACGTTCTCGTGCTGCTCGACGTTCTCGTGCTGCTCGTTGTTCTCGTGCTGCTCGTTGTTCTCGTGCTGCTCGTTGTTCTCGTGCTGCTCGTCGTGCTGCTCGTTGTTCTCGTGCTGCTCGTTGTTCTCGTGCTGCTCGTTGTTCTCGTGCTGCTCGTTGTTCTCGTGCTGCTCGTTGTTCTCGTGCTGCTCGTTGTTCTCGTGCTGCTCGTTGTTCTCGTGCTGCTCGTTGTTCTCGTGCTGCTCGTTGTTCTCGTGCTGCTCGTTGTTCTCGTGCTGCTCGTTGTTCTCGTGCTGCTCGTTGTTCTCGTGCTGCTCGTTGTTCTCGTGCTGCTCGTTGTTCTCGTGCTGCTCGTTGTTCTCGTGCTGCTCGTCGTTCTCGTGCTGCTCGTCGTTCTCGTGCTGCTCGTCGTTCTCGTCCTGCTCGTCGTTCTCGTCCTGCTCGTCGTTCTCGTCCTGCTCGTCGTTCTCGTGCTGCTCGTCGTTCTCGTGCTGCTCCTCGTTCTCGTGCTGCTCGTTGTTCTCGTGCTGCTCGACGTTCTCGTGCTGCTCGACGTTCTCGTGCTGCTCGTTGTTCTCGTGCTGCTCGTTGTTCTCGTGCTGCTCGTTGTTCTCGTGCTGCTCGTTGTTCTCGTGCTGCTCGTTGTTCTCGTGCTGCTCGTTGTTCTCGTGCTGCTCGTTGTTCTCGTGCTGCTCGTTGTTCTCGTGCTGCTCGTTGTTCTCGTGCTGCTCGTTGTTCTCGTGCTGCTCGTTATTCTCGTGCTGCTCGTTGTTCTCGTGCTGCTCGTTGTTCTCGTGCTGCTCGTTGTTCTCGTGCTGCTCGTTGTTCTCGTGCTGCTCGTTGTTCTCGTGCTGCTCGTTGTTCTCGTGCTGCTCGTTGTTCTCGTGCTGCTCGTTGTTCTCGTGCTGCTCGTCGTTCTCGTGCTGCTCGTCGTTCTCGTGCTGCTCGTCGTTCTCGTGCTGCTCGTCGTTCTCGTGCTGCTCGTCGTTCTCGTGCTGCTCGTTGTTCTCGTGCTGCTCGTTGTTCTCGTGCTGCTCGTTGTTCTCGTGCTGCTCGTTGTTCTCGTGCTGCTCGTTGTTCTCGTGCTGCTCGTTGTTCTCGTGCTGCTCGTTGTTCTCGTGCTGCTCGTGTTCTCGTGCTGCTCGTTGTTCTCGTGCTGCTCGTTGTTCTCGTGCTGCTCGTTGCTCTCGTGCTGCTCGTTGCTCTCGTGCTGCTCGTTGCTCTCGTGCTGCTCGTTGTTCTCGTGCTGCTCGTTGTTCTCGTGCTACTCGTTGCTCTCGTGCTGCTCGTTGCTCTCGTGCTGCTCGTTGTTCTCGTGCTGCTCGTTGTTCTCGTGCTGCTCGTTGTTCTCGTGCTGCTCGTTGTTCTCGTGCTGCTCGTTGTTCTCGTGCTGCTCGTTGTTCTCGTGCTGCTCGTTGTTCTCGTGCTGCTCGTTGTTCTCGTGCTTCTCGTTGTTCTCGTGCTGCTCGTTGTTCTCGTGCTGCTCGTTGTTCTCGTGCTGCTCGTTGTTCTCGTGCTGCTCGTTGTTCTCGTGCTGCTCGTTGTTCTCGTGCTGCTCGTTGTTCTCGTGCTGCTCGTTATTCTCGTGCTGCTCGTTGTTCTCGTGGCTGCTCGTTGTTCTCGTGCTGCTCGTTGTTCTCGTGCTGCTCGTTGTTCTCGTGCTGCTCGTTGTTCTCGTGCTGCTCGTTGTTCTCGTGCTGCTCGTTGTTCTCGTGCTGCTCGTCGTTCTCGTGCTGCTCGTCGTTCTCGTGCTGCTCGTCGTTCTCGTGCTGCTCGTCGTTCTCGTGCTGCTCGTTGTTCTCGTGCTGCTCGTTGTTCTCGTGCTGCTCGTTGTTCTCGTGCTGCTCGTTGTTCTCGTGCTGCTCGTTGTTCTCGTGCTGCTCGTTGTTCTCGTGCTGCTCGTTGTTCTCGTGCTGCTCGTTGTTCTCGTGCTGCTCGTTGTTCTCGTGCTGCTCGTTGCTCTCGTGCTGCTCGTTGCTCTCGTGCTGCTCGTTGCTCTCGTGCTGCTCGTTGTTCTCGTGCTGCTCGTTGTTCTCGTGCTGCTCGTTGTTCTCGTGCTGCTCGTTGTTCTCGTGCTGCTCGTTGTTCTCGTGCTGCTCGTTGTTCTCGTGCTGCTCGTTGTTCTCGTGCTGCTCGTCGTTCTCGTGCTGCTCGTCGTTCTCGTGCTGCTCGTGGTTCTCGTGCTGCTCGTTGTTCTCGTGCTGCTCGTTGTTCTCGTGCTGCTCGTTGTTCTCGTGCTGCTCGTTGTTCTCGTGCTGCTCGTTGCTCTCGTGCTGCTCGTTGCTCTCGTGCTGCTCGTTGCTCTCGTGCTGCTCGTTGTTCTCGTGCTGCTCGTTGTTCTCGTGCTACTCGTTGCTCTCGTGCTGCTCGTTGCTCTCGTGCTGCTCGTTGTTCTCGTGCTGCTCGTTGTTCTCGTGCTGCTCGTTGTTCTCGTGCTGCTCGTTGTTCTCGTGCTGCTCGTTGTTCTCGTGCTGCTCGTTGTTCTCGTGCTGCTCGTTGTTCTCGTGCTGCTCGTTGTTCTCGTGCTGCTCGTTGTTCTCGTGCTGCTCGTTGTTCTCGTGCTGCTCGTTGTTCTCGTGCTGCTCGTTGTTCTCGTGCTGCTCGTTGTTCTCGTGCTGCTCGTTGTTCTCGTGCTGCTCGTTGTTCTCGTGCTGCTCGTTGTTCTCGTGCTGCTCGTTGTTCTCGTGCTGCTCGTTGTTCTCGTGCTGCTCGTTGTTCTCGTGCTGCTCGTTGTTCTCGTGCTGCTCGTTGTTCTCGTGCTGCTCGTTGTTCTCGTGCTGCTCGTTGTTCTCGTGCTGCTCGTTGTTCTCGTGCTGCTCGTCGTTCTCGTGCTGCTCGTCGTTCTCGTGCTGCTCGTCGTTCTCGTGCTGCTCGTCGTTCTCGTGCTGCTCGTTGTTCTCGTGCTGCTCGTTGTTCTCGTGCTGCTCGTTGTTCTCGTGCTGCTCGTTGTTCTCGTGCTGCTCGTTGTTCTCGTGCTGCTCGTTGTTCTCGTGCTGCTCGTTGTTCTCGTGCTGCTCGTTGTTCTCGTGCTGCTCGTTGTTCTCGTGCTGCTCGTTGCTCTCGTGCTGCTCGTTGCTCTCGTGCTGCTCGTTGCTCTCGTGCTGCTCGTTGTTCTCGTGCTGCTCGTTGTTCTCGTGCTGCTCGTTGTTCTCGTGCTGCTCGTTGTTCTCGTGCTGCTCGTTGTTCTCGTGCTGCTCGTTGTTCTCGTGCTGCTCGTTGTTCTCGTGCTGCTCGTCGTTCTCGTGCTGCTCGTCGTTCTCGTGCTGCTCGTGGTTCTCGTGCTGCTCGTTGTTCTCGTGCTGCTCGTTGTTCTCGTGCTGCTCGTTGTTCTCGTGCTGCTCGTTGTTCTCGTGCTGCTCGTTGTTCTCGTGCTGCTCGTTGTTCTCGTGCTGCTCGTTGCTCTCGTGCTGCTCGTTGCTCTCGTGCTGCTCGTTGTTCTCGTGCTGCTCGTTGTTCTCGTGCTGCTCGTTGTTCTCGTGCTGCTCGTTGTTCTCAGTGCTGCTCGTTGTTCTCGTGCTGCTCGTTGTTCTCGTGCTGCTCGTTGTTCTCGTGCTGCTCGTTGTTCTCGTGCTGCTCGTTGTTCTCGTCCTGCTCGTCGTTCTCGTCCTGCTCGTCGTTCTCGTGCTGCTCGTCGTTCTCGTGCTGCTCGTCGTTCTCGTGCTGCTCGTCGTTCTCGTGCTGCTCGTCGTTCTCGTGCTGCTCGTTGTTCTCGTGCTGCTCGTTGTTCTCGTGCTGCTCGTTGTTCTCGTGCTGCTCGTTGTTCTCGTGCTGCTCGTTGTTCTCGTGCTGCTCGTTGTTCTCGTGCTACTCGTTGCTCTCGTGCTGCTCGTTGCTCTCGTGCTGCTCGTTGTTCTCGTGCTGCTCGTTGTTCTCGTGCTGCTCGTTGTTCTCGTGCTGCTCGTTGTTCTCGTGCTGCTCGTTGTTCTCGTGCTGCTCGTTGTTCTCGTGCTGCTCGTTGTTCTCGTGCTGCTCGTTGTTCTCGTGCTTCTCGTTGCTCTCGTGCTTCTCGTTGCTCTCGTGCTGCTCGTTGTTCTCGTGCTGCTCGTTGTTCTCGTGCTGCTCGTTGTTCTCGGTGCTGCTCGTTGTTCTCGTGCTGCTCGTTGTTCTCGTGCTGCTCGTTGTTCTCGTGCTGCTCGTTGTTCTCGTGCTGCTCGTTGCTCTCGTGCTGCTCGTTGCTCTCGTGCTGCTCGTTGCTCTCGTGCTGCTCGTTGTAGGGATGAGCAAAGGGCGAACACGAACATGTTCGTCTTCGCCCCTTGTCGAACACCCTGTTTTGCCGAACCGAACAGTGTTCGGTTCGGCGAACAGTTTAGGAAAAAACAGGTGTTCGCTGTTCGCCTGTGGAGGCATGTTCGGGCGAACCTCGAACACTGTTCGTGTTCGTCGTGGGCAAATTTCAGCAGCGGCCCGAACACGAACGTGTTCGGGCGAACATCGAACACTGTTCGGCGAACGATTTGAGCTAAAAAACAAAACCTGTTCGGTTCGCCTCGAACGTGTTCGAGGCGAACCGAACAGGTGTTCGCCACCTTGCTCATCCCTAGCTCGTTGTTCTCGTGCTGCTCGTTGTTCTCGTGCTGCTCGTTGTTCTCGTGCTGCTCGTTCTCGTGCTGCTCGTTGTTCTCGTGCTGCTCGTTGTTCTCGTGCTGCTCGTTGTTCTCGTGCTGCTCGTTGTTCTCGTGCTGCTCGTTGTTCTCGTGCTGCTCGTTGCTCTCGTGCTGCTCGTTGCTCTCGTGCTGCTCGTTGCTCTCGTGCTGCTCGTTGCTCTCGTGCTGCTCGTTGTTCTCGTGCTGCTCGTTGTTCTCGTGCTGCTCGTTGCTCTCGTGCTGCTCGTTGCTCTCGTGCTGCTCGTCGTTCTCGTGCTGCTCGTCGTTCTCGTGCTGCTCGTCGTTCTTGTGCTGCTCGTCGTTCTCGTGCTGCTCGTCGTTCTCGTGCTGCTCGTCGTTCTCGTGCTGCTCGTCGTTCTCGTGCTGCTCGTCGTTCTCGTGCTGCTCGTTGTTCTCGTCCTGCTCGTCGTTCTCGTCCTGCTCGTCGTTCTCGTGCTGCTCGTCGTTCTCGTCCTGCTCGTCGTTCTCGTCCTGCTCGTCGTTCTCGTCCTGCTCGTCGTTCTCGTCATGCTCGTCGTTCTCGTCCTGCTCGTCGTTCTCGTCCTGCTCGTCGTTCTCGTGCCGCTCGTCGTTCTCGTGCTGCTCGTCGTTCTCGTGCTGCTCGTCGTTCTCGTGCTGCTCGTTGTTCTCGTGCTGCTCGTTGTTCTCGTGCTGCTCGTTGTTCTCGTGCTGCTCGTTGTTCTCGTGCTACTCGTTGCTCTCGTGCTGCTTGTTGCTCTTGTGCTGCTCGTTGCTCTCGTGCTGCTCGTTGCTCTCGTGCTGCTCGTTGTTCTCGTGCTGCTCGTTGTTCTCGTGCTGCTCGTTGTTCTCGTGCTGCTTGTCGTTCTCGTGCTGCTCGTCGTTCTCGTGCTGCTCGTCGTTCTCGTGCTGCTCGTCGTTCTCGTGCTGCTCGTCGTTCTCGTGCTGCTCGTCGTTCTCGTCCTGCTCGTCGTTCTCGTGCTGCTCGTCGTTCTCGTGCTGCTCGTTGTTCTCGTGCTGCTCGTTGTTCTCGTGCTGCTCGTTGTTCTCTTGCTGCTCGTTGTTCTCGTGCTGCTCGTTGTTCTCGTGCTGCTCGTTGTTCTCGTGCTGCTCGTTGTTCTCGTGCTGCTCGTTGTTCTCGTGCTGCTCGTTGTTCTCGTGCTGCTCGTTGTTCTCGTGCTGCTCGTTGTTCTCGTGCTGCTCGTTGTTCTCGTGCTGCTCGTTGTTCTCGTGCTGCTCGTCGTTCTCGTGCTGCTCGTCGTTCTCGTGCTGCTCGTCTTTCTCGTCCTGCTCGTCGTTCTCGTCCTGCTCGTCGTTCTCGTCCTGCTCGTCGTTCTCGTCCTGCTCGTCGTTCTCGTGCTGCTCGTCGTTCTCGTGCTGCTCGTCGTTCTCGTGCTGCTCGTCGTTCTCGTGCTGCTCGTTGTTCTCGTGCTGCTCGTTGTTCTCGTCCTGCTCGTCGTTCTCGTCCTGCTCGTCGTTCTCGTGCTGCTCGTCGTTCTCGTGCTGCTCGTCGTTCTCGTGCTGCTCGTCGTTCTCGTGCTGCTCGTCGTTCTCGTGCTGCTCGTTGTTCTCGTGCTGCTCGTTGTTCTCGTGCTGCTCGTTGTTCTCGTGCTGCTCGTTGTTCTCGTGCTGCTCGTTGTTCTCGTGCTGCTCGTTGTTCTCGTGCTGCTCGTTGTTCTCGTGCTGCTCGTTGTTCTCGTGCTGCTCGTTGTTCTCGTCCTGCTCGTCGTTCTCGTCCTGCTCGTCGTTCTCGTGCTGCTCGTCGTTCTCGTGCTGCTCGTCGTTCTCGTGCTGCTCGTCGTTCTCGTGCTGCTCGTCGTTCTCGTGCTGCTCGTTGTTCTCGTGCTGCTCGTTGTTCTCGTGCTGCTCGTTGTTCTCGTGCTGCTCGTTGTTCTCGTGCTGCTCGTTGTTCTCGTGCTGCTCGTTGTTCTCGTGCTGCTCGTTGTTCTCGTGCTGCTCTTTGTTCTCGTGCTGCTCGTTGCTCTCGTGCTGCTCGTTGCTCTCGTGCTGCTCGTTGCTCTCGTGCTGCTCGTTGTTCTCGTGCTGCTCGTTGTTCTCGTGCTGCTCGTTGTTCTCGTGCTGCTCGTTGTTCTCGTGCTGCTCGTTGTTCTCGTGCTGCTCGTTGTTCTCGTGCTGCTCGTTGTTCTCGTGCTGCTCGTTGTTCTCGTGCTGCTCGTTGTTCTCGTGCTGCTCGTTGTTCTCGTGCTGCTCGTTGTTCTCGTGCTGCTCGTTGTTCTCGTGCTGCTCGTTGTTCTCGTGCTGCTCGTTGTTCTCGTGCTGCTCGTTGTTCTTGTGCTGCTCGTTGTTCTCGTGCTGCTCGTTGTTCTCGTGCTGCTCGTCGTTCTCGTGCTGCTCGTCGTTCTCGTGCTGCTCGTCTTTCTCGTCCTGCTCGTCGTTCTCGTGCTGCTCGTCGTTCTCCTCCTGCTCGTCGTTCTCCTCCTGCTCGTCGTTCTCGTGCTGCTCGTCGTTCTCGTGCTGCTCGTTGTTCTCGTGCTGCTCGTCGTTCTCGTGCTGCTCGTGCTGCTCGTTGTTCTCGTGCTGCTCGTTGTTCTCGTGCTGCTCGTTGTTCTCGTGCTGCTCGTTGTTCTCGTGCTGCTCGTTGTTCTCGTGCTGCTCGTTGTTCTCGTGCTGCTCGTTGTTCTCGTGCTGCTCGTTGTTCTCGTGCTGCTCGTTGTTCTCGTGCTGCTCGTTGCTCTCGTGCTGCTCGTTGCTCTCGTGCTGCTCGTTGCTCTCGTGCTGCTCGTTGCTCTCGTGCTGCTCGTTGTTCTCGTGCTGCTCGTTGTTCTCGTGCTGCTCGTTGTTCTCGTGCTGCTCGTTGTTCTCGTGCTGCTCGTTGTTCTCGTGCTGCTCGTTGTTCTCGTGCTGCTCGTCGTTCTCGTGCTGCTCGTCGTTCTCGTGCTGCTCGTGGTTCTCGTCCTGCTCGTTGTTCTCGTGCTGCTCGTTGTTCTCGTGCTGCTCGTTGTTCTCGTGCTGCTCGTTGTTCTCGTGCTGCTCGTGGTTCTCGTGCTGCTCGTTGTTCTCGTGCTGCTCGTTGCTCTCGTGCTGCTCGTTGCTCTCGTGCTGCTCGTTGTTCTCGTGCTGCTCGTTGTTCTCGTGTTGCTCGTTGTTCTCGTGCTGCTCGTTGTTCTCGTGCTGCTCGTTGGTCTCGTGCTGCTCGTTGTTCTCGTGCTGCTCGTTGTTCTCGTGCTGCTCGTTGTTCTCGTGCTGCTCGTTGTTCTCGTGCTGCTCGTTTGTTCTCGTGCTGCTCGTTGTTCTCGTGCTGCTCGTCGTTCTCGTGCTGCTCGTTGTTCTCGTGCTGCTCGTTGTTCTCGTGCTGCTCGTTGTTCTCGTGCTGCTCGTTGTTCTCGTGCTGCTCGTTGTTCTCGTGCTGCTCGTTGTTCTCGTGCTGCTCGTTGTTCTCGTGGTGCTCGTCGTTCTCGTGCTGCTCGTTGTTCTCGTGCTGCTCGTTGTTCTCGTGCTGCTCGTTGTTCTCGTGGTGCTCGTTGTTCTCGTGCTGCTCGTTGTTCTCGTGCTGCTCGTTGTTCTCGTGCTGCTCGTTGTTCTCGTGCTGCTCGTTGTTCTCGTGGTGCTCGTTGTTCTCGTGCTGCTCGTTGTTCTCGTGCTGCTCGTTGTTCTCGTGGTGCTCGTTGTTCTCGTGCTGCTCGTTGTTCTCGTGCTGCTCGTTGTTCTCGTGCTGCTCGTTGTTCTCGTGCTGCTCGTTGTTCTCGTGCTGCTCGTCGTTCTCGTGCTGCTCGTCGTTCTCGTGCTGCTCGTTGTTCTCGTGGTGCTCGTTGTTCTCGTGCTGCTCGTTGTTCTCGTGCTGCTCGTTGTTCTCGTGCTGCTCGTTGTTCTCGTGCTGCTCGTTGTTCTCGTGCTGCTCGTTGTTCTCGTGCTGCTCGTTGTTCTCGTGCTGCTCGTTGTTCTCGTGCTGCTCGTTGTTCTCGTGCTGCTCGTTGTTCTCGTGCTGCTCGTTGTTCTCGTGCTGCTCGTTGTTCTCGTGCTGCTCGTTGTTCTCGTGCTGCTCGGTCTCGTGCTGCTCGTTGTTCTCGTGCTGCTCGTTGTTCTCGTGCTGCTCGTTGTTCTCGTGCTGCTCGTTGTTCTCGTGCTGCTCGTTGTTCTCGTGCTGCTCGTTGCTCTCGTGCTGCTCGTTGCTCTCGTGCTGCTCGTTGTTCTCGTGCTGCTCGTCGTTCTCGTGCTGCTCGTCGTTCTCGTGCTGCTCGTTGTTCTCGTGCTGCTCGTTGATCTCGTGCTGCTCGTTGTTCTCGTGCTGCTCGTTGTTCTCGTGCTGCTCGTTGCTCTCGTGCTGCTCGTTGCTCTCGTGCTGCTCGTTGTTCTCGTGCTGCTCGTTGTTCTCGTGCTGCTCGTTGTTCTCGTGGTGCTCGTCGTTCTCGTGCTGCTCGTTGTTCTCGTGGTGCTCGTTGTTCTCGTGCTGCTCGTCGTTCTCGTGCTGCTCGTTGTTCTCGTGCTGCTCGTTGTTCTCGTGCTGCTCGTTGTTCTCGTGCTGCTCGTTGTTCTCGTGCTGCTCGTTGTTCTCGTGCTGCTCGTTGTTCTCGTGCTGCTCGTTGTTCTCGTGCTGCTCGTTGTTCTCGTGCTGCTCGTTGTTCTCGTGCTGCTCGTTGTTCTCGTGCTGCTCGTCGTTCTCGTGCTGCTCGTTGTTCTCGTGCTGCTCGTTGTTCTCGTGCTGCTCGTTGTTCTCGTGCTGCTCGTTGTTCTCGTGCTGCTCGTTGTTCTCGTGCTGCTCGTTGTTCTCGTGCTGCTCGTTGTTCTCGTGCTGCTCGTCGTTCTCGTGCTGCTCGTTGTTCTCGTGCTGCTCGTTGTTCTCGTGCTGCTCGTTGTTCTCGTGCTGCTCGTTGTTCTCGTGCTGCTCGTTGTTCTCGTGCTGCTCGTTGTTCTCGTGCTGCTCGTTGTTCTCGTGCTGCTCGTTGTTCTCGTGCTGCTCGTTGTTCTCGTGCTGCTCGTTGTTCTCGTGCTGCTCGTCGTTCTCGTGCTGCTCGTTGTTCTCGTGGTGCTCGTTGTTCTCGTGCTGCTCGTTGTTCTCGTGCTGCTCGTTGTTCTCGTGCTGCTCGTTGTTCTCGTGCTGCTCGTTGTTCTCGTGCTGCTCGTTGTTCTCGTGGTGCTCGTCGTTCTCGTGCTGCTCGTTGTTCTCGTGGTGCTCGTTGTTCTCGTGCTGCTCGTTGTTCTCGTGCTGCTCGTTGTTCTCGTGCTGCTCGTTGTTCTCGTGCTGCTCGTCGTTCTCGTGGTGCTCGTTGTTCTCGTGCTGCTCGTTGTTCTCGTGCTGCTCGTTGTTCTCGTGGTGCTCGTCGTTCTCGTGCTGCTCGTTGTTCTCGTGGTGCTCGTTGTTCTCGTGCTGCTCGTTGTTCTCGTGGTGCTCGTTGTTCTCGTGCTGCTCGTTGTTCTCGTGCTGCTCGTTGTTCTCGTGGTGCTCGTTGTTCTCGTGCTGCTCGTTGTTCTCGTGCTGCTCGTTGTTCTCGTGCTGCTCGTTGTTCTCGTGGTGCTCGTCGTTCTCGTGCTGCTCGTGTTCTCGTGCTGCTCGTTGTTCTCGTGCTGCTCGTTGTTCTCGTGCTGCTCGTTGTTTTCGTGCTGCTCGTTGTTCTCGTGCTGCTCGTTGTTCTCGTGGTGCTCGTTGTTCTCGTGCTGCTCGTTGTTCTCGTGCTGCTCGTTGTTCTCGTGGTGCTCGTCGTTCTCGTGCTGCTCGTTGTTCTCGTGGTGCTCGTTGTTCTCGTGCTGCTCGTTGTTCTCGTGGTGCTCGTTGTTCTCGTGCTGCTCGTTGTTCTCGTGCTGCTCGTTGTTCTCGTGCTGCTCGTTGTTCTCGTGGTGCTCGTCGTTCTCGTGCTGCTCGTTGTTCTCGTGGTGCTCGTTGTTCTCGTGCTGCTCGTTGTTCTCGTGGTGCTCGTTGTTCTCGTGCTGCTCGTTGTTCTCGTGCTGCTCGTTGTTCTCGTGCTGCTCGTTGTTCTCGTGCTGCTCGTTGTTCTCGTGGTGCTCGTTGTTCTCGTGCTGCTCGTTGTTCTCGTGCTGCTCGTTGTTCTCGTGGTGCTCGTTGTTCTCGTGCTGCTCGTTGTTCTCGTGCTGCTCGTTGTTCTCGTGCTGCTCGTCGTTCTCGTGCTGCTCGTTGTTCTCGTGCTGCTCGTTGTTCTCGTGCTGCTCGTTGTTCTCGTGCTGCTCGTTGTTCTCGTGCTGCTCGTTGTTCTCGTGCTGCTCGTTGTTCTCGTGCTGCTCGTTGTTCTCGTGCTGCTCGTTGTTCTCGTGCTGCTCGTCGTTCTCGTGCTGCTCGTTGTTCTCGTGGTGCTCGTTGTTCTCGTGCTGCTCGTTGTTCTCGTGGTGCTCGTTGTTCTCGTGGTGCTCGTTGTTCTCGTGCTGCTCGTTGTTCTCGTGCTGCTCGTTGTTCTCGTGGTGCTCGTCGTTCTCGTGCTGCTCGTTGTTCTCGTGGTGCTCGTTGTTCTCGTGCTGCTCGTTGTTCTCGTGGTGCTCGTTGTTCTCGTGCTGCTCGTTGTTCTCGTGCTGCTCGTTGTTCTCGTGCTGCTCGTTGTTCTCGTGGTGCTCGTCGTTCTCGTGCTGCTCGTTGTTCTCGTGGTGCTCGTTGTTCTCGTGGTGCTCGTTGTTCTCGTGCTGCTTGTTGTTCTCGTGGTGCTCGTTGTTCTCGTGGTGCTCGTTGTTCTCGTGCTGCTCGTTGTTCTCGTGCTGCTCGTTGTTCTCGTGGTGCTCGTCGTTCTCGTGCTGCTCGTTGTTCTCGTGGTGCTCGTTGTTCTCGTGCTGCTCGTTGTTCTCGTGGTGCTCGTTGTTCTCGTGCTGCTCGTTGTTCTCGTGCTGCTCGTTGTTCTCGTGCTGCTCGTTGTTCTCGTGCTGCTCGTTGTTCTCGTGGTGCTCGTTGTTCTCGTGCTGCTCGTTGTTCTCGTGCTGCTCGTTGTTCTCGTGGTGCTCGTCGTTCTCGTGCTGCTCGTTGTTCTCGTGGTGCTCGTTGTTCTCGTGCTGCTCGTTGTTCTCGTGGTGCTCGTTGTTCTCGTGCTGCTCGTTGTTCTCGTGCTGCTCGTTGTTCTCGTGGTGCTCGTTGTTCTCGTGCTGCTCGTTGTTCTCGTGCTGCTCGTTGTTCTCGTGCTGCTCGTTGTTCTCGTGGTGCTCGTCGTTCTCGTGCTGCTCGTTGTTCTCGTGCTGCTCGTTGTTCTCGTGCTGCTCGTTGTTCTCGTGCTGCTCGTTGTTTTCGTGCTGCTCGTTGTTCTCGTGCTGCTCGTTGTTCTCGTGGTGCTCGTTGTTCTCTTGCTGCTCGTTGTTCTCGTGCTGCTCGTTGTTCTCGTGGTGCTCGTCGTTCTCGTGCTGCTCGTTGTTCTCGTGGTGCTCGTTGTTCTCGTGCTGCTCGTTGTTCTCGTGGTGCTCGTTGTTCTCGTGCTGCTCGTTGTTCTCGTGCTGCTCGTTGTTCTCGTGCTGCTCGTTGTTCTCGTGGTGCTCGTCGTTCTCGTGCTGCTCGTTGTTCTCGTGGTGCTCGTTGTTCTCGTGCTGCTCGTTGTTCTCGTGTGCTCGTTCTCGTGCTGCTCGTTGTTCTCGTGCTGCTCGTTGTTCTCGTGCTGCTCGTTGTTCTCGTGCTGCTCGTTGTTCTCGTGGTGCTCGTTGTTCTCGTGCTGCTCGTTGTTCTCGTGCTGCTCGTTGTTCTCGTGGTGCTCGTTGTTCTCGTGCTGCTCGTTGTTCTCGTGCTGCTCGTTGTTCTCGTGCTGCTCGTCGTTCTCGTGCTGCTCGTTGTTCTCGTGCTGCTCGTTGTTCTCGTGCTGCTCGTTGTTCTCGTGCTGCTCGTTGTTCTCGTGCTGCTCGTTGTTCTCGTGCTGCTCGTTGTTCTCGTGCTGCTCGTTGTTCTCGTGCTGCTCGTTGTTCTCGTGCTGCTCGTCGTTCTCGTGCTGCTCGTTGTTCTCGTGGTGCTCGTTGTTCTCGTGCTGCTCGTTGTTCTCGTGGTGCTCGTTGTTCTCGTGGTGCTCGTTGTTCTCGTGCTGCTCGTTGTTCTCGTGCTGCTCGTTGTTCTCGTGGTGCTCGTCGTTCTCGTGCTGCTCGTTGTTCTCGTGGTGCTCGTTGTTCTCGTGCTGCTCGTTGTTCTCGTGGTGCTCGTTGTTCTCGTGCTGCTCGTTGTTCTCGTGCTGCTCGTTGTTCTCGTGCTGCTCGTTGTTCTCGTGGTGCTCGTCGTTCTCGTGCTGCTCGTTGTTCTCGTGGTGCTCGTTGTTCTCGTGCTGCTCGTTGTTCTCGTGGTGCTCGTTGTTCTCGTGCTGCTCGTTGTTCTCGTGCTGCTCGTTGTTCTCGTGCTGCTCGTTGTTCTCGTGCTGCTCGTTGTTCTCGTGCTGCTCGTTGTTCTCGTGCTGCTCGTTGTTCTCGTGGTGCTCGTTGTTCTCGCGGTGCTCGTTGTTCTCGCGGTGCTCGTTGTTCTCGTGCTGCTCGTTGTTCTCGTGGTGCTCGTTGTTCTCGTGGTGCTCCACCTGTGAGCTGGCACCGCGCTTCTCCATGCCGGTGCTGCGCGCGAGGTGAGGCGAGTGATATATGACGGGGGGAAGGGGAGTGGTCTGTCATGCCGCCTTGTCCCACAACCCTGCAAATGCTGCTCGTTGTGCTCTGTGTTGCTCCTCTGCACACTTCTCCCTTCTCCCTTCTTTATTCTCGCCTAGCCTCTCACTTGTGTGTCTATTCAATCACGCAGGCACTGGGTGTGGATGTGAAGTGGCTGCGAGCACTCTGTCTGACGGCAGCCTCCAAGCCCTTGTCGCCACCATCTCCGTGCCGCCACGCCTCACCACACCAACCCAGCCCACATCTTCTCAACGCTCCCATCCCCCCAACGTGCTGAGCTCCCACCACCCCCCTCCCTCGTTGACAACCCTCTTGTGTCCGCCCCCTGTGCTGCCCCACTGTCGCCGTACTCCCCACCAGGTGGTGAACAGGGTGCAGAAGCTGCGCAAGCGGGCGGGGCTGGAGCCGTCAGATGCGGTGGAGGCGTTCATTCACGTGCATGGGGGCGATGGGGCTGACGGCACACACGGGGAGAATGGCAAGGAGGGCGGTGACGGTGCTGAGGAGTCGGCGCTGCACCGCATTCTGGCGGCTCAGGTGCTGCCTCTTCTGCCACGAGCCGCAAGTGCCCCTCTTTAAATTGTTTCTATTGTGCATTCGTTGTGATCGCCTCCTATCTCTGTGTTCTTCCCATCCTCTCCTCTCTTCCCCTTTCTCCCATCCATCGCTTTCACTACTTTCTCCCCATCAGCTCCGCTCACTTTTCTTTGCTCCACCGCGCTGCCCTCCCTTCCGCCCTGTCCCCACCACCCCACCAGGCGGAGTACATTCGGGAAGCATTGGGGGCGCCGCTACTCTCTGCCCGCTACTGCCCCTCCCATGCCGTATGTGCCCCTCGCATGCATCATTGCCCCTTTTTTATGCTGTACACACCTCAGTTGTATCTATTCGCAGGGGTGTGGACGAGTAAAGTAAACCCGTGTGCTCTCTGCACATACACCCCACCCCGCCTTTCCTTCCACCCCGTTCCTCATGGCGAGCAGGTGGTGCTGGCATCAGAGCGGTACAGCGGGGTGGCGGGGGCCACCTTCACGCTCACGCTCACTCGCCCCGCTCTCTGCTTCTCGCCGTCCCTCACTGCTGACCTCTGCCACGGTGAGTTCTCTCGATGGCAACGTGGCCTCCCTGCCATGTGTGCTGTGCTGGCCTGCTTCTGTCCTCTGCGTGCTCTGCACATGCACCTTCACTGCCTCACCTCCTTGCTGTCACACCACCATGCCATCACACCACCATGCCATTGACACATTTGCACTTTCATTCCAAGTACCCACAAACCACTCTTCGCAATCTCACCTTCTGGTGTGTTGCTTAATTTGTTCTTGTCCATCCACCCCTCTGCATGCCTTCCACCAATGCACACATGTTCGAGTCAGCGTGGAGCTAAGTGCAGCACTGAAGGTGGTTCTACCGCATGCATGCATCCGTCAACCACCTCCTCCCTGCATGCATCGCCCTCTGTGCACCCGTCCTCCCTGCGTCCCTGTCAGGCGAGGCAGCGGCAGCCACGGCAGTGCAGGTGGCGCTCATGGCGCGCGACCCCGCCAAGCTCAAGGCGGAGATTGCCGGTGCAGGTGGCAAGGTGAGGAGAGATAGACTCCCACCCTCTCTGCATCTGCCCTTTCCTGCCCCCCCACCAGGCGATGCAGCAGCAGCCACGGCGGTGCAGGTGGCGCTCATGGCTCGCGACCCCGCCAAGCTCAAGGCCGAGATGGCCGCTGCAGGCGGCAAGGTGAGCAGCCATAGCCATGCCGTGTGGTTGATGTGAACTCAAGTGTGATGTGTGCCACCACTGTGTGCTGGGTTGGGAGAGGAACAAGTGCATGTGTCCAGCCTTGCTGCAGCTTGTGCGCTTTCACGTTTCACCCTTCCTGCATGGAATGCCTTCCCTCATGCTGCCCACCACCACCACCACCACCCTCCTCCATGCACCTGCAGGTGCAAGTGGCGGTGGAGGGAGTGGGGCAGTGGGCGGTGCAGCAGGGCTCGCACCTCTTCCTCTCTGTCTCCGACTTCCTCCTCGCCCACCCCGCCACCCGCCCTTGACGGCCCGCCCCCTTGATGCTCCACCCCGCCCTTCCTGCCGGCCACCCTGCTGCTGGACTGGCCTAGGCTGGGAAGATATGGAAGCTACTCTGCATCCCGTGCATGCAGGCAGAATTTCAGCGACTTTTTTTTTAATGTATAGGCCGAGTGACTTGGCGAAGCATGTGGCATGAAGAAATGCATACACCCACGCAGACCAGTGATTTGTGTGCAAATGAAGCTTGAAACCTCATCTCAAAATGCTCTGAATGGGGCAGTCAATAGAGCAGTACTGGCGGTCGATGCATTTTGGATCACTGTGGTATGTATATTATGATTTTTTTTAGACTACAGATCGCAGTTCCAATGCTACTCTTTGAGCTAAAAGGTGGGTGACAGGGATGCTAGTGTGCTGACAAGTACCAGGGACAGCGGGACATGAGCTATTAGGGAAGGGAAGGCAGTGAAGTGAGCGAGGAAAGGAGACATGGTGAAACAGGACGGCATGGGAAGCAGGGAGACATGTGAAATAAGAAAAGCAAGGGCAAACAAGTGTGGTGAAAGAGGCAGATATGGGGAAACAAGGAGACATGGGGAAACGAGGGGACTTGGGGAAACAAGGATGTTTAGTGACAATGAGAGACGTAGGGAAACATTGGGGCATGGGAAAACATGGAGTGATATGGGTAAACAGGGAGGCATGAGGAACCAAGGAGTGACATGGAGAAACAGGGGGACATGAGAAAACGGGATACCAGTACTTGGTGAAACAGGGAAAGATGTGGAATCAGGGAGATGAAGAATAGGGAAGACATGGGGAGAGTGGCATAAAGAAACAGAGATACATGGTGAGATAAGGTTGCATAGTGGGAAAGCCATGGGGTTTGGGAAACAGGGAGACATGGTGATACAGTGAGGTATGGTGAAACAGGGAGTGACACGGGAAAATTGGGAGGAATGGTGAAACAGGGAGACATGGGGAAACAGGGAGGCATGGGAAAACAGGGAGGCATGGGGAAACAGGGAGGCATGGGGAAACAGGGAGACACGGTCAAATAGGAAGGCATGGGGAAACCGTGAGGCATGGGGAAACCGTGAGGCATGGGGAAACCGTGAGGCATGGGGAAGCGACGAAACGGGGATACTTGGGGAAACGGTAACACATAGTGAAACAAGGAGAGATGAGGATTTAGGGACATGATGGTGAAAAAAAGGAGACACATGGGGAACAAGGGTGGCATGAAGAACGAGGGAGACATGGGGAAAAACGAAAACATAGAGAAACAAGGAGACATGGGGAAATAGGAAGGCATGGAGAAACAGATAGGCATGGGAAAACAAAAGCACATGGGAAACAAGGAGATACGAGGAAACAAAGAGACATGGTGAATCGCAGAGACATGGGGAAAAAGGAAAACATGGGGAACAGGGATGGAGACATGGTGAAACAGCGATACAGGCGGAAACATGGGGATATGGGGAAAAGGGGAGACACGGTGAATCATGGAAAGATGGGGAAACAGGGAGGCATGGGCAAGCAGGGAGAGAGGCGGGATCAGGGAAAATAGGAAGACATGGGGAAACAGGTAGATGCCAGTGTATTGCAGTATTGTTGTATGGTGATTGTTTCTAGTTGACTGACATTGCGAATTACAGGCATCCAATCATCGATTGCAAGTGGAAACAACAAGGCCTAACATGCAACTACATCAAAGGCAGGGTCGACAGAAACTTGTCATATTGCCAGGTTCCTAATCTCCCTACAAGGCTCAAGCCTGGAGCCATCCGTCAGGAGCGCTCAAGCCTGGAGCCATCCGTCAGGAGCGCTCAAGCCTGGAGCCATCCGTCAGGAGCGCTCAAGCCTGGAGGTGTCGTTGAAGGCACAGCAGCACAACAGCTTTCCCTCACCCCCTCCAGCCATCAACCACCCACCACACTCCCACAAACACCCTGCTGTGAAGCAGGGCGCAAAAAAGGGTAGTGCCACCGTGTTCCCCATCCACACCACACCCATCCCCCAGTCATCTCTCTTGGCGTGTTGCTGTGCTGTGCTCCGCTGCTTTCACATGCCTTTTATGCCATCCCTCCATCTCATACCCCAAGCTTTCCTCTATTCAACCTCCATTTTCATCAAAAAAAAAATTAAGGATTTCGGAGATGGTTTTCCCTTCTTTTCTTTCCATGCGTGCAGCAGTCAAGGGCGCCATGGCCAGCGTGGGATTGCGGCCGGCACGGCCTTGGACGTCCTGCGAGGCCGCTTGCCCGCAGCTTCGACTTCCACTCCGCTCACCTCCCTGTGCGGTGCGGCGCATTTAGGCCTGGGAATCAGTGTCGTTCCCTCCACTCGCCTCCTAATCGCTGCTCCCTTGCTCGGTTTCGGGATGCGCAACGCTACGACCGTACTCACTGACTTCGCGCAGGCCGCCGAAGACAGAACCGTCAGAGGTGAACAAGCGGATCTGATGCCGCTTCATGCGGTGTTGCAACGATAGGGACTGCTGCATCCGACAATCTCGCATTCGAGGCTTCAGCGTCCTGCGCTGAAAGATCTGTCAGTTTCGCTTCCGCAGCTGCATGATCAAATGGTTCACCATCCGCAGCTGCAGCATCAAAAGCTTCGGCATGCGACGCTTCAGCATGCTTCGCTTCAGCGTCTGACACTCCTGTAGCATCCGATGTCACCGGCAGCAGCTCGAGCAGCATTGGCATTGTAGCGGTGAGATTCGTGCTGTTGTTGGTAAACAGCGGCTCAAGGCACGATTTTGCCTGCTTCTCGCTGTTCTTCCAAAAGCTCAGTGCGGAAAAAAACGGCGGATAGTCTGAGGCCATGTCGAACTGAATGAACGAGGAAGTAAACCGAACTACGAAGACCAGCAGCGTAGTACCTTGTGTTTGGAAGGAGTTGTGAATGAGATAAGCTGGGGTGGCGGATTTCTAAGGCAGATTAGCGGCTGGTGTTGGCAGATCTGCCGCTGGTCACAGCAGCAGCAGCAAGAAGCGGAGAGAGACAGACTCGAGGCTTGGGGAGGGAAAAGCGGAACACCGCAGCCACGGAAAGGCGGGTCTTGCGCCGCGGGGAGCTTTCAAGGCTCCAGATCAGGCCTGTCGAAGCTTCTGGGACCATAACTTTGCCCCCTGACCTCCTCAGATTCAGGCCCGTTTTTTCAGAACCCTGCGCCTTTTCCCGCCCTTAACCGTGGGTGCAGGCCCATGGCAAAACTTATACGGGGCTGAATAAAGTACAGCAGAATAAAGTACAAAAAGTTGTTTTGTTTGCCCCGGCTGTACGACAGAATAAAGTACAAAAAGTTTGCGGATAGAGCGCCAGAATATCAATGTGTATCAACAATTGTTTTCCAAAAACTGAAGTTTTTGCAATTAGCTTGAAAATCGGAAAGTGTGTCAGGATTTCGGAAAGTGTGTCAGAATTTCGGAAAGCTGTGTCAGAATTTCGGAGAGTGTGTCAGAGGTTTTTTGCTTCAGGATTCGTCAATTTATTCTGACGCGAGTGGGAAAACCAGAATCAGGCTCAATTTCGGCGGGAATTTCATGTAGTTACCATTCGCGTGATGGGCTGCTAGTGTAGAGTTACCAAATGTGTTATGAGTTGTATGAAAGAAGAGTGCGCAGAATGCAATATCGCGGAAGTGATTACAACTACTGAGCAAACAACGAGGCCTATGTATAATATAGCACATCTAGCTAGGCCGAAGGTCGCGGAGTCGCGCGAAGGTTGGGTGCAGGTTTGGGGTTGGGCAACCCGAGGGCGACGCGGGAAACGTTCGGAAGGCAAGGTCGTCGGACCGAGCCTGAAATCCGAAAGTTGGAATTGTATACGTAAGAGATGCCTCAGTAAGGAATTAGCGAAATTCCTTACACTACCCCCCCCCCCCCCCCCCCCCCCCCTCCCCCCCTTAAGAAAGGTGGTCAACATCAGGCACATGTCAGCGAGAAAGATGCTGTCGAAGTACTGAGTGCCCTTGTAGTGAGTCAGCCGCGATCCACCCAGCGTAGTAGGAAGTCGACGTGGCGTCCGGCGGGGGTCGCACGAATGCGATGGTTCAATATCTTCCAAGGTTGAAGCGTCGGGTCTGCCACAGGTCGGACACTTGGCGCCTGGTGGGGTCGGGCGACATCGGACGACTGCGGTGCTACATAGTGGCGAAGTAAGCTGACGTGGAAAGCGTCGTGGATTTTCCAGTCGTCCGGTAGGAGAAGTTTGTGAAACTATGAGCAGAGGAATGAATTGACTAAGTCAGAGTTGGGTACAAATACAACCCTAGCAAACTGTACCCCATATGTGCTACCCCACTATGGCCTACAAACATGCATCAGCTATAATAATCTGACACACCCCCATAGGCAAAGTGGGGGAGAACAAGGGGTCACAAGACCAGTCAAGCAAAGCAAAACAAGCTCAGGGTGGATCACAAAGTCACCACACAGTCCGAGCACAAGAGCAAGGCCAGAGGCCAGTTCACATGCAGGAGTAAAGACATATATATAAAACTAGACAAGCAAGAGCAGGTATATATATGTCAAAGTACAAGTAAAGTCAAGAAGAGAGCAAGTGAGGCAAGACAGGTACAAGACCCAGCTGGGTACAAAAGCGCTGATGGTCGCAAGGCGCAAGTGCCTTGGTGAACACATCAGCAGTGTTGGCCTCAGAGGCCACGTAAGCAAGTCGCAACTGACCACGCTGCTGCAGCTCACGAGCAAGGAAGTAGCGGAGAGCAATGTGCTTCGTTCTGTGCTCCAAGCGCTGCTCTCGACACAAGGCCAACATGGCCTTGTTGTCTACGTACAGCACTGGAGGAGAACGAGGCAGCTCTCCAAGGTCAGTCAGCAGGTAGGTGAGCCAGCGAAGCTCCTGTGCAGCCATGGCCCCGGCGTAGATCTCAGCCTCACAACTGGAGCCGAGAACCGAAGACGAGCGAGTAGACCGCCACGAGACAGAGCCGGAACCAAGGCTGAAGGTGTAACCCTGTGACGACCGCTGCGTAGCCTGGTCGTCAGCCCAAGAAGCGTCTGCGTGCCCAGTAAGGACCACTGGACTCCGCCCTCCAAGCACTAGCCCCATGCCCGACGTACTGCACAGGTAGCGCAATACCCTCTTCGCTGCAGCCATGTGCTCTGGTCGGTGTCTCCCAGGAGCAACATAGCGTGCAAGGATGCTCAGAGGGTATGCAAGGTCAGGTCGAGTGCAGGTCATCAGGTACATGAGGCAGCCAACAAGCTCTGCATACGGACCACTCGACTCTACGGACTCATCCGAAGGCAGAGCTGAGAGTGAGTGGCGAGTAGGCAGAGGAGTGGCCTGAGGCGAGGAGTACGTGAAGCCGAAGCGCTGAAGGACCTGCTGCACCATGTGTGACTGAGTCAGGGTAATGGTGCGGCGTGCTCTGTCCCGAGTGATCTGCAAGCCAAGGTAGCTGCGCAGTTCACCCAGGTCTGTGCACGTGTGTCTCTTCAGCAGCTCGGACTTCACGTAGGCGAGTCCAGCAGTGTCCGCTGTGGCAAAGACCAAGTCGTCGACGTACACGAGGATGTAGAACGGCGGCAGGGAAGTGTCGGTGCGAAGAAACAGCGACGGGTCAGCAGTAGAAGGAGCAAACCCAAGAGCCGCAAGCGTAGTCCTCAGTGTGTCGTGCCACTCACGCGGTGCCTGGCGGAGACCGTAGACTGGCCGTCGGAGGCTCCACTGGGTGCCAGGAGGGAAAGTCCCAGTGAAGCCAGGCGGACGGCGCAGCCAGATCTCCTCGTGCAGGCTACCCTGCAGGAACGCAGTGCTGAAGTCGAGAGAGTGAAGCTCGTAGTCGCGCTGAGCGGCAATGTGCAGCAGCACCCGAAGAGTGGTCATCTTCGGGGTGGGAGAGAAGGTCTGAAAGTAGTCAACTCCCTGCCGCTGACTGAAGCCACGAGCTACATAACGCGCCTTGAAGACAGGCGGCGAGCCCGGCGGCCGCTTCACCCTGAAGATCCACATGCCACTGACGATGTTCGCCCCAGGAGGGGGAACCGCGTCAACGTAGGTGCCTGTGGACTTCCAGGAAGCCATCTCTGCATCCATAGCTGCCTGCCACTGAGAGGAGTAGGGACCCTCTACGGCCTCCGCGTAAGAACGCGGAGTCGGGATGTCTAGTGCATCCGGGTCTCCCTCAGGGGCTAGCAGTACAGACGCGAGACGAGGTGAAGCAGCGGCTAGACACTGGAACTCCTCCTGCCTGTCCTCTAGGACGTCCGTGCCAAGGGCACACTCACCCCCGACGGACGGAGGACAGGCGGACTCAGACTCAGCGACAAGACGAGCAGCGTAGTCTAGACGACAGCGCGCAGCAAAGTCGACAAGCTCAGTGACAAGGGCAGACGCAGCAGACGACTCGAAGGAAGGGTCAGTGACAGCAGTAGCAAGGAGACGCGTGACAGTAGGACTGGCAGCACGAAGAGAGTCCGACTCCGGGTCGGCAAGAGCAGGAAGAGAGGAAGCAGGAGGAGAAGGCAAAGGGGCACGCAGAGGAGCAGTGGACGGACGCAGTGACATCCGGTGCGTGCCAGGGACAGGAGGAGGACGCTGACGCGACCCGCGACCACTAGCGCGCTCAGTACGAACAGGCGACGCAGGACGAGACGCAGGCTCACGACGCTCAGTAAGACCTCCAGTCGGACCAGCGTAGGGAGAAGGAGCAGGCAAAGGGGAGGCAGGCTGAAGCTGTGGCTGTGACCGGACAGGCTGCGGACCCTCGAAGGAAGGAGGAGGAGGTGTAAGACCAAGAACCTGCTGCAGGAGCGGAACGAAGTACGGTCGAGGCCGCGCGGCGACGCGAGAAACAGCAGGAACAGCACCAGCACCCCCGGCAGGAGCACCCACTCCAGCAGCACCTCCAGCAGAACCACCAGAAGCTCCAGAACCTCCAGCAGCAGCACCAGGAGCACCGTCAGTCGGACCACCAACCGCAGGCTCAGCGCCAACGTCCTCAGCAGGACCAGCTCCAGGAGAACACTCAGACCCAGCAGCTCCAGCACCCACAGGACGAGCACCGCCAGGTCGCGTGGCAGCAGCGCCCTCCGCAGCCGAAGAACCACCAGCACCAGCGGCACGCCTCCAGCGCCGGGCAAACCACTCACGCAGCTCCTGTGGAGAGAGCGGCTCCCGGTGAGACGAAGCACCCCCAGGCACAGCACCTCCAGGCTCGGCACCTCCCGGCTCAGCACCCCCAGGCTCAGTACCCCCAGACACAGCACCCCCAGGCACAGCACCCCCAGGCTCAGCACCCCCAGGCTCAGCACCCCCAGGCCCAGCACCCCCAGGCTCCGCACCCCCAGGCTCAGCACCCCTAGACTCCGCACCCCCAGGCTCAGCTCCCGCAGCAGCACCGGAGTCACCAGTGACCTCGACAGGCTCGACCGCGTCTACCTGAGACACACCTGAAGGGGCAGGACCCTGAGGGGGGAGGGGGACTACTGGGGGGGGACCTGGTACCAAGAAGAGGGGGGGGTGGGGGGAGGGACGGAGTGCGGTAGGGGAAGAGGCGGTAGTAGGGTACCGACTCGTCGAACGTGACGTCCTGGGAGGACAGAACACGTCGAGAGGTGGGGTGGTAAAACTGCCACCCAGGGGCGTCGGGGGGGAACCCGAGGAAGACGCAGGGAGAAGCACGAGGGGACAGCTTGTCCGCAGACAGGTCGCGAACAAACGCCCGAGATCCCCAGACCCGGAACGCCGACGCATCGCCAACCTTCCCCGTCCACAACAGAGCTGGGGAGGTCTCCGGTCGAGAGACCCTGGGGTGGAGGTTGATCTGGTGCGCAGCGTACCTGACCGCAAACGGCCACAGAAAATGGGGAGCAGCCGCATGCATCATGGACGTACGAGCGACGTCCATGACCATGCCAATGCGGCGCTCAGCGATCCCATTCTGCTGTGGTGAGTCCGGAAGCGTGAAGGTCTGACGGATGCCTCGCACACGACAGTAGGTACTCAGGAGGGCCGAGGAGAACTCTCCGCCTCTGTCCGAGTGCAGACGCAAGACAGGGAAGTCAGAGCCAAAGCTTCTCCGAAGCTGAAGACGAGCTGCGCGGATCCAGTCGATCAACACCTGAGTGACCTCACCCTTGCTGCGCAAGGGGAAGACTGTGGTGTAACGCGAGTAGTCGTCAACCACTAGCAGGAAGTAGCGCTCCTGACCCTGTCCACGGACGCGGGCTGGGCCCCACACGTCCATGTGAAGCGTCTGCAACGGGGCCTCTGTCGGAGGAAACTGGGAGGAGTGAGGGGCAGCACGCTGGCGCCCCTCGACACAGGGGACACAGGCAGGGCCAGGGCCCGGAGGAAGGGGAGGGAGGGACCGGGGAAGACCAGACACAAGGACCCGCGAGGCCATGCCTCTGAGCCGAAGCAGAGAGGGGTGGCCAAGGCGGTGGTGCCAGAGGAGGGTCTCGTGAGACAGACGACGACACGAACAAGGGGCAGACTCAGGACCAGACCTGGACGCTGCAGCAAACACCTGACCAGACGAAGGGGCCCTACCAGACGCAGTACCTGGAGGAGAAGCAGTGGTCAGTGTGTACAGGCTCGACCCCGGCCGACGTGTAAACGTAGCCAGGTGGCGACCTGTATCCGCCTCCGTACAGTGGGTCACCCGCTGACGAGCAGGGGTGAACTGGTGGACACCTGCATCCTGGAGGTCAGCACCACTCACCAAGTTCGTCGAGAACGAGGGGAGGTAGAGACCAGTCAGGGTGCCAGAGGGGGCCGCCGGACACGGGAGGACAGTGGAGAAGCGAGACAGGACAGGCCCCCCAGAGGGGTCCGCCAGGGACACCGCAACAGGCCGACTCAGCGGCGTGAGAGTGGTGCGGTCCCTAAAGAAGGAGCGAGACGCTCCAGAGTCAAGGGTGAAGGTGTGAGAGGCCGAAGCCGACACAGTACCTGAGAGGGCGGACTCACCAGTACCTGAAAGCACAGACGCACTGGCACCTAGAGCAGCAGCCTCACTAGTACCTGACGCGGCAGTACCAATGCCCGGGTCGGGCGGGAAACACCGGTAACAGTCATCCTCATCACTACCAGTCACAGCATACATAGCAGAGAGAATAGCATCAAAATCAAGATCATAAATAGCTACACCAGCCCTAGACAGCTCTCCCCAGCGGGGGATCTCAGCGGCCTCCGGAAACTGCTGACGCCAGGCCTCGGTCAGGCGGCCAAAGCAGCGACGGGCTGTGTGGGCGCCTCCACACCTCTCCCCTGCACGGTCACCAGTGCGAAGAACGTAGGGGCAGGGACCAAGCGCACCACCGCGCTGACGCTGCAAGTACCACTCACGGAGCTGCTGAGGGCCGGGGACGGTGCGAGAGCGCTGCTGCTGCTGCGGCTGCTGCTGTGGCTGCTGCTGCTGCTGCTGCTGGCGCTGACCACCCCCAGAGCTGCTCCGCTGGGACGAGCCACTCCGACCCCCTCCTCCACCGCCACCCCCGCCTCCACCGCCACCCCCGTCGCCACCGCCACCTCCCCCACCAGGACCGTCGCTCCCACCGCTCCCACCGCCTCCTCCGCTACCACCTCCGCCGCCACCTCCGCCTCCACCGCCGCCACTACTACCTCCACTCCCGCCACCACCCCCCCCGCCACCCCCACTCCCCCCTCCACCCCCACCGCCTCCTCCACCGCCCCCTCTGGCTCCACCCGCTCCCTTGCCCCCTTTGCCCTTGCCAGTGCGGCGTCTGCCACTGGGGGCAGACGCCGCGCCGACCGACTCAAAACCAACGAGGTCGGCCGCAGCGGCAGAGGCGACAGAGGGCAGCAGGGGGGAGGGACCACACCCCTCAAAGATGGGGGTGCGAGGGTCACCCCGAGAGGCCCCTACAGCGACAATACTCTTCTCAGCCGCTAGCAGGGACTCCTCAAGGAGGTCGACAGTGAGAGTGGTGGGACAGACAGAGAGAAACTGGTCCCTAACGACACGAAGGGACTCAGGAAGACGGGTGACGAGAAAGTAGAGAGTGATGTACATGGGAGGAGGGTTCGCAGCGCGGAACTCAGCAGGAAGGGCAGCGCGGTAGCGGGTGTCACTAGCGCGGAGGTGGGTAACGAGGTCAGCGACAGTGGGAAAGGAAGCGAGGTCAGGGAAGAGAAACGGGAGCATGAGGCGGCTAAGGGTAGCGGAGGAAGGGGAGGAGTAGCGCGCAACTACAGCGTCGTACAAGGCCTGAGCGGTCTTGCACTGACTAAAGTGGGCACGCTCAGAGGAAGGGAGGTGGCGACGCACAGCAAGACGTGCAGCAGCATCGCGGGTCGCCCACTTGGAGCGAACGGCAGAGTCAGCATCAGCAGGCGGGGCAGGGACAGCGCCAGAGACAAAGTCAAAGAGAGAGACCTCATCTACCGCATCACACAGTAAGTACAGCTGCAGATCCTCGATCCAGACGGCAAAGTCAATGGCCCTCCCCTCAGCGTCAAAAGTGAGAACATTGGGGGTGGCCATAGCAGCAGCTGAAAGTCTCACCGGGATGGGAGAGTCGGGTAGGTCAGCAGCAGGCGGCTCGGGCTGCTCGTGCAGCTCAGGCGGCTCGGGCTGCTCAGGTACCGGGCGGCTCGGCTACTGCGGGGCGGCTCGGCTACTGCGGGGCGGCTCGGCTGCTGCTGGGCGGCTCGGCTGCTGCTGGGCAGCTCGGCTGCTGCTGGGCGGCTCGGCTGCTGCTGGGCGGCTCGGCTGCTGCTGGGCGGCTCGGCTGCTGCTGGGCGGCTCGGCTGCTGCTGGGCGGCTCGGCTGCAGTGCAGTGGCGGGGCCGGGACAAGGCCGGCGGTAGGGCCGGCGGTAGGGCCAAGTAGGAGCCGGCGGCGGGCCGAGTAGGAGGCCGGCGACGGGCCGAGTAGGAGGCCGGCGGCGGGGCCGAGTAGGAGCCGGCGGCGGGGCCGTGTAGGAGGCCGGCGGCGGGCCGAGTAGGAGGCCGGCGGCGGGCCGAGTAGGAGCCGGGGCTGGGCCGTGTAGGAGGCCGGCGGCGGGCCGTGTAGGAGGCCGGCGGCGGAGCCGTGTAGGAGCCGGCGGCGGGGCCGTGTAGGAGGCCGGCGGCGGGCCGAGTAGGAGGCCGGCGGCGGGCCGAGTAGGAGCCGGGGCCGGGCCGTGTAGGAGGCCGGCGGCGGGCCGTGTAGGAGGCCGGCGGCGGAGCCGTGTAGGAGCCGGCGGCGGGGCCGTGTAGGAGGCCGGCGGCGGGCCGAGTAGGAGGCCGGCGGCGGGCCGTGTAGGAGGCCGGTGGCGGGCCGAGTAGGAGGCCGGCGGCGGGCCGTGTAGGAGGCCGGCGGCGGGGCCGAGAAGGAGGCCGGCGCGGGGCCGCGTAAGGGGCCGAGTAGGAGCCGGCGGCCCAGGGCCGCGTAAGGGGCCGGCTCGGAGCCGCGTAAGAGGCCGGCGCAGGGCCGCGTAGGAGCCGGCGGCGCAGGGCCGCGTAAGGGGCCAGCGCGGGGCCGCGTAAGGGGCAGGCGGCGGGGCCGCAGGGGAGAGGGCGACCCGAAGGGTCGCTAAAACAAAAAAGGGCGCGCCTCGGGGCGCGCTTCGGTGGGCCCAAAAAAATTCGGTCCTGGAGGGACCTAGCTCTATACCATGTGAAACTATGAGCAGAGGAATGAATTGACTAAGTCAGAGTTGGGTACAAATACAACCCTAGCAAACTGTACCCCATATGTGCTACCCCACTATGGCCTACAAACATGCATCAGCTATAATAATCTGACAAAGTTTCGCAATGACTGGTGTCAGCATCCGACTGATGCGAAAGGGTCCCACGTAGCGTGGACGCAGTTTTGCAGGCTGGGGCAGCTTGAGGTTTTTTGTGTCCAGGACCATCTGCCCGTCACGGAAGGGTAAATTCCGTCGATGTCGGTCGGCGTAGCGGCTGACGGCCTTTATCGGGAGTTGTTGACGAGGGTACTACCGGATCTATCCCGTAATTCAGGTAGGACGGCGACTGCTTGGTTGTTGCAGATGGGGCGTTATTGTACGCAAACTCGAGCATGGGAAGGGAATCCTCCCACCTGGTGATGTCGGGGCAGTTCGTGCGAATCAACTGCTCCATCATCTGGTTTGTCCTCTCTGTCTGTCCGTCGGTCTGTGGATGGTACGACGACGAAAACTGCAGGCGGGTGCCGTACTGTGCCCACGTCTCCTGCCAGAACTTCGACGTGAATTTTGGGTTGCGGTCGCTGATTATCGCCGAGGCAACCCGTGTAGTCGTACGACGGTCAAGATGAAGAGCTTCGCTGTTTCTTCGGCTGTGATCGTCGTGCGGCATGGTGCGAAATGCGCCATTTTCGTTAAGCGATCGACGACGACAAGTACCGAGTCGTTGCCACTTGCGCCCGCCGTCAGTCCTGTGACGAAATCCATTGTCACCTGTTGCCACGGTCGTTCGGGTGGCTCGAGGGGTTGCAGCAATCCAGCTGGGCGTTGGCGTGATGACTTCATTGCTTGGCAGGTCGGGCAGGCGGACACGTAGTGCTGCACGTCGGACGCCATGTCGGGCCAGTAATAATTCCGTTGCAGCAGCTTCAACGTTTTGTCGACGCCGAAATGCCCGGAGAGGTTGAAGTCGTGTACTTCCTGCGTCAGCAATTCTCGTAAGGGTCGGTAAGAAGGTACCCAAACTCGGTTAGTACCGACTTTTAGGTAGTAGCTCCCATGCGCCGTGGTGACCCCGTGGTGTTGATTGGTCCGGAAAAACCGGTCAATCCTATAGCCATGCTTGAATAATCCTGTCAATAAAGGGTTAGAATGGGCGATTATTACTGCTGCGGTCTGCATTGATGGTCGGGTCAGGGCGTCGGCGATGTTGTTGGCGCCCTTTTTGTACGTGATGGTGTAGCTGAAATTGGACTCGAGGTAATCGAGCCACCGGATTTGTCGCGGGTTGAGTTGTGGTTGGCTGCGCATGTATTGTAATGACTTGTGGTCGGTTCGGATGGTGACGTCCGCTCCCGTGAGGTAACAGCGCCAGGTACGAAATGCATGCACGATGGCGAGCATTTCCTTGTCGTGGACCGGATAGTTGCGCTCGGGCAGCTGCATTTTTCTTGATTCGTACGCGATGGGTTGCAGCCCGTTGCCGAAGTCCAGTAGGAGCACAGCGCCCACGGCGAAATCGCTGGCGTCCGTCACGACTTCGAACGGTTGAGATGGATCTGCCAGCCGAAGCACCGGGGGTGAACTCAAAATTTTCTTCAGCTCGTTGAAAGCCAGCTATTCTCTCTCCCCCCAACAGAATTGCACGCCCTTATGCAGAAGATCGGTTAACGGCCTGGTCACCCCCGCCATATTCGGTACAAAACGGCGGACGTAGTTAACGGAGCCGAGGAAACTCTGCAACTCCGTGATGTTCGTGGGCGGCTTCCATTCTGAAATCGCCGTCACTTTGCGAGGGTCAATTTTAATGCCCTCCCCTGAAATCACGTGCCCCAGGAATTCCAGCTCCGGCTGTAAGAACTCACACTTAGAGCCCTTAGTAATCAGTCGGTTATGCTGCAAGCGCCGGAACACTTCCTCTAAGTCCTGTAAATGCTGCTCCCGAGTCTTGCTGTACACCAGGATGTCGTCCAGATAAACGATAACTTTTTTGTCCAGCATGTCCCGAAACACCCCGTTCATGGTGAGCTGGAAAGTCGAGGGCGCGTTCGTCAACCCGAACGGCATCACAGTGTACTCGTAACTGCCGTAGCGGGTGCGAAACGCAGTCTTCGGGCAGTCGTCGGCGAACACGCGAATTTGGTGGTAGCCACCTCGCAAATCGATTTTCGAGAAGAAGCGAGCCCCACGAAGCTGATCCAGCAGATCGTCCGCTCGTGGGATCGGGTAGCGTGACTTGATCGTGACCCGGTTCAACGCTCGATAGTCGATGCACATGCGCAGGCCTCCATCCTTTTTCGGTGTGAACAGTATCGGTGCGGCGTATGGTGACGTGCTCGGCCGGATAAAACCCTTCGACAGCAGATAATCCAGTTGTTTCCGCAACTCATCGAGCTCCGGTTGGCTGAGCCGCCACTATGACCGAACAGTTGGTTTTGCGCCTGGCTCCAGCTCGATTCTGTGGTCCCCCGGACGTTGAGGTGGCAGCCCGTCAGGCAGGTCATCCGCGAAGATTTCGGGATACCTCCGAATCATGCTTGCCACGTCGTTGGGTACAGCAGCGCAGAGCGTGTCGATGTCGGCGATTTTTTCGGAAGCCACCACCTCGTACAGCTGTACGGCGTAGCCTTGTGCTCCCCGTTTTATCGCCCTCTTCATCGTTATTGCGTTGACACGTGTTTTCATCGGCTCCGGCTCCGCCCATTTCGGAAGTGTCACGCGCCCCTTGTTGCATAGCACCGTGATCGCCCCCGTCGTCCAGTCGATCGTCGAATTGAAACGCTGTAGCCAATCTCGTCCGAGCAGCACATCGCAACCGTCCAGTGTTGTCGCCAGCATTCGCATTGAAAACCCGAAATCGTCGCCACACTTCATCCGAATTTGTCGGACCTCGTCTTTTATCGCTAGCGGTGTCCCGTCCACCAGTCGCGCGTCAGTCTCGGGCAGACACCTGTCCAGTTTGACCCCTATTTTTTTGGCCGTTGCCAGGTTGACGAGACTGTGGCTCGCCCCACCGTCAACGAATAATTTTATTTTATAGCCGTTAACCCTCCCCACAACCAGCACAGGGTGATCCACGTGTTCATCCACCTTATTCGTCTGGTTGCAGTCGATAGCCCGTATCGGTACCACCACTCAGTGTGGATGTTGATTGCCGGGCGACGGGGTCTCGTCAGTAGGTGGCCCGACTGCTACTGACTCGTCTCTTTTCCCGACCCCTCTCTGTCGTTCCTGTTTCCCTGTTTCAGCTTCGGGCAGTCCTTCTTCCAGTGGCCCGGTTGGTTGCAGTTGAAGCACGTGTTAGGTCCACGTCTCGGTGCATCCACCCCGTTGATTGTGGGCTGGCGCGGCGGTCCACGATATTGAGTGCCCTCCCGGGAACTCATTCTCGCCCATTGCATCAGTGTCAGAATGTTCTTATCTAGCCTGTAGTGGGGTGCTCTATAGCGAGTACAACCCTGTTAGGGTTTGCTATTTGTATCCCCATTCTTGCTAGTCAAACCCTCTTTCTTTCTTCTAATTTTGACATGCTATCAGAGCGCGTTACGACTTGGCCTGTGGGCCCGCCTAATGCTTCCGCTGCTGTATTTCTGGTCGCGCGCCTTGGGCGCGTGACGTCTTTTTTTTCTACCCGTCGCGGACCCGCCCCTGGCGCCCGCGGCGGTGCCCTTGGCCGTCGCGGACCCGCCTTTGGCGCCCGCGGCGGTGCACTTGGCGCCCGCGGACCCGCCTCTGGCGCCCGCGGCGGTGCCCTTTGCCGTCGCGGACCCGCCTTTGGCGCCCGCGGCGGTGCCCTTGGCGCCCGCGGACCCGCCTCTGGCGCCCACGGCGGTGCCCTTTGCCGTCGCGGACCCGCCTTTGGCGCCCGCGGCGGTGCACTTGGCCGTCGCGGACCCGCCTTTGGCGCCCGCGGCGGTGCACTTGGCGCCCGCGGACCCGCCTCAGGCGCCCGCGGCGGTGCCCTTGGCCGTCGCGGACCCGCCTTTGGCGCCCGCGGCGGTGCACTTGGCCGCCGCGCCCCTGGTGCCCGCGACGGTGCTCCTGCCTCACCCGTACCTGCGCTCGTGCACCCGCCCCTGCCTCACCCACGCCTCCCCTCGTACAGCCGTGGGGGGGAGGGTATTGGGGTGGCGGGTGTTGGAGTCTTGGGTCGTATCCGTCCCTTCCCCTCCTCCTCCTTTTGTTCCCACTGCTACAGCTGCCGCTGGGGGGGAGGGTGTGAGGGTGTGGGGGAGCAGGGGGAGTGGTACCGGGGTGGCGGGTGTGAGGCAACACGCAGCCGTCCCTCCATCTCTCCTCTCTTCCCCCCTTCTCTGCTGCTCCTGCAGCAGTGTGGGGGAGGGGAAGGAGGAGGGTGAGAAGATGGAGGGGGTGACCTACTTGTGTCAGCCCGCCTGCAGTTCCTGCTATTGCTTGTTCTTTATTATTTTGCATGTGTACACCTGCAGGTTGTATTCTACACAAACTCCTGCTGCAGGCAGTTATGGGGGAGTGTCAGAACTTATATTATGTAACTGCCTGTAGCTGTAGTTAGTGTAGTTATTTAAATCTGTAGGTGGTGCACCTCTTCACTTGTTTCCTTTGCTATATGTTTTTCGAAACTATAGTGAAACTCATTCTTCCCAACTCTCTCTCAACTCACTCGACATCCTAACCCTTTCGAAACCCACTCGATATCCTAGTTGGGCCTAGGCTACTAAGCCTAGGCCCTAGTTAATCTTAAATTTTCTTCCAGCATCTTCTAATTTTCGACATGCTATCAGAGCAGGTCGATCCCCTTGGATCGATCCTGTGGGTGGGCTCACCACCTCGTTGCTTCCGCTGCAACTGCTACTGCTACTCTCTGTGCCGCACGCCTCGTGGCGTGCGGCAGTTTTTCTTCCCGCCGTGCGCCCCGAGGCGCGCGGCGGTTTTCTGCCCGCCGTGCGCCCCGAGGCGCGCGGCGGTTCTCTGCCCGCTGTGCGCCCCGAGGCGCGCGGCGGGCTTCTGCCTCGTCGCTCGGCGCGTCGCCCTCGGGAGGCACTGCGACGGGCGACGGGGACCCGCGCGTCGGCCCCGTCGCCGCCCGCAGTGGGCCCGTCGCCGCGCGCAGCGGCCCCGTCGCCGCCCGCAGCGGCCCCGTCACCGCCCCGGCGACCCCGTCCCCGCCCGCATCGGCCGCCCCGTCGCCGCGCGCAGCGGCCCCGTCCCCGCCCGCATCGGCCCCGCCTGCGGCCCCCCCCTTTTCCCGTCGCCTGTCGAGGCGACCCTCGGGGGCCGCTGGGGGAGGGGGGCGAGCGCCGCCCCTTCTGCTGCCTGTCTTGGTGCCCTGGGAGGCCGCGCGTCGGTTCCCCCCCCCCCCCCCCCCCCTCCCCCCCCTTCCCCGTAACCTCCCTACCCGCCATCTCGCCCTGCCTGTGTTAGGGTTTGGGGAGTGGCGAGTAGGGGGTGGCGAGTATGGGGGTGGCACTTCTTCATTCCTCCCTTTGCTCCTCCTCCTCCTTCGTCTCCCACTGCTGCAGCTGTCGCTGAGGGGGGTGGATGTGTGGGAGACTGGGGTTTAGGGTTTAAGGGGGGTGCGTGGGAGTGGAGCTAGCGGTGTAGCAGCGGGTGTGTGCCAGGGGGAGTTGGATAGTTAGGGAAGCTGCATGGAGGTTGCCGTCGTGTCGTCAGCAGCACCTGTATTCCGGGGGCTTCGCCCGGTAGCCCAGTCGTAGCCAGCTGTGCCAGCCGCCCGTGGGTCCGTTGCTCGTCTGCCGCTACTTTAGCCGCGGGGCCAGTTACTCCAGTAGTCCGGGGGCTTCCCCGGTAGCCGCTGTGCCAGTGTGCCTCCTGTTGCCCGTGTGCCTGCAGCTTCAGCCGTCGCCTCCTATCTTCTCTCCTCTCACTCTCTCTCCTCCTCCTCACTTGCCCGTTGTGACTACCACTAGCTCTGCTCATAATTGTGAACTTTAAACTATTGCTTCTTGAACTTGTGCTCAGAATGTGTGGTGACATTGTGATCCACCCTGAGCTTGTTATGCTTTGCTTGCTCTGCTGATTACACCCCACTTTGGCTATGGGGGTGTGTCAGAATGTTCTTATCTAGCCTGTAGTGGGGTGCTCTATAGCGAGTACAACCCTGTTAGGGTTTTCTATTTGTATCCCCATTCTTGCTAGTCAAACCCTCTTTCTTTCTTCTAATTTTGACAATCAGCGCATCCGTTGATTCAGCCACCTGGACGGCATCGAGAAAATTGCGTGGCCTCGTCCGTCGCACCTCGTACTGTATTTCGTACTTGAGGCCTGCGACATACCGGTCGAGTCGTTCCGCGTCGCTCATATCGTCCACTTGGTCAGCCAAATTGCAGAATGTTGCCGTGTAATCTTGGACCGGCGCCACCTGCTTCCAGGTGCGCAGCTTCATGCGAGCAGAATCCGAGGCGGATACATGCTCGAATCTGGTTCGCAGCGCGGCGCCCCACTCCGTCCATGTGCGTATCGTGGCCACTCCGAAGATTGAAGTTGCCTGTTGCGTAGCAGTTGTCCAGGTCCCGTCGTTCGCACGTGACATCCCTGCCGGAGTCCCCCCTGTCTGAAGAGTCTGCTTCCACCACTCCAACGCCAGCCCTCGTAATAGTGACACTGCAAAATTAATGCGGGTAGCATCGTCAGCAATTTGCGTAGCATTGAAAAACACCTCCACTCCGAACAACCATGCCGACACAGTGACGGTTTTGTCGCTGGAGTTGAACGGGGGTGGGTTCGTCGGTTTTATTTTAACAGTTGTTGAGACTGTTGCTGCTGCATGCATCGGGGGCGCCACTGAAGCCATCACCGGGGTTGTCGCTGCTGCCTGACGTGGTGTAGTTTGCGACTGTTGCCTCGGCGCCGCTCGTGTCTGTTGCTGCGGCTATGACTGTTGTTCCTGCGTCCCTTGTGATTGTTGCATCCGTGCCGTCCACTCATCTTCAGCGTCCAGCGAGTCCCGTAGCTCGCTAAGGACCTCGTCGTTAGGCGCGAAGCTGCTACTTGCTTCATCCACAGCGGCCGACTCCTGACGCGCTTCACCTCGCGTCTGGCGTAGCTCGGCGTTTTCCACCCTCAGGCGCTCCAACTCGCCAGACATAGTCTGCATGTTGGATTGCATCGCCCGAAAGTCCTGCAAAAACACGTCAAACTCTGCTTGTGTCATGTTTCGGAGACTCATCCTAGCGGGCAGCGGGTTAACAGCGATTTTTATGGTTTTGATGAAGGCACAAACGCTATAAGTCGGAGCGAGATAATCGTATCTATCTCTCTGTCAAACATTATATATGTTCTGCTTGTGTAGGCTACAGTGGGTTAGCCTATAGGGGGTACACAATTCTAGGGTTTCCTAGTTGTACTCATTTCACTGCTAGTTCATTCACTTTTCCTGTTCGCTGATTCTCACATGGTATCGAGCAGGTTCCCCTGTGGGAACTGTTCGTAGGGCCCACCACCGCTACCTCTTAACTTTTTTTTTTCCTGCCCGGAGCGCGCTCCGGGCCCTAGTACTTTTTTTTTTTCGTTCCGCCCTAGCGCCCTGACGGCCGCCCGCCCTAGCGCCCGAGCGCCGCCCGCCCTAGCGCCCGAGCGCCGCCCGCCCTAGCGCCCGTGCGCCGCTCGCCCTAGCGCCCTGACGGCCGCCCGCCCTAGCGCCCTGACGGCCGCCCGCCCTAGCGCCCGAGCGCCGCCCGCCCTAGCGCCCGAGCGCCGCCCGCCCTAGCGCCCGTGCGCCGCTCGCCCTAGCGCCCTGACGGCCGCCCGCCCTAGCGCCCTGTCGGCCGCCCGCCCTAGCACCCGAGCGCCGCCCGCCCTAGCGCCCGAGCGCAGCTCGCCCTAGCGCCCGAGCGCCGCCCGCCCTTGCGCCCTGACGGCCGCCCGCCCTGACGCCTGAGCGCCGCCCGCCCTAGCGCCCTGACGGCCGCCCGCCCTGACGCCTGAGCGCCGCCCGTCGTCGCCCCAGCGCCCTAGCGCCCGACGCCCGCGAGCCGCCCGTCGCAGCAGCCCGTGAGCTGCCTGTACGCCGCCCGCCGAGCCGCCCGTGCACCCGCCCAGCGTGAGCCGCCCACGACCGCCCAGGCTGCCGTCCCCTTCTACCGGCCCCGCAACTGCACATACTGGCCCCGCCGCTGCACCTACCGGCCCCCACCACCCACCCCCCCTTTTCCCGTCGCCTGTCGAGGCGACCTGAGGGGGCCGCTTGCGGGAGAGGCCAGCAGAGGGGTGGCAGGTGTGTGGCCTCCCCTGCTTCTCCTCCTCCTTCATCGCTCACCTGCAGCAGCCGAGCCGCCCCACCGCCGAGCCGCCCTGCACCCGAGCCGCCCAGCAGCCGAGCCGCCCTGCCGCCGAGCCGCCGGGTCGCTGAGCTGCTGAGCTGCAGTTGCTGCCGAGCCGCCCTGCCGCCGAGCCGCCGAGTCACCGAGCTGCTGAGCTGCAGTTGCTGCCGAGCCGCCTTGCCGCCGAGCCGCCCGAGTCGCCCGAGCCGCCGAGCCGCCGAGCTGCCGAGCCGCTGAATCGCCGAGCCTACTATTCCCACCACTGGTGAGCTCTTGCCCTACTAGCACGCTGCGCGTCGCCTGCTTGCCTGCCTGCCTGCCTTTTGGCTTGCCTGGCTGCCTGCCTTCCTGCTGCTAGTCCTGCTCCTGCTTCTACTTGCGGAGCCAGATGCAGCCCCAGCGATGCCTGCGTGAGTCCCTCACGCCCCAGCAGCTGCGTGAGTGGTACGCTGGTTGGGGCTGTAGGGGTGGCGACGCTACTCCTACTTCCACTCCTGCTGCTTCTACTCGTGGTGGCGGCCAGATGCAGCTCCCGCGACCCTCTCGCGTGTCTCTCACGCCTCGCCAGCTTCGTGAGTGGTACGCTCAGAGTGGAGGGTCTCTCAGTGCTGTTCGCTGCTCTTACGTGATTTGCACTGGTACTCGGACTGGTCAGCCTTGTGGGACACGTAGTCATACACAGTCCCGCTGCTTCGCCCGTCTGAGCGACGCCTGGCGTACCGTGTTTGGCGACGAGGCTGAGCTTCCCGACTGGGTGGAGTTGCTTAGGCAGAGGGTAGATATATATGCTCTTGACTATGATGCTATTCTCACTGCCATGTATGCATTGCCTACTAGTGCTGACCGTGCCGGTCACCTGTGCGTCCCGCCTGACCCAGGTATAGGACCTGCTGCTCTAGCTACTGGTGAGGCTGCTGCTCTGGGTGCTAGTGAGTCTCCTGCTCCAGGTACAGGTGCGGCTGCTGCTCTAGGTGCTAGTGAGTCTGCTTCCTCAGGTGCGGGTGAGGCTGCGCTCTCAGGTACCGCGTTGGCTTCGGCCTCCCTCACCTTTACACTTGACTCTGGGGCTTCTCGCTCCTTCTTTCGAGACCGCACCACACTCACGCCGCTTGGTCGGCCGGTTGCTGTCTCCCTGGCTGACCCCTCTGGGGGTCCTGTCCTCGCCCACTTCTCCACTGTCCTCCCGTGTCCGGCTGCCCCCTCGGGCACCCTGTCTGGCCTGTACCTCCCCTCGTTCTCGACGAACTTGGTGAGTGGTGCAGACCTGCAGGATGCGGGGGTTCACCAGTTCACTCCTGCGAGTCAGCGGGTGACCCACTGCACGGACGCACGCACAGGCCGGCACCTGGCCACGTTCTCGCGTCGGCCGGGGTCGAGCCTCTACACCCTGACCACTGAGTCTCCTCCTGTCCACGCGTCCGGTCAGGTAGCAGCGTCGGGTCAGGTGTTTGCTGCTGCGTCCAGGTCTGGTCCTGAGTCTGCCCCCTGTTCGTGTCGCCTCCTGTCTCACGAGACTCTTCCGTGGCACCACCGTCTAGGCCACCCCTCCTTGCCCCGTCTTCGGGGCATGGCTTCCCGTGTCCTTGTCTCTGGTCTTCCCCAGTCTCTCCCTCCCCTTCCTTCGGGACCAGGACCTTCCTGTGTCCCCTGTATCGAGGGGCGCCTCAGGGCTGCTCCTCACTCCTCCCAGTTTCCCCCGACAGAGGCTCCTCTGCAGACGCTTCACATGGACGTGTGGGGCCCGGCCCCCGTCCGTGGGCAGGGTCACGAGCGCTACTTCCTGTTGGTGGTTGACGACTACTCGCGTTACACCTCAGTCTTCCCCTTGCGCAGCAAGGGTGCTGTCACTGAGGTGCTGATCGACTGGATCCGCGAGGCTCGTCTCCAGCTCAGGAGGAGCTTCGGCTGGGACTTTCCTGTTCTGCGTCTGCACTCTGACCGAGGTGGGGAGTTCTCCTCTCGCATTCTGCGAGACTACTGTCGTGCACAGGGGATCCGCCAGACCTTTACGCTTCCGGACTCTCCACAGCAAAATGGGATTGCTGAGCGCCGCATTGGCATGGTCATGGATGTCGCTCGTACGTCCATGATGCATGCGGCTGCCCCCCATTTTCTGTGGCCGTTTGCGGTTCGGTACGCGGCGCATCAGCTCAACCTTCACCCCAGGGTCTCTCGGCCCGCGATGTCCCCAGTGTTACTGTGGACGGGGAAGGTCGGCGATGCGTCTGCGTTCCGTGTCTGGGGATCTCGGGCGTTTGTCCGCGACTTGTCTGCGGACAAGCTGTCCCCCCGTGCTGCTCCCTGTGTCTTCCTTGGCTTCCCCCCTGACGCTCCAGGGTGGCAGTTCTACCACCCCTCCTCTCGTCGTGTTCTGTCCTCCCAGGACGTCACGTTCGACGAGTCAGTCCCCTTCTACCGCCTCTTCCCCTACCGTACTCCTTCCCTCCCCCCCCCACCGGACTTCCTGGTGCCAGTTCCCCCCCCGGTAGACCCCCTCCCCCCTCAGGTTCCTGCCCCTTCAGGTGTGTCCCAGGTAGACACAGTCGAGCCAGTCGAGGTTGCTGCTGAGTCTGGTCCTGCTGCGGGTGCAGAGCCTGGGGGTGCTACGCCTGCGGGTGCTGAGCTTGGGGGTGCTGCTGCTGGGGGTGCTGAGCCTGGGGGTGCGAGGCCGGGGGGTGCTGAGCTTGGGGGTGCTGCTGCTGGGGGTGCTGAGCCGGGGGGTGCTACGTCAGGAGCTGCTGAGCCTTGGGGTGCTGAGCCTGGAGGTGCGGAGCCTGCGACTGCTGGGCGGGAGCCGCTCTCTCCACAGGAGCTGCGCGAGTGGTTTGCTCGCCGCTGGAGGCGTGCTGCTGGAGCTGGAGCTTCTTCGCCTGCTGAGGGTGCTGAGTCTGGAGCTGCTGAGCCTGGAGGTGCTGAGTCTGGAGCTGCTGAGCCTGGGGGTGCTACGTCTGGAGCTGCTGTGCCTGGGGGTGCTGAGTCTGGAGCTGCTGAGCCTGGGGTTTCTCCTGCTGCTGCGTCTCGCCGGGAGCCCCTCTCTCCACAGGAGCTGCGCGAGTGGTTTGCTCGCCGCTGGAGGAGTGCTGCTGGAGCTGGAGCTTCGTCGACCGTCGAGGGTGCTGGTGCTGCCGGTCCCGGAGCTGCTGGGCCTGCGGGTCCTACTGGAGCTGGAGCTGCTGAGGGTGTTGGTGCTGAGACTACTGCTGTCTGTCCTGGCGGTGGTTCTGCTGCTGGTGCTGCTGGAGGTCCTGCCGCTGGAGGTGTTGGTGGCGCTGGTGCTGTCGCTGAGGGTGCTGGTGCTGTCCCTGCTGAGTCTGGAGCTGCCGCGCGGCCTCGGCCGTACTTCGTTCCGCTCCTACAGCAGGTTCTTGGTCTTTCTCCTTCGGTAGAGTGTCCACAGCCTGTCCAGTCGCAGTCACTGTTGGAGCCTTCCTCTCCTCTGCCTGCTCCCTCTCCTTACACTGGTCCTACTGGAGGTCTTGCTGAGCGTCGTGAGCCTGCGTCTCGTCCCGCGTCGCCTGTTCGTGCTGCTCGCGCTAGTGGTCGCGGTTCGCGTCAGCGTCCTCCTCCTGTCCCTGGCACGCACCGGATGTCTCTGCGTCCGTCCACTGCTCCTCTGCGTGCCCCTTTGCCTTCTCCTCCTGAGTCCTCTCTTCCTGCGCTTGCCGACCCTGAGTCGGACTCTCTTCGCGCTGCCAGTCCTACTGTCACGCGTCTGCTTGCTACTGTCGTCACTGACCCCTCTTTTGAGTCCACTGCTGCGTCTGCTCTAGTCGCTGAGCTCGTTGACTTTGCTGTTCGCTGTCGTCTCGACTACGCTGCTAGTCTTGTTGCTGAGTCTGCGTCTGTCTGTCCTCTGTCCGTCGGGGGTGAGTGTGCTCTTGGCACGGACGTCCTAGAGGACAGGCAGGAGGAGTTACAGTGTCTAGCGGCTGCTTCACCTCATCTCGCGTCTGTACTGCTTGCCCCTGAGGGAGACCCGGATGCACTAGACATCCCGACTCCGCGTTCTTACGCGGAAGCCGTAGAGGGTCCCTACTCCTCTCAGTGGCAGGCAGCTATGGATGCAGAGATGGCTTCCTGGAAGTCCATAGGCACCTACGTTGACGCGGTTCCCCCTCCTGGGGCGAACATCGTCAGTGGCATGTGGATCTTCAGGGTGAAGCGGCCGCCGGGCTCTCCACCTGTCTTCAAGGCACGGTACGTTGCTCGTGGCTTCAGTCAGCGGCAGGGAGTTGACTACTTTCAGACCTTCTCTCCCACCCCGAAGATGACCACTCTTCGGGTGCTGCTGCACATAGCCGCTCAGCGCGACTACGAGCTTCACTCTCTCGACTTCAGCACTGCGTTCCTGCAGGGTAGCCTGCACGAGGAGATCTGGCTGCGCCGTCCACCTGGCTTCACTGGGACTTTCCCTCCTGGCACCCAGTGGAGCCTCCGACGGCCAGTCTACGGTCTCCGCCAGGCACCGCGTGAGTGGCACGACACACTGAGGACTACGCTTGCGGCTCTTGGGTTTGCTCCTTCTACTGCTGACCCGTCGCTGTTTCTGCGCACCGACACTTCACTGCCGCCGTTCTACATCCTCGTGTACGTCGACGACTTGGTCTTTGCCACAGCGGACACTGCTGGACTCGCCTACGTGAAGTCCGAACTGCTGAAGAGACACACGTGCACAGACCTGGGTGAACTGCGCAGCTACCTTGGCTTGCAGATCACTCGGGACAGAGCACGCCGCACCATTACCTTGACTCAGTCACACATGGTGCAGCAGGTCCTTCAGCGCTTTGGCTTCACGTACTCCTCGCCTCAGGCCACTCCTCTGCCTACTCGCCACTCACTCTCAGCTCTGCCTTCGGATGAGTCCGTAGAGTCGAGTGGTCCGTATGCAGAGCTTGTTGGCTGCCTCATGTACCTGATGACCTGCACACGACCTGACCTTGCATACCCTCTGAGCATTCTTGCACGCTATGTTGCTCCTGGGAGACACAGACCAGAGCACATGGCTGCAGCGAAGAGGGTATTGCGCTACCTGTGCAGTACGTCGGGCATGGGGCTAGTGCTTGGAGGGCGGAGTCCAGTGGTCCTTACCGGCCACGCGGACGCTTCTTGGGCTGACGACCAGGCTATGCAGCGGTCGTCACAGGGTTACACCTTCAGCCTTGGTTCCGGCTCTGTCTCGTGGCGGTCTACTCGCTCGTCTTCGGTTCTCGGCTCCAGTTGTGAGGCTGAGATCTACGCCGGGGCCATGGCTGCACAGGAGCTTCGCTGGCTCACCTACCTGCTGACTGACCTTGGAGAGCCACCTCGTTCTCCTCCAGTGCTGTACGTAGACAACAAGGCCATGCTGGCCTTGTGTCGAGAGCAGCGCTTGGAGCACAGAACGAAGCACATTGCTCTCCGCTACTTCCTTGCTCGTGAGCTGCAGCAGCGTGGTCAGTTGCGACTTGCGTACGTGGCCTCTGAGGCCAACACTGCTGATGTGTTCACCAAGGCACTCGCGCCTTGTGACCATCAGCGCTTTTGCACCCAGCTGGGTCTTGTGCCTGTCTTGCCTCACTTGCTCTCCTCTTGACTTCACTTGTACTGTGACATATATATATACCTGCTCTTGCTTGTCTAGTTTTATATATATGTTTGTACTCCTGCATGTGAACTGGCCTCTGGCCCTGCTCTTGTGCTCGGACTGTGTGGTGACTTTGTGATCCACCCTGAGCTTGCTTTGCTTTGCTTGACTGGTCTTGTGACCCCTTGTTCTCCCCCACTTTGCCTATGGGGGTGTGTCAAACATTATATATGTTATGCTTGTGTAGGCTACAGTGGGTTAGCCTATAGGGGGTACACAATTCTAGGGTTTCCTACTTGTACTCATTTCACTGCTAGTTCATTCACTTTTCCTGTTCGCTGATTCTCACACTCTCAGCCGACCGCTTTGCAGCCCACCAAACCTATCGCACCCCTTCACTAAAACTACCCCGGAAAGTGGAGGGTAACCTAGGAAAGTAGCTCTGATACCAGGTGTTATGAGTTGTATGAAAGAAGAGTGCGCAGAGTGCAATATCGCGGAAGTGATTACAACTACTGAGCAAACAACGAGGCCTAGGTATAATATAGCACATCTAGCTAGGCCGAAGGTCGCGGAGTCGCGCGAAGGTTGGGTGCAGGTTTGGGGTTGGGCAACCCGAGGGCGACGCGGGAAACGTTCGGAAGGCGAGGTCGTCGGACCGAGCCTGAATTCCGAAAGCTGGAATTGTACGCATAAGAGATTCCTCAGTAAGGAATTAACGAAATTCCTTACAAAATGCGTTAAGCAAGTTACCAAACGTGTTAAGCGAGTTACCAAACGCGTTAAGCGAGTTACCAAACGCGTTGAAATCGTTACCGTACGCGTTATAGTGCCCCATGTAACTTACCATTGACATATTTTCCCTATAATTAGGGCCCGAAACTAGAATGCACTTTTGTTCAACAAAAACACTACATCAGTCCTGTTATCTACCATAACTGTTATGCTTGTTGACATGAGCATCCTATCTCGCTACACTACGTGCTACAAGCCTATCTACCCCTACCTAAAATGTTGCAATATCTTTAAGCAGTCTTCCGTCCCTTGCTCTCAAAGATGGCATAGGCAGCTGGCCAGTCTACTGCATAATCTAGCATTTTCACTGTCGTCAGCTCTCCCAGCCTCACATCACTCAGAGCAACACGGTCCCAAGAATTGATGATATTTTGCCTCAAAAAGCCCCTCTCGCATTCCACAGTGCTGAGGGGCAGAACAGAGATTGCACGCCTGAGAGAGACAAGGGTGGGGTAGTCATCCTTCCAGTCAGAAGTGCGGAGCATGTTCGTGAGCGCTTGATTGAATGACTGATGCTTGAACTTCTTGTCCAGTGTGGCGGTGAAGAGGTGCATCTGCGGCTCTATGTCTTCAGCCGAGACACCTGCCAAGGAGTTACGAATGATGGTGAGTATGTCTTAACACGATAGTCATTGGTCTAGAGTATGTACCAGGGAGCTGGTTCTGGAACATGTCCAGGACTTTGCTCAGATGGAGTTTCAGCCACGCCTCTCGTTCACCTAGACGGGGGGGTTACTCATGGGGCTAGAAGAAAAGGACCCCATCGAAGTGCCGCATGTCAGCCATGCGCTTCCCAAGAGTATCGATCAAGCGCTGTGCGAAACGCTTGGCGAGATCATAGGATGCGTCTAAGTCATTCCCGCCAGCCCCTATGCTTTCCTCGTGAAGCAGGATTGTGGCGCTCGCAGGGCTGCCGTCGTCATCCGCTCCTTTGATGACGATTTCGCGCTTGTCCTTGTCGCCATGTTTGGCGACGAAGGCAGCGAGGCGCGTCTTTGCTCCAAGCGACGCAGATGGCTCGACATACCACTGCGCAAGCTTGGTCTTCACTTTGTCGACATGGTTTTTCACCTCAGTGATGTTAACCTGAGAAAGCACACAAGCACCGACATTTAGACTAGGAAGGCACGGTTCAGCAAAGACCTTTTCAATTAACTTACCTTGCTCTTCTGGAATGCAAGGTTGAGGCCGTTCAGCAGGTGCAAGACGTCCGCCCGCACGAACAGCATGAATTGGAACTTAAAGCTCGTTGCAATCTTCAGCGTCGTCGCCTTGTTCTCCTTGTGCCACATCCATAGCAGCACCGGTAGCACATCACAGAAACGCTGCACGCTGCACCGGAGATCGCAAGAGAAGAGGAAAGAGGTTTCATGATGTCTCCTTGTTACCGAGGAAAGAGTTTCTTCTTGTTTCCCTAGGTTTTCCTGCAAGGGGTTAAGCATCTCTGGTTATAGGTTTCCGGCAACACCCTTTGTGGTGAACATGGGAAACATGGAGCGATATGGAGAAACATGGGGCGACATGGGGTGACATGGGGAACCAAGGGGATATGGGAAAACAGGGAAACGGGAAGACATGTGGAAACAAGGGGATATGGGGAAGCGGGGAAGCATGGGGAAACAAGACGGCATTGTGAAGAAGGGATGCGTGGGGAATCACAGAGCATAGTGAAACAGTAAGACATGGAAAAACAGTGAGGCATGGGGAAATAAGGGGACACGAGGAAAAGAGTTTTACAACAGAGAGATATGTGGAAACAGAGGGGCATGGGGGAAATGGGTGGCATAGGCTTAAAACTAGAGCCATGGTGAAATAAGGAGTAATTGTAAAGCAGGAAAAAAGGGAAAAAAATAGGGAGCTATGATAGGAGACACCCTCAAATAGGGAGGCATGTGAAAAGGGGAAACTGTCAAAATCCCAACCACTAGACAATTGGGATAAAAGGGCTTGTTAAGTAGCGAGTCAGTGCGCCCATAACCCCCCAGGCCAACGTGCCTGTAACCCTTCCCTAGGATCAATCGGGGATCACCAGTGGACCTCTGACACCCCCCCGCACTGGGATGCCCGAAGTGCATACACCGGGATTCGAACCTGAGACCTTCACTCTGATACCATGTTAGAATCCCAACCACTAGACCATTGGGATAAAAGGGCTTGTTAAGTAGCGGGTCAGTGCGCCCATAACCCCCCAGGCCAACGTGCCTGTAACCCTTCCCTAGAATCAATCGGGGATCACCAGTGGACCTCTAACAGAAACATGGCGGATAAACACAGAGATGAAGACAAGAGAAGAATAGGGAAAGACAGAGATGTTGGGAAACAAGAAGACTTGGGGAGGCAAGAGAGACATGGAGACACGGTGAACAGGGAGACCTGGGGAAAGAGGACGACATGTTACAACAGGAAGGCGGGAAAAAGGGAGACATAGGGAATCAGGGAAGTATGGTGTAACAGGAAGAAACGAGGAAAGAAGGGGACACGGGGAAATAAGGGGACGTGGGGAAACAAGGGGACATGGGAAAACATGGGAGACATGGTAAAACAGTGGGGTAAGGTGAAACAGGGAATGGCCTAAGAAATTAGGGGAGGAACGATGAAACAGGGAGATATGCAGAAACTAGGGGATATGGGGAAACTAGGACGTATAGGCATGGGAAAACAGGGAGACGCGATGAAATAGGGAGGCATGGGGAAACCGTGAAGCATGGGGAAACAAGAAATGCCATGGGGCAAAAAGGAGACCCGAGGAAATGGGGATTCTCGTGGGAAAGGCGAGACCTGGTGGAATCAGGGAGACGGGGAAAGGGGGAGTCATGGGGAAAAGGGATGGCCTGGCATCAGGAAACAGGGATAGCTGTGGAATCAAGGAAGTACGGTGAAAGAGGGAGACAAGGAGAAAGAGTAAGGTATGGAGAAAGAAGGTGTGACAGGGAGACAAGGTAAAACAAGGGGACATGGGGTAACAAGGGTGTATAGTGAAAATGTTAGAAAGGGGAAATAACGGGGTTTGGGAAACAGGGAGACATGGTGAAATGACATAGGATGCATGGGAAACAGAGAGTGACATGGAGAACAGGGAGTGACATGGGTAGTAGTGAATGACATGGGAAAGCAGTGAATTGTGAGAATAATGAGGAATGGAATGACTAGGTGAAATGTGGGTACAAGTAGGAAACCTAGAAATGTTGTACCCTATAGTATCTACCCTATTACAGCCTAGATAGAGCATAGCATATAAACTTGACACACCCCCATAGGCAAAGTGGGGGAGAACAAGAGGTCACAAGACCAGTCAAGCAAAGCACAGCAAGCTCAGGGTGGATCACAACGTCACCACACATTCCGAGCACAAGTTCAAAGGCCACAAGGCCAGTTCACATGCAGGATTATATATATATAAAGCTAAACATGCAAATGCAGATATATAAAGGTCACAGTACAAGCAAGGTCAAGAGGTGAGCAAGTGAGGCAAAGTAGGCACAAGACCTAACAGAGTACAAAAGCGCTGATGATCACAAGGCGAAAGTGCCTTGGTGAAGATATCAGCAGTGTTGGCCTTAGAGGCCACGTAAGCAAGTCGTAGCTGACCACGCTGCTGCAGCTCACGAGCAAGGAAGTAGCGAAGAGCAATGTGCTTCGTTCTGTGCTCCAGTGTGTGCTCCCGACACAAGGCCATCATGGCCTTGTTGTCTACGTACAGAACTGGAGGAGAACGAGGCGACTCTCCAAGGTCAGTCAGTAGGTAGGTGACCCAGCGTAACTCGTGTGCAGCCATGGCCCCTGCGTAGATCTCAGCCTCACAGCTGGAGCTGAGAACAGAAGACGAGCAGGTAGACCGCCACGAAACAGAACCGGAACCAAGGCTGAAGGTGTAACCTTGTGACGACCGCTGCGTAGCCTGGTCATCAACCCACGAAGCGTCTGCGTGACCACTGAGGACCACTGGACTCCGCCCTCCAAGCACAAGCCCCATGCCTGACGTACTGCACAAGTAGCGCAACACCCTCTTCGCTGCAGCCATGTGCTCGGGTCTGTGTCTCCCAGGAGCAACATAGCGTGCCAGAATGCTAACAGGGTATGCAAGGTCAGGTCGAGTACAGCTCATCAGCTACATGAGGCAGCCCACAAGCTCTAGGTACGGGCCACTCGGCTCTACGGACTCATCTGAAGGCATAGCTGAGAGCAAGTGGTGAGTAGACAGAGGAGTGGCCCGAGGCGAGGAGTACGTGAAGCCGAAGAGCTGAAGGACCTACTGCACCATGTGTGATTGAGTCAGGGTAATGGTGCGCTGTGCTCTGTCCCTAGTGATCTGCAAGCCAAGGTAGCTGCGCAGTTCACCCAGGTCTGTGCACGTGTGTCTCTTCTGCAGCTCGGACTTCACGTGGGCGAGTCCAGCAGTGTCAGCTGTGGCAAAGACCAAGTCGTCGACGTACACGAGGATGTAGAACGGCGGCAAAGAGGTGTCGGTGCGCAGAAATTGCGACGGGTTGGCAGTAGAAGGAGCAAACCCAAGAGCCGCAAGTGTAGTCCTCAGTGTGTCGTGCCACTCAAGGGGCGCCTGGCGGAGACCGTAGACTGGCCGCCGGAGGCTCCACTGGGTACCAGGAGGAAACAACCCAGTGAAGCCAGGTGGGCGGCGCAGCCAGATCTCCTCGTGCAGACTGCCCTGCAGGAAAGCAGTGCTGAAGTCAAGAGAGTGAAGCTCGTAGTCGCGCTGAGCGGCTATGTGTAGCAGCACCCAAAGAGTGGTCATCTTCGGGGTGGGAGAGAAGGTCTGAAAGTAGTCAACTCCCTGCCGCTGTCTGAAGCCTCAAGCCACGTAACGTGCCTTGAAGACAGGCGGAGAGCCCGGCGGCCGCTTCACCCTGAAAATCCACATGCCACTGACGATGTTCGCCCCAGGTGGGGGAACCTCGTCGACGTAGGTGCCTGTGGACTTCCAGGAAGCCATCTCTGCGTCCATGGCTGCCTGCCACTGAGAGGAGTAGGGACCCTCTATCGCCTCTGCGTAAGAGCGTGGAATCGGGATGTCAAGTGCATCCGGGTCTCCCTCAGGGGCAATCAGCATGGACACGAGATGAGGTAAAGCAGCAACAAAGCACTGGAACTCCTCCTGCCTGTCCTCAAGGACGTCCGTGCCAAGAGCACACTCACCCCCGACGGACGGAGGACAGACAGACTCAGACTCAGCAACAAGACTAGCAGCGTAGTCCAGACGACAGCTAGCAGCAAAGTCGACAAGCAAAGTAACTAAGGCAGACGCTGTAGTGGACTCAAAGGAAGGGCCAGTGACAACAGTAGCAAGGAGACGCGTGACAGTAGGACTGGCAGCACGAAGGGAGTCCAACTCTAGGTCAGGTAGAGCAGGAAGTGAGGACTCTGGAGGAGACATCAAAGGGACACGCAACGTAGCAGTGGAAGGACGCAGAGACATCCAGTGCGTACCGGGGACAGGAGGAGGACGCTGACGAGAACCACGACTACCAGTGCGAGCAGCACGGACAGGCGACGCAGGACGAGACGCAGGCTCACGACGCTCAGCAAGACCTCCAGTAGGACCAGTGCAGGGAGAAGGAGCAGGCAGAGGGGAGGCAGGCTGTAACTGGGACTCGGACAGGATAGGCGGTGGACACTCTAAGGGAGGAGCAGGACCAGCAGGTGGCGGAAGACCAAGAACCTGCTCAAGAAGCGGAACGAAGTACGGCCGCGGCCGCGTAGCACCGCCAGAAACATCAGGAACAGCACCAGCACCCTCAACGGTAGCACCAGTTCCAGCAGCACCCCCAGCTCCAGCAACGCCAACACTAGCACCCTCAAAAGCACTAGCACCAGCAGCACCTCCAGCGCCAACACCCCCAGCAGCTCCAGCTCCAACCGGACCACCAGACGACGCAGTAGCTCCAGCTCCAGCACCTCCAACAGCACCTACTCCAGCAGCACCACCAGCTCCAGCACCGCCAGCAGCTCCAGCACAAGGAGCACCCCCAGGCCCAGCAGCTCTAGGACCTCCAGTACGAGCACCTCCGGGACCCGTGGCACCAGCACCCTCAGCAGCAGTAGAACCTCCAACACCAGCAGCACCTACAGCTCCAGCAGCACGGCTCCAGCGTCGAGCAAACCACTCGCGCAGCTCCTGTGGAGAGAGTAGCTCACGCCGGGACAAAGCACCCGAAGGACCTCCAGACCCTGTACCGCCAGACTCCACACGGGCAGGCCCAGCACCCTCAGGCTCCGCACCCCCAGTCTCAGCACCCCCAGGCTCAGCACCCCCAGAGTCAGCACCCCCAGGCTCAGCACCCCCAGGCTCAGTACCCCCAGAGTCAGCACCCCCAGGCTCAGCACCCCCAGACCCTGCACCCGCAGGCTGAGCACCCCTAGCAGCACCAGAGTCAATAGCTACCTCGACAGGCTCGACTGCGTCTACCTGGGACACACCTGAGGGGGCAGGACCCTGAGGGGGAAGGGGGTCTACCGGGGGGGGACCTGGGGCGAGGAAGAGCGGCGGCGGGGGGAGGGGTGCAGTGCGGTAGGGGAAGAGACAGTAGTAGGGAACCGACTCATCAAACGTGACGTCCTGGGAGGACAGAACACGGCGCGAGGTGGGGTGGTAAAACTGCCAACCCGGCGCGTCAGGGGGGAAGTCAAGGAAGACGCAAGGAACAGCACGGGGGGACAGCTTGTCTGCAGACAAGTCGCGAACAAACGTCCGAGATCCCCAGACACGGAACGCAGATGCATCGCCAACCTTCCCCGTCCACCGAAGAGCAGGGGAGGTCTCCGGCATGGAGACCCGGGGCTGAAGGTTGAGTTGATGCGGCTCGTACTGAACCGCCAACGGCCACAGAAAATGGGGAGCAGCTGCATGGATCATGGACGTACTAGCGACGTCCATGACCATGCCAATGCGGCGCTCAACAATCCCATTTTGCTGTGGAGAGGCAGGAAGCGTGAATGTCTGGCGGATGCCTCGTGCACGACAGAAGGCCCGCAGAAGGCCAGAGGAAAACTCTCCGCCTTTGTCGTAGTGCAGACACAGAATAGGAAAGTCCGAGCCGAAACTCTCTCTGAGCTGAAGATGAGTTGCGCGGATCCAGTCGATCAACACCCCAGTGACCTCACCCTTGCTGCGCAAGGGGAAGACTGTGGTGTAACGCGAGTAGTCGTCAACCACCGGCATGAAGTAACGCTCGTGACCCTGTCCACGGACGCGGGCTGGGCCCCATACGTCCATGTGAAGCGTCTGCAGGGGAGCCTCTGTCGGAGGAAACTCGAAGGAGTGAGGAGCAGCGCGCTGCCGTCCCTCGACGCAGGGAACGCAGGTAGGGGCAGGCCCCGGAGGAAGAGGAGGGAGGGACCGGGGGAGACCAGAGACAAGGACACGGGAGGCCATGCCTCGGAGACGAGGCAGGGAGGGGTGACCAAGGCGGTGGTGCCAGAGGAGAGTCTGGTGAGACAGGAGACGACACGAGCAGGGGGCAAACTCAGGACCAGACCTGGACGCTGCAGCAAACACCTGACCCAACGCGGCTACGTGACCAGCCTCAGCGACCGGAGTAGACTTAGTAGTCAGTGTGTACAGGCTCGACCCCGGCTGACGGGTAAACGTGGCCAAGTGTCGGCCCATCCGAGCACACGTACAGTGGGTCATTCGCTGAGTCGCAGGAGTGAACGGGTGAACCCCTCCATCATGTAGATCAGCACCACTCACCAAGTTCGTATAGAACGAGGGGAGGTAAAGACGTGACAGGGTGCCAGAAGAGGCCGCTGGACACGGTAAGACAGTGGAGAAATGGGCAAGGACAGGACCCCCAGAGGGGTCTGCCAAAGAGATCGCCACTGGCCGACGAAGCGGCGTGAGTGTGGTGCGGTCTTGAAAGAAGAAGCGGGAAGCACCCGAGTCAAGGGTGAAGGTGTGACAGGCCTGAGCCGACGTGGTACCTGAGAGAGCAGACTCACCAGCACCTAGGGCAGCTGACGCACTAGCACCTGGAGGAGCAGCCTCACCAGCACCTAGAGCAGCAGCCTCAATGCCCGGGTTAGGCGAGACACACAGGTAACAGTCATCTCATCAATAGTAGACACGTCATACATGGTAGCAAGAATAGCATCATAATCAAGATCAAAGATAGCAACCCCCGACCTAAAGAGCTCGCCCCAGCGAGGGATCTCAGTGGCGCCAGGGAACTGGAGACGCCAAGCGTCCGTCAGGCGGCCGAAGCAGCGCTGGGCGCTGTGCGGGCCACCGCACGTCTCACAAGTGCGGTCGCCGGTACGCAGGACGTAGGCACAGGGACCAGCACCCCCACCCCGCTGACGCGCAGCGTACCACTCACGAAGCTGCTGGGGGGGCGGGGTCTCACAAGTGCGCGGCTGCTGTTGACGCTGACCACCACCGAAGCCGCCCCGCTACGCAGAGCCACCCCGACCTCCTCCACCGCTGCTGCCGCCACCTCCACCATCGCCGCCATCGCCGCCTCCTCCGCACCCACTGCCACCGCCGCCGCCGCCTCCGCCTTCACCGCCGCCACCGACGCCCCCAGCCCCACCACCACTTCCACCGCCACCCCCACCCCCTCCGCCACCTCCACCGCCACCTCCACCACCCCCGTCAGCTCCTCCAACGCCCTTGCTCCCCTTGCCCTTGCCGGTGCGGCGTCTCTCGCTAGGGGCAGACGTAGCGCCGACCGACTCTAGGCCAACAAGGTCTGCCGCAGCAGCAGAGGCAACGGAGGGCAAGGGGGGGGAGGGGGAACACCCCTCAAAGACGGGGGTGCGAGGGTCACCACGAGAGGCTCCTACAGCGACTATGCTCTTCTCTTCTGCTAGGAGGCCCTTCTCGAGGAGGTCAACGGTGAGAGTGGTGGGGCAAACTGAGAGGAAGTGGTCCCTGACTACGCGAAGAGAGTCAGGGAGCCGGGTGACTATGTAGTAGAGGGTGATGTACATGGGGGTGGGAGGGGGTTCTTGGCACAGAACTGAGCAGGAAGCGCAGTGCGGTAGCGGGTGTCACTAGTGCGAAGGTGCGTAATGAGGTCAGCGACTGTGGGAAAGGCGGCGAGGTCAGGGAGCAGGTACGGCAGCATGAGGCGGCTAAGGGCAGCAGTGGCAGGGAAAGAGTAGCATGCAACTACTGCGTCGTACAAGGTCTTAGCACTCCTGTACTGACTAAAATGTGCACGCTCAGTGGTCGGTAAGTGACGACGCACAGCTAGACGGGCAGCAGCATCGCGTGTGGCCCACTGCGAGCGAACAGTGCAGTCAGCATCAGCAGCAGGGGCAGGAGAGGCACCAGACGTGAGGTCAAACAGGGAGAGACCGTCTGTCCTATCGCACTATAGGAAAAGCTGGAGATCATCGACCCAGACCTCAAAGTCGACAGCCCGACCCTCAGCATCAAAGGTAAGAACACTAGGGGTAGCCATGACAGCAGTGGCAGCAGCAGACTAGCAGTAAGAACAACAAGCTAGGGGCTGCCCAGTGGCAGAGGCGCTGCTCAGGAGTGCTCTTACCAGGGCGGGTGAGTAGAGACCCGAAGGTGGTGGGGGCAGAGCCGAGGCCCCGGCAGGGACAGGGCCGCGACAAGGCGGCAGCGGCGTCTCTGTCAGCGGCGGTGGGGGCGGCTGCGGCCCCGGCTGCGGCGGCGGCGGCGGCTGCTGTCGACGGCGGCGGCGGCTGTCACGACGGCGGCGGCGGCGGCTGCTGCTGTAGGCGGCAATTGCGGCTGCAGCCCCGGCAGCGGCGGCGGCGGCTGTCACGGTAGCGGCGGCAGCTGCTGCTCTTGTCGGCGGCGGCGGCGGCTGCGGCAGGGCCGTGAAGGGGCCAAGAAGGGCGGCGACGGGGCCGAAAAGGGGCTGCAAGGGGCTGAGAGGGGCGGCGACGGGGCCGCGAAGGGGCCGCGAGGGGCCAAGAGGGGCGGCGACGGAGCCGAGAAGGGAGGCGACGGGGTCGCAAAGGGCGGCGACGGGCCCGCGAAGGGCGGCGACGGGGCCGCGAAGGGCGGTGAAGGGCGGCGACGGGGCCGCGATTGGCGGCGACGGTGTCGCGAAGGGCGGGGACGGGGCCGCTAAGGGCGGCGACGGGGCCGCTAAGGGCGGCGACGGGGCCGCGAAGGGGCCGTAAGAGGGGCTGCTAAGAGGGCGCGACAGGCCGCTAAGGGCAGGGGACGCGACGGGAGGGAGGCACACGGGGCGCGCCTCAGGCAGGGTGCTCCGGGCAGGAAAAACAAATCCGATTTTGGTGGGCTCTGGGAAAAGTTCCCACTAGGGAACCTGCTCTATACCATGTGAGAATAATGAGGAATGGAATGACTAAGTGAAATGTGGGTACAAGTAGGAAACCTAGAAATGTTGTACCCTATAGTATCTACCCCACTACAGCCTAGATAGAGCATAGCATATAAAATTGACATGAATGACATGGGAAGCAGTGAATGACATGGGAAGCAGTGAATGACATGGGGAAGCAGTGAATGACATGGGAAGCACTGATTGACATGGGGAAGCAGTGAATGACATGGGAAGCAGTGAATGACATGGGAAGCAGTGAATGACATGGGAAGCAGTGAATAACATGGGAAGCAGTGAATGACATGGGAAGCAGTGAATGACATGGGAAGCAGTGAATGACATGGGAAGCAGTGAATGACATGGGAAGCAGTGAATGACATGGGAAGCAGTGAATGGCATCGGGAAGCAGTGAATGACATGGGGAAGAAGTGAATGACATGGGGAAGCAGTGAATGACATGGAAAGCAGTGAATGACATGGGAATTAGTGAATGACATGGGAAGCAGTGAATGACATGGGGAAGCAGTGAATGACACAGGACGCAGTGAATGACATGGGAAACAGTGAATGACATGGGGAAGCAGTGAATGACATGGGAAGCAGTGAATGACATGGGGAAGCAGTGAATGACATGGGGAAGCAGTGAATGACATGGAAAGCAGTGAATGACATGGGAAGCAGTGAATGGCATGGTAAGCAGTGAATGACATGGGGAAGCAGTGAATGACATGGGACGTAGTGAATGACATGGGAAACAGTGAATGCCATGGGGAAGCAGTGAATGACATGGGAAGTAGTGAATGACATGGGGAAGCAGTGAATGACATGGGAAGCAGTGAATGACATGGGGAAGCAGTGAATGACATGGGAAGCAGTGAAGGACATGGGGAAGCAGTGAATGACATGGGAAGCAGTGAATGACAAGGGAAGCAGTAAATGACATGGGAAGCAGTGAATGACATGGGGAAGCAGGGGGGCACGAGGAATAGGGAGTTGGGGGTAAAGGGGAGACCTGGGGAACATGGGGAAAAACGAAGACAGAGAAACAGGGAGACAGGGGGAAATCGGGAGGCGTGGTGAATCGGGGAGACATGGGGAATCAGGAGACAGAGAGGCACGGGGAAGCAAGCAGGTATGCAAGGAGTGACTGGGAGACACGTTGAAAGAGAGAGGAATGGGGAAACAATAGTGAGGCATGGGGAAACAGCGAGGCATGGGGAAACAGTGAGGAATGGGGAAACAGCGAGGCATGGGGAAACAGTGGGGCATGGGGAAACAGCGAGGCATGGGGAAACAGTGAGGCATGGGGAAATAGGATGGAATGGGACACAGGGAAATGGCGTGGGAAAAAATGAAAACATTGGCAAAGAGGGAAACATGGAGAAACAAGGAGGCATGGAGACATGAGGAAACAGGGAGAGATGGGTTAATAGAGTGACATGGGGAAACAGGTAGATGGCAGTGCATTGAAGCGTTGTATTAAATGACGATATCCAATCGGCAATTGCAAGTGGGCATGCACTACAAGGCTTCACATTGCATTACAGATTTATTGAAGGCAGGATCTACAGCGCTCAATCCTGGAGCCATCCGTCAGGAGCGCTCAAGCATGGAGCCATCCGTCAGGAGCGCTCAAGCCTGGAGCCATCCGTAGGAGCGCTCAAGCCTGGAGCCATCCGTCAGGAGTGCTCAAGCCTGGAGCCATCCGTCAGGAGCGCTCAAGCCTGGAGCCATCCGTCAGGAGCGCTCAAGCCTGGAGCCATCCGCTAGGAGCGCTCAAGCCTGGAGGTGTCGTTGAAGGCACAGCAGCACAACAGCTTTCCCTCACCCCCTCCAGCCATCAACCACCCACCACACCCCCACAAACACCCTGCTGTGAAGCAGGGCGCAAAAAAGGGTAATGCCACCGTGTTCCCCATCCACACCAGACCCATCCCCTAGTCGGTGCTCTCGGCGTGTAGCTGTGCTTTGCCTCTCACATGCCTTTCATGTCATCCCTCCATCTCATACCCCAAGCTTTCCTCTTTTCAACCTCCATTTTCATCATTATTTATTTTCAAGGACTTCAGTTATAGGGGATTTTTCCTCTTTTTTTTTTCATGTGTGCAGCAGTCATGGGCGCCATGGTCGGCGTGGGATTGCAGCGGGCACGACCTTGGACGTCCTGCGAGGCTGCTTGCCCGCAGCTTCAACTTCCACTCCCCTCACCTCCCTGTGCGGTGCGGCACATTTAGGCTTGGGAATCAGTGTTGTTCCCTCCACTTGCCTCCTAATCGCTGCTCCCTTGCTCGGTTTCGGGATGCGCGACACTACGACCGTACTTTCTAACTAGGCGCGAGCCGCCGAAGATAGAACCGTTGGAGGTGAAATGAGCGGATCTGATGCCGCGGCATGCGCTGTTGCAACGATAGGGACTGCTGCATCCAACAATCTCGCATTCGAGGCTTCAGCATCCTCCGCTGAAAGATCTGTCAGTTTCGCTTCCGCAGCTGCATGATCAAATGGTTCACCATCCGCAGCTACAGCATCAAAAGCTTCGACATGCGACGCTTCAGCACGCGACGCTTCAGCATGCGACGCTTCAGCATGCGAAGCTTCAGCATGCGACGCTTCAGCATGCTTCGCTTTAGCGTCTGACACTCCTGTAGCATCCGACGTCACCGGCAGCAGCTCGAGCAGCATTGGCGTTGTAGCGGTGAGATTCGTGCTGTTGTTGGTAAACAGCGGCTCAAGGCACGATCTTGCCTGGTTCTCGCTGTTCTTCCAAAAGCTAAGTGCGATAACGAACGGCGGATAGTCTGAGGCCATGTCGAACTGAATGAACGAGGAAGTAAACCGAACTACGAAGACCAGCCGTGTAGTAGCTTGTGTTGGAAGGAGGTGTGAATGAGATAAGCTGGGGTGGCGGATTTCTAAGGCAGACTAGCGGCTGGTGTTGGCAGATCTGCCGCTGGTCAGAGCAGCAGCAGGAGCAAGAAGCGAAGAGAGACAGACTCGAGGCTTGGGGAGGGAAAAGCGGAACACCGCAGCCACGGAAAGGCGGGTCTTCCGCCGCGGGGAGCTTTCAAGGCTCCGGATAATTCGGATGACTAGAGCAATTTCGGCCAATTTAGAGCGGTTGGGTAGGGTTTCGAGCTGCATTTGAATTACTTTCAGACACCCTCTGATTTCGCGGTCACTCTAGAGCGGTTGGTGTTAGAAAGAAGAAGTGATTGAAATAGAAAGGAATGGGAGTACAAGTACCTAACCCTAGAATGATGTACCCCCTAAAGGCTAACCCACTGTAGCCTACACAATTACAACACATATATTGTTTGACACACCCCCATAGGCAAAGTGGGGGAGAGCAAGGGGTCACAAGACCAGTCAAGAAAGGCAAGCAAGCTCAGGGTGGATCACAACGTCACCACACATTCCGAGCACAAGCGAAGGGCCACATGGCCAGTTCACATGCAGAAGTATATATATGTAGTACAAACAGCAAAGGTGATCTCAGCCTAGAAGAGCAAACAGGCAGGAGTATATATAGAGATCACAGTACAGGCAAAGCCTACAACAAGTGAGGCAAAGTGGGCACCAGCCCCAACAAAGTACAGAAGCGCTGATGATCACCAGGCTGAAGTGCCTTGGTGAATATATCAGCGGTGTTGGACTGAGAGGCCACGTAATGCAGACAAAGCTGACCACGCTGTTGCAGCTCACGTGCAAGGAAGTAACGGAGAGCGATGTGCTTCGTTCTGTGCTCCAGTCTGTGCTCCTCACACAAGGCAATGGCAGCCTTGTTGTCGACGTACAGCACTGGAGGAGAACTAGGCCGCTCTCCAAGGTCGGTCAGCAGGTAGGTGAGCTAGCGAAACTCCTGTGCAGCCATGGCTGTGGCGTAGATCTCAGCCTCACAATTGGAGCTGAGAACTGAAGACGAACGCGTAGAGTGCCACGAAACTGAACCAGAGCCAAGGCTGAAGGTGTAACCCTGTGACGACCGCTGAGTAGCCTGATCGTCAACCCAAGAAGCGTCTGAGTGCCCAGTGAGAACAACTGAGCTCCCTCCTCCAAGCACGAGCCCCATGCTTGATGTACTGCACAAGTAGCGCAATTCCCTCTTTGCAGCATCCCAGTGCACCTTTCGGTGCCGACCAGGAGCCACGTAGCGAGCCAGAAGGCCAAGAGGGTATGCTAAGTCAGGACGAGTGCAAGTCATCAGGTACATGAGGCAACCAACTAGCTCTGGGTAAGGACCACTCGACTCTACGGACTCATCCGAAGGAAGAGCTGAGAGTGAGTGACCTATAGCCAGAGGAGTGACCTGTGCTGAGGACTAGGTGAAGCCGAAGCGCTGAAGGACCTGCTGCACCATGTGTGACTGAGTCAGGGTAATGGTGCGGCGTGCTCTGGCGCGGGTGATCTGCAAGCCAAGGTAGCTGCGCAGTTCACCCAGGTCTGTGCACGTGTGTCTCTTCTGCAGTTCCGACTTCACGTGGGCAAGAGACTCAGTGTCGGCCTTGGCAAAGACCAAGTCGTTGACGTACACGAGGATGTAGAACGGCGGCAATGAAGAGTCGGTGCGTAGAAACAGCGACGAGTCAGCAGTAGAAGGAGAGAACCCAAGTGCCGCAAGAGTAGTCCTCAGTGTGTCGTGCCACTCACGTGGCGCCTGGCGGAGACCGTAGACCGTAGACCCAGTGAAGCCAGGAGGGTGGCGCAGCCAGATCTCCTCGTGCAGACTGCCCTGCAAGAAAGCTGTGCTGAAGTCAAGAGAGTGTAGCTCGTAGTCGCGCTGAGCAGCAATGTGGAGTAGTACCCGAAGAGTGGTCATCTTCGGGGTGAGGGAGAAGTAGGTGCCTGTGGACGTAGGTGCCTGTGGACTTCCAGGAAGCCATCTCTGCGTCCATGGCTGACTGCCACTGTGAGGAGTAGGGACCCTCGATCGCCTCAGCGTACGATCGAGGAGTCGGGATGTCTGGTGCATCCAGGTCTCCCTCAGGGGCAACTAGCATGGACACGAGATGGGGCGCAGCGGCTGCAAGACACTCAAGATCCTCCTGTCCGTCCTCAAGGACGTCCGTGCTAAGAGCACACTCACCCCCGACAGACGGAGGACAGACAGACTCAGACTCAGCGACAAGACTGGCAGCGTAGTCTAGGCGACAGCGAGCAGCAAAGTCGACAAGCTCAGCAACTAGGGCAGACGCAGCAGCAAACTCAAACCAAGGGTCAGTGACAGCAGTGGCCAGGAGACGCGTGACAGTAGGACTGGCAGCACGAAGAGAGTCAGACTCCGGGTCAGCAAGAGCAGGGAGAGAGGACTCAGGAGGAGACGGCAGAGGGACACGCTGTGGAGCAGTGGAGGGACGCAGTGACATCCGGTGTGTGCCAGGGACAGGTGGCGGACGCTCACGCGGAGTACGGCGACTGGTGGAAGTAGTACGAACAGGTGACTCAGAACGGGACACAGGCGACACAGGATGAGACGCAGGCTTACGACGCTCTGTGAGACCGCCTGTAGGACCAGTGTAGGGAGAAGGACGAGGAAGTGGCTAGGCAGGCGGTAGCTGTGACTGCGACTGGACCGGCGGTGGACACTCTACAGAGGGAGGGGGACTAGGCGGAGGCGACTGACCAAGAACCTTCTGAAGGAGTGGAACGAAGTACGGCCGCGGCCGTGAGGTGCCCCCTGCAGCAGCAGAGACAGCACGAGACCTCCAGCAGCTCCAGCAGCACCTCCAGCACCTCCAGTACCTCCAGCACAAGCACCTCCAGGACCAGCTGCTCCAGCAGCTCCAACGCCCGGGTCCGCAGCACCAGCAGCAGCTCCAACGCCAGGGTCCACAGCACCAGCAGCAGCTCCAACTCCCGGGTCCGCCGCACCAGTAGCAACCCCAGCTCCAGGGTCCGAGCCACCAGTAGCAACCCCAACTCCAGGGTCCGCAGCACCAGCAGCAGCTCCAACGCCCGGGTCCGTAGCACCAGCACCAGCTCTAACTCCAGGGTCCGCAGCACCAGTAGCAGGGTCCGCAACACTAGGAGCGCCACTCCTGAGACTGCAGCGCCGTGCGTACCACTCACGGAGTCGTTGGGGAGAGGGCAGCTCCCGCCTAGGAGAGGAAGCACGAGCACCATCTCCAGCAGCACTCCTAGCTCCCGAAGCACCTCTCCTGAGGCTGTTGTACTGTAAGTACCACTCACGCAGCTGCTGTGAGGAGAGAGCTCCTCCAGGTGTAGCACTCCCAGGCTCAGTACCCCCAGACTCAGCACCCCCAGACTCAGCACCCGCAGGCTCCGTTCTCCCAAGCTCAGCACCCCCAGGCTCAGTACCTCCAGAATCGGCACCCCCAGGCTCAGCACCCCCAGACTCCGCAACCCCAGGCTCCACTCACTCACGCTCAGCACCCCTAGCAGGACGAGAGTCGACAGCTACCTCGACAGGCTCAACCGGGTCTACCTGGGACACACCTGAGGGAGCGGCACCCTGAGGGGGAAGTGGGTCTACCACAGCAGCACCTGGCGCGAGGAAGAGAGGCGGGGGAGGGAGCGGGGCAGTGCGGTAGGGGAAGAGGCGGTAGAAGGGTACCGACTCGTCAAAGGTGACGTCCTAAGAGGCGAGGACACGGCGCAAGGTGGGGTGGTAAAACTGCCAACCAGACGCGTCCGGAACAAAGCCTTGGAAGACACACGGAACAGCGCGGGAGGAGAGCTTGTCCGCGGACGTATCTCGAACAAAAGCTCGGGATCCCCAGACCCGAAAAGGCGACGCATCGCCAACCTCTCCCGTCCAACGCAGTGTCGGGGAGGTCTCCGGCAAGGAGACACGGGGCCAGAGGTTGAGCTGATGCGCAGCGTATCGGATCGCAAACGGCCACAGAAAGTGGGGGGCAACCACGTGGATCAAGGAGGTACGAGCGACCTCCATGATGAGGCCAATGCGGCGCTCAGCAACCCCATTCTGCTGTGGAGAGGCCGGAAGCGTGAACGACTGGCGGATGCCGTGCTCCGCACAGTAGGCTGCCAAGAGGTCGGAGGAGAACTCACCACCTCTGTCAGAGTGCAAGCGCAGGACAGGAAAGTCCGAGTGGAAACGCTCGCTGAGCTGGAGATGAGAAGCGCGGATCCAAGGGATCAAAACATCAGGGACCTCACCCTTGGTGCGCAAGGGGAAGACCGTGGTGTAGCGGGAGTAGTCGTCAACAACTATCAGGAAGTACCTCTCCTGACCCTGACCACGGACGCGGGCGGGGCCCCACACGTCCATGTGGAGCGTCTGCAAGGGAGCAGTCGTTGGGGGAAACGAGGAGGAGTGAGGAGCAGCGCGCTGCCGCCCCTCGACACAGGGAAGGCAGGGAGGAGCAGGCGAGGGTGGGAGGGGAGGGAGAACGCTGGGAAGACCAGAGACAAGGTACCGGGAGTGCATGGCACGAAGGCGCTGCACGGACAGGTGACCAAGTCGGTGGTGCCAGAGGACGGTCTCGTGCGCCAGAGAGCGGCACGAGCAAGGGGCCGACAGCTGACTTGACGCAGACGTAGATGCAGCTACCTGAGGGGACTCAGAAGTCAGTGTGTACAGGTCCGACCCCGGCTGCCGTGTGAAGGTCGCCAGGTGACGGCCCGTCCGAGCACACGTGCTGTGTGTCACGCGCTCGTAGGCAGGGGTGAACTGGTGGACACCCCTGTCCTGGAGCGTACTACCCGCCACCAAGTTCGTAGAGAACGAGGGGAGGTAGAGACCGGGCAGTGTGCCCGACGGGACGGCCGGACAGAGGAGGACAGTGGAGGAGGTCGCAAGGACTGGACCCCCAGAGGGGTCAGCGAGAGAGACTGCAACGGGCCGAGCAAGCTGCTCAAGAGCCGTGCGGTCACGAAAGAAACAGCAGGAGGCACCTGAGTCTAGTGTAAAGGTGTGCAGTGCCTCAGTCGACTCAGTACCAGGGGGCGCAGACGCACTAGCACCTAGAGCAGCAGCCTCACCAGCACCTGGGGTAGCAGACACTCTAGCACCTAGAGCGGCAGCCTCACCGGTTCTAATGCCCGGGTCGGGCGGAACACGCAGGTACTGAGCACCCTTCCACTAATAGACATCACATACATGGCAGCGAGAATAGCATCAAATTCTAGAGCAAAGATATCAATGTTTTGCTTCATCAGATCAGCCCAGCGGGGCAGCTCAGTGGCATCAGGGAACTGAGTACGCCAAGCGTCGTCGAGGCATGAGAAGCAGCGCTGCGTAGGGTGCGCCCTCCCACACGTCTGACCAGTGCGGTCACCAGTGCGGATGACGTACGTGCAGCTAAGGCCACCCCCCCCCCCCCCCCCCGTGCTGAGCGTACCACTGACGGAGCTCCTGGGGCGACGGAGTGTGCTGCAGGCTCTGGCCGCCGCCAGTGCCTCCACGACCACCACCGCCGCCGCCACCTCCTCGACCACCTCCTCCCCTGCCGCCGCCGCGTCCACCGCCGCCCCCACCACCGCCCCCGCCCCTGCCACCTCCCCCGCCGCTGCCGCTACCACCCCCACCGCTGCCACTAGTCCCCCGAGTCCACCACCACCCCCACCGCCGCCACCACCCCCACCACCGCCTCCCCCGCCGTCACCTCCGCCTCCCTTGCCCCCTTTGCCCTTGCCGCTGCGGCGCCCGCTCGAAGCAGACGCAGCCCCGACCTTCTCAGAACCAAGGTGGTCGACAGCAGAAGCAGAGGCTACAGAGGGAAGAAGGGGGGAAGGGGAACACCCCTCAAAGAAAGGGGTGCGGGGGTCGCCACGAGAGGCACCTACATCGACTATGCTAGCCTTTGCCAGTTCCTTCTCGAGGAGGGCAATGGTGAGCTCAATGGGGCAGCGAGCTAGGAAGTGATCCCTGACAGCACGTAGAGTGTCAGGGAGGGGGGTGACTAGGTGGTAGAGAGTGAGCCAGAGCGGGGGGGGGGTTCTTGGCCAGAAACTCATCGGGCATGGCGGCACGGAAGCGGGCCTCACTAGTACGGAGGTGCGTGATGAGGTCAGCGACTGTGTGGAACGAGGCCAGGTTGGGAAACAGGTAGGGGAGTGAGAGACGGCCTAGCGCGGCAGAGGCAGGTGAGGAGTAGCGGGCAACGACAGCGGTGTACAGAGCCTGTGCAGTCTTGTGCTGGCCAAAGTGCTCGCGCTCATCTATCGGCAGGGAGTTGCGAATAGCGAAGCGAGCGTGGGCGTCACGAGTCTGCCACTGTGAGCGGGTAGTGCTGTCAGCAGTAGCAGCAGGAGCAGTAGCATGGCCTAGGGCGTGATCGTAAAGTGAGATGTCCTCCTTGGCAGTGAGCTGTAGGAAGAGGTGTAGGTCATCTAGCTAGGTTTCGAACTTCACTGGGCGGCCCTCAGCATCGAAAGCTAGTACAGGAGGGCTAGCCATAGCAGTAGTAGGAGTAGCAGTAGAGTAGCAGTAGTAGCAGTAGGTGCACCCCAAAAACAGTAGGCAGTGCGACTCAGGTAGGGCGGCTCGGTCCAGTACGGGCGGCGCGGCTCGGTTCAGGTAGGGCGGCGCGGCTCGAGTAGGGCGGCGCGGCTAGGTTCGGGCTGGGCGGCTCGGTTCGGGCTGTTCAGTTCGGGCGGCTCGTTCTGGCGGGGCCGTGGGTGTCGCGTGCGGGGTGCTAAGGGGCGGCGCGTGGGGTCGAGGGGGCCGACAGGGCCGTTAAGTGGTGGGCGCGGGCGGGGCATACGGGGCCGACGGGGCCTCTAAGCGGGTCGCGCGCGGGGTCGACGGGGCCAGCGGGGCCTCTAAAGGGCGGCTCGCGGGGTCGACGGGGCCAGCGGGGCCTCTAAGGGGCAGTGCGCAGGGCCGACGGGGCCTCTAAGGGGCGGCGCGCGGGTCGCTAAGGGGCGGGTCGGGGGTCGTGGGGCCTTAGGGGGTCGTTAAAGAGAGGGCGCACGAGGGCGCTGGGAGGAGGCGCTCGAGGGCGCTTCGTCAGTAGGGCGCACGAGGGCGCTAGTAAGCAGAGCGGAATGGTGGGCCCTAAGGAGCGATCCTAGGTCTAAACCTACGCTCTGATACCATGTTAGAAAGAAGTGATTGAACTAGAAAGGAATGGGAGTACAAGTACCTAACCCTAGAATGATGTACCCCCTAAAGGCTAACCCACTGTAGCCTACACAAATATAACACATATATTGTTTGACAGTTGGGTAGGGTTTCGAGGAGATGTGCGACTTGTTCCCAAGCCAACATCGCGAGGCTGCCCGCATCCGATGTTATCGCTGGTTGTTGGTGCGCTCCTGTAACCCTGTTTGCGCTGCTGTTTCGGTTCGAAGAGGCGGTGGTTTGGTTGGGTAGACCCCAAGTTTGAGCACAGAGGCTCGGAGCGAATCCCCCCAGTTGAGGATGCCGCCGAACTTTGAGGTTCTCAACCGTGAGCGAACCAAGCTGAAGCCAGCCAGTTATACCTTCCCGCCAAGCTACAGGTGTTCCTGCTTAGAGGCCCTCGTTGAGAGAGTCCCTTTTCCCCCTTGAGTAGAATTTTCCGATATCGCCTAGGGTTGGCCCGACCCCTATAGTCCCGTTTTTGGCGGGAAATTTTGCAGCTTGTCCGAATCATTACACGAATCAGCTCCGCAGCCAATCAGAGGCTCCGGATCAAACCAGCCCAACATTCAAAGAAAACGATGAAAAAGGGATCATCGATTCGATCTTTTAACCTTTTAATTGTAATAAATTGTTTCTCTTGACCGCGACTATTTCTCAATCCTGTCACGCTGTCTCCAGCGCGATCGACGATGACATCTCATTTATCTCGCTTACACGGTAGAAACGAAGTTTTTGGGTTACTATTCGACCCCCAAACCATAGTTGATTTTGCTTAGTTTTGAGCGTTACTCATGCGACATTGATCAGCGTGGAAAACCGTGCGACTGGAAGTTGAAGCATGCACGGTCCAAATTTACGTAAATGCCAAACTCCAGAAACTAGTAGCGAAACAACCACTCTTCATGCAATTTTCCTGAACGGGACTATAAGTATTGCGTTTTGCCTAGGGTTTGAAGGGTTTGCCACATAGTCCTCGCGCGGCGATGTTGATCCGTCGGACTATAAACAAGAACACCTGTAAACCCCCCATACATTTCTTCACTGATCGTAGTGTCAGATTCTGGAGGGAATTGACTGTTCTGTAGGCATTTCCCTTCGATTAGGTTCGGAAGGGAAATGACTGCCACGTCAGCCTTTTCGGGCTGACCGCCATTTCAAACCTAAAATTGCAGAGGCAGACAGCTCCCTAATTTCCCTCCCCTTCCCTCCGTTGTGCCTACACAACAACGCCATGATTTTTTGCAGTTGCACAGCACATCGACGAAATTCTTCCAGTTCCCGAGCCTGCGTCTGGGCCAGCGGGTTTATAACGCCCATAACACCCATAACTCCTGCCGAATAGGGCCCAAGCAAACTTCGCGAGGCTGCCTGCACCTGAGGTTGTCGCTGCTCCTTTTTGCGCTGCCGTTTTGGCGCGAAGAAGCGGAGTTGTGGCTGGGCAGCCCTTTGGTTTGGCGGAGGTTCCGAAACCAGCAAGGTTGAGCACAGAGGCTCGGAGCGAATTTCCTCACATCTGAGGTTTCGGGCCTTGAGCTTCCTTAGCGAAGAAACCAGGCATGTGAGAAGAAACGAGAATGAATGAACTATGAATGAACTGAGTACAAGTACTAACCCTAATTGGGTTGTACCCCTTATGGGCTACCCCACTATAGCCTACACAATATGCATAAGCTATATGTTCTGACACACCCCCATAGGCAAAGTGGGGTAGAAGAAGGGGTCACAAGACCAGTCAAGCAAAGCAAAGCAAAGCAAGCTCAGGGTGGATCACAAAGTCACCACACATTCTGAGCACAAGCGCAAGGCCACAAGGCTAGTTCACATGCAGGAGTACATATATATAAAGGACTAGACAAGCAAGAGCAGGAGTATATATATGCAACAGTACAAGCAAGGTCAAGAGGTGAGCAAGTGAGGCAAGACAGGCACAAGACCCAGCTGCGTGCAGAAGCGCTGATGATCACAAGGCGCAAGTGCCTTGGTGAAGACATCAGCAGTGTTGGCCTCAGAGGCCACGTACGCAAGCCGCAACTGACCACGCTGCTGTAGCTCATGAGCAAGGAAGTAGCGAAGAGCAATGTGCTTTGTTCTGTGCTCCAGTCTCTGCTCTCGACACAAGGCCAGCATGGCCTTGTTGTCTACGTACAGGACTGGAGGAGAACGAGGCGGCTCTCCAAGGTCGGTCAGCAGGTAGGTGAGCCAGCGAAGCTCCTGTGCAGCCATGGCGCCGGCGTAGATCTCAGCCTCACAACTGGAGCCGAGAACAGAAGACGAGCGAGTAGCCCGCCACGAGACAGAGCCGGAACCAAGGCTGAAGGTGTAACCCTGTGACGACCGCTGCGTAGCCTGGTCGTCAGCCCAAGAAGCGTCCGCGTGCCCAGTGAGGACCACTGGACTCCGCCCTCCAAGCACTAGCCTCATGCCTGACGTACTGCACAAGTAGCGCAACACCCTCTTCGCTGCACCCATGTGCTCTGGTCGGTGTCTCCCAGGAGCAACATAGCGTGCAAGAATGCTAAGAGGGTATGCAAGGTCAGGTCGTGTGCAGGTCATCAGGTACATGAGGCAGCCAACAAGCTCTGGATACGGGCCACTCGACTCTACGGACTCATCCGAAGGCAGAGCTGAGAGCGAGTGGCGAGTAGGCAGAGGAGTGGCCTGAGGCGAGGAGTACGTGAAGCCGAAGCGCTGAAGGACCTGCTGCACCATGTGTGACTGAGTCAGGGTAATGGTGCGGCGTGCTCTGTCCCGGGTGATCTGCAAGCCAAGGTAGCTGCGCAGTTCACCCAGGTCAGTGCACGTGTGTCTCTTCTGCAGCTCGGACTTCACGTGGGCGAGTCCAGCAGTGTCAGCTGTGGCAAAGACCAAGTCGTCGACGTACACGAGGATGTAGAACGGCGGCAGAGAGGTGTCAGTGCATAGAAACAGCGACGGGTCGGCAGTAGAAGGAGCAAACCCAAGAGCCGCAAGCGTAGTCCTCAGTGTGTCGTGCCACTCACGTGGCGCCTGGTGGAGACCGTAGACTGGACGCCGGAGACTCCAGTGGGTACAAGGAGGGAACGACCCAGTGAAGCCAGGTGGGCGGCGCAGCCAGATCTCCTCGTGCAGGCTGCCCTGCAAGAAAGTTGTGCTGAAGTCGAGAGAGTGTAGCTCGTAGTCACGGTGAGCAGCAACGTGCAGCAGTACCCGAAGAGTGGTCATCTTCGGGGTGGGAGAGAAGGTCTGAAAGTAGTCAACTCCCTGCCGCTGACTGAAGCCACGAGCCACGTACCGTGCCTTGAAGACAGGCGGAGAACCCGGCGGCCGCTTCACCCTGAAGATCCACATGCCACTGACGATGTTCGCCCCAAGCGGGGGAACCTCGTCAACGTAGGTGCCTGTAGACTTCCAGGAAGCCATCTCTATGTCCATAGCTGCCTGCCACTGAGAGGAGTAGGGACCCTTTATCGCCTCCGCGTAAGAGCACAGAGTCGGGATGTCAAGTGCATCCGGGTCTCCCTCAGGGGTAAGCAGTACGGACACGAGATGAGGTGAAGCAGCAGCCAGACACTGGAACTCCTCCTGCCTATCCTCAAGGACGTCCGTGCGAAGGGCACACTCACCCCCGACGGACGGAGGACAGACAGACTCAGACTCAGCGACAAGACTAGCAGCATAGTCTAGGCGACAGCGAGCAGAAAAGTGGGACAGTGGGACTGGCAGCACGAAGAGAGTCCGACTCCGGGTCGGCAAGAGCAAGAAGAGAGGACTCATGAGGAGAAGGCAAAGGGGCACGTAGAGGAGCAGTGGA